TTTTCATTATTTAATTTTTACACTCAGAGAAAAGTTTTATATCCTATAATTTATTTTATTTAAATAAAAGTATATTTGTCCCAGAGCCAAGTAGGTTATTTATTTGTTTAGAATAAAAATTTTATTAGCCATAAATAAAACTTTTATTTCAATTTTGAACCAAATAAAATTTATTCGAAACAAATAAGTCTAGTTAGCTGAGTCAAATATACACTGAAAAAAATTATTTGATTCAAAGAACCGATTACTTGACTATTATCAAATAAATATTTACTTCAATCAAATAATTTTTTTCTGAGTTAATTAAATGGTGTTTGCTTCAAATACTGAAAATATTGGTTCAAATAAAATTTATTCGATTTAAATAAAAATTATTTGATTCAAGTAAATATTTATTTAATTTAAACTTTTAAACAAAAAGTAATTGATTCAAATAAATATTTATTTGATTCAACTGGATTTAATAAATAGATCAAAATAAACAAATAAATAAGAAAAATAAACAAAATAAATAATTAAAAAAAATTTTTAAAATACAAATCAGTTATATTTTTGTCAAATAAATTTTTTTTCAGTGCATTAGTAGGAGAAATTGAATCGATTGTATTTAATATTTAGTAGTAAAAATAAAAATTATACAAAGAAATTAAATAATGAAAATTATTTACTTTTTATTTTTTTTTCTAAAAATATCAAAAATTGCATATTGAGACAATTGCTTTGCGTAATTTACAGTATGAAAATTATTTGTATTACGTCAATAAAAGCAGTTTTTTGATATTACTGAGGATACAATTTTACACGGAGGGGTTTCTTAATTTGAATGATTTATCTGCAAGGTAAATTAGTTACCTCACGTATCATGGTAATAGAAGCAAGTGTTGATGATTGCCACGAGTTTGTTCTTTCTCATTTCAAAAAGAATGCGCAAAACACAATATTTATTACAATTTCTTCACTATATTATCTCACCATCGAAAATACTTCTTCAAAATTATCTAATAATACCGCATTTTTTTATAAAATGGTCATTTAATGTGTATTTTACGCACTTCATATTTCTAATCATCAAAATTTAATTTATTTATTTTGTTTATTTATTTTATTTCTAAAACTTTTATTTTTTTGTTTAATTTTTTTTTCGTTGTTTCCTATATTCATTTATTATATTTTTAATAATATATTTATTCATTTCATCATAACTTTATTTATTCGATTCTATGTTATTTTTTTAATTTTATTAATTTTAATTATTTTATTCCTGCTCTTATTTATTTTATTTATTTACCCAATATCACGGCCAGTTCTCTATAGGAATATAATTATAGAATTTCAATACATTACAAAAAATTTAACAAAAAATAATTAAAATTATTATCAAATATTTAATAATAATTATTAAAAACCACGATTATTTTATAGACTTAAAAAAAATTGTTCATAATGGAAATAAAGATTAATAATTGTCGATTTAATAAATAATAATAATAAATAATAATGATGATTATAATATTCATATTTGTTTATTCATTTGTATATAGAATAAATACTAATATTCTTAAAGTTGAAATACAATTTTCTAAAAATTAGAAATGGTAATTTTTTGAATAATTCGAAAATAAAAAGTCTGCGCGTTTTGAAATTAAATTAAAGAGAATTTTTGGCTACAAAAATTTCTATGAAATTTTTATTTATTTTTCTTCTATTAAAATAGATATACGCACGTGAATTATAATATTTTATTCGCACGATAAAAAAAGAGGAACAACTATAATATTATGTATATATATATGTGTATATATATAGAGAGAAAATAATTATTACTTTATTTAGTACTATTATTAGCAAAAGTTATATTCCAAGAATGATGTTTTATTAAACGTAAATATCAGTTTTTGATAAATATATTACTCATGTAATAATATTGATATAGACAGAGCTCCTTTACTTTCTAAACTATTGGACATTCTTTTATAATTTGCCATTTTTTATCCATCGATTAAGTAACTTCCAACTTTCAGGATTCTTTATTTACTGTGGAGGAGAATATTTTTTTTTTCTAAATTTATTTTGACAGTATTTTAGTTAACATTTTATTACCAAAGTCTTTTTTTTCCCAAAGAAGAAGAAGAAGAAATCTTTTTTATTATTAAAATTATAGAAATATGTTTTGCCTAATGGTTTTAGTCATTAGGCCAAAACGAAGAAATTTAAACATCTTTTATATTTATATATAATTCATGATTACCAAAAATATTTAATTATTTAAATTTACATTTTTTTAATTATCATAATATTATTATTATTATTTGTAAATAATAATTGTCAATTAATTTTTATAATAATTTAAATAGCTCACGTTTAAAAAAATTATTACAGGTCAGTAATGTGTAATTTTATCTATATAAATTTTTTTCTAATGGTTATTTTTATGGGAAAAAGTTTATTCTTATCATTGACAATAATTTGAATAATTATTTTATTATTATTTATAATTATATTACTTATTGTGTATGATTTGTTGTTATAATTAAATGAAAAATATAATTTAAATAATAAACTACTCAAAAATATATATAAACTTTTATTTTTATTATTTTTAGTAAACAATAAAATTCTATTTAGAATTTATTTCCAATTTTTTAAAATAAGAAAATTTACTCAAGCAAGTTTATTAAAATATTGCAAATAAAATTGAATTCTTTCGAAGAATTTCATTAATTTTTCTTTAAGAATATCGATTTTGATAATAATTGTAATTAATAATTTTATTATTAAATTTTATTAAAATTATTGATAGAAAATTAAAGTCATCAACAATTTTATTATTTTTCGTAAGTAATCACATTTTTTTAAAGGATGTCTTTGAAGTTTTTTAAATAATTTTAATTCAAAAATTTGAAAAAAAAATTAAATTCTATGAAGGATATCTTTTGAATTTTCAAAATAATATAGTGTCTGTTAATAATCATAAATAAAAATTTTATTATTGAATTTTATTAAAAATTTTTGAAAATTATTGGATACTTCCCAGAATTTTATTACAATTTTTCAAAAATAACTGATTTGTTTTGAGAAATTTTATAAAAATTCTACTGAAAATAGTTGAATTCATTTGAAGAAATTTATTATTTTTAAAAATAATTGAATTGTTATAAAAAATGTTATCAGAACATTTGAGAATAATTGAATTCTTTCGAAGAATTTCATTAATTATTTTGAATAGAATCGATTTTGATAATAATTGTAAAAAACAATTTTATTAGTAAATTTTTATTAAAATTATTGACAGAAAATTAAATTCTTCCCAACAATTGCATTAGTTTTCGTAAATAATTAAATTTTTTCAAGAAATTCTTTGAATTTGTTTAAAATTATGTAGTTTTTTAAATAATTTTAAATAAAAAATTTGATAATAATTGAATTTTACAAATAATTTTTTATAACTATTTAAAATATTAGTGTCTGTTAACAATTACAATTACAAATTTGATTATTAAAATTGATTAAAATTCTTTGGGAATTATTGAATTCTTTCCAGAATTTTACTACAATTTTTGAAAATCACTGAATTTTTTTGAGAAATATTTTTAAAAATTCTACTTAAAATAATTTAATTTATTTGAAGAAATATAAATTTCTTCAAATGATTTTTAAATTATTTTCAGTAGAATTTATTTATTTATAGAATTTATTTATTTAGAATTATTTATTAAAATAATTGAATTATCAAAAATGTTATCAAAACTTTTCAGAATAATTGAATTGTTTAGAAACATTTTATTAAAATTTTTAAAAATAATTAAATCCTTTAAAGAAATTTTTTAAAAATTTTATCGAAAATAATTGAATTCCTTAGAAAAAATTTATTAATTAGTAAAGAATTAAATTATTAAATTTAACTCTTGCGAAAATGTTTACTATTTATTAAAATATTTAAAATAATTCAAATAGTTCCAAGAATGTTATAAAAATTTAAAACAATAATTGAATTGTTTCAAAAAATTGTAATAAAAATTTATGAAAATAAATGAATTCCTGCGAGAAATTTCTATATTTTTGATAATAATTAAATTCTTTCCAAGAATTTTATAAAAAATTTTGGAAATAATTATCGATAATAAAGTAAAATTTTAAAAATTTTGAATTTAAAATATTAAAGTTAAGAAAAATAAAAAAAAAATTTTTATTGAAAATAAAAAATCTTGCAATTTGCATAATAATATAATAAATGGAAGATATCATTTCGCGCCTAAAATTTTTGTAATACATAATTTGTTTTTTTATTAAATTTAAAAATTAAATTGTCAATTCTATTAATAGAAATACACGTAGAATTATTATGTTCCTATGAGTAACAATATTTGTCGAAAATAAAATTTCTAACCCTGGGAGGAATCGAACCTTCACAATTTCAAGTTGCGCAAATTTTAGCGCCTTAACGACTGCAGCTATCATCGACGTCAATTGCTTCAAACAATTACTCAACAATTACAATTAAATCAAAATTTAGAATCTGTTACAATAACAAAATTCACTCTCTAAACCTGAATTATAAATGAAAAACTGTTTAATTTCTCAAAATTCTCTCCTTTCTTACACATTTTTGGCCAGCCACATTTTTTACTACAACTATTATTTCTCCTTATTCATTTCATTTTTTTTCAATTAAAACAAATAATTTCTCCTCAAAAATCGGATATATACTATCTTGCATCCGAGTTTTGTCCTATCCACATCAGGCACACAATATCAGATTGTGAGAGGAGAAAAAAAGTTTTGAATAAGATAGAAGAAAAAGGAAGAAGAAGAGGATGGGAAGGAGGAGGAGGAGGAGGGCATAGAAAGAGAAAGAGAGTATCTTCTCACTGTCGAATTACTCTCACTCGAAAGGCCCCCGTCTCTTCTTCAACCGGATCCCCACGCATCCCCCTTTTGCTTCACAAGGGGGGTATAAAAAACCCTGGTGCACCTTCCTCGGAGTCACAGACAAGAGCGGCATCGTTGAAGCCGACATGACTCCTTTCATCGCGGTAAGCAAAATAAAAAAAAATTTTTGTTTTTTTTTTATTTCCTTCAATCTACGAAACGGAAAATATCTAAAGAGAGAGTGTGCCCGCGCGATTGACTAAAAAAAAATAATAAATAAATACATAAGAAAGGGGAAAATTCAGGAATAATTCCTGATTTGTGAGAGCAGACCAAGAGCGAAGAACTATTTTTAAAAAAAAGTGTATTTTATTACTATTTAGTAGAAAAAGTAAAAACAAAGTGAAACTTAACGAAATTCTCAAAAGTGAAAGATTTCGCGATTCATGTTTGAAAGTGCATAATTAATCTTTAACTAAAGATCAATCGTTGACGCTCGCGACGCGAATTAATTTTAATCAGTGTTTTGCGTGTTTGTCTATTGTTATTAAAGTTTCTATTTTTTTTTCTTTTTTTTTTAGTTTTCAGTAATAAAATAACCAAAAAAATCTTAAAATCTAATAAAAAATAACTAAAAGAATTAAAATTTATATCAAACAAAATTAAAGAAACAATATTTTTTCAAATATTTTTTTTAGTGTCTTCAATTTTTGTATTATATTATTACTATAATATTGTAATACCACAATTATATTATTTTAATACTGTAATTGTTATATTATAATGCCATAATAATAATAATATTTTAATACTATAATTAAACTATTTTAATAGTATAATTGTAATATTATAATACTACAATAAATTATATTATAATAATATAATACTATTTTTTATTTTTGTGTATTTTCATTACTATTATTATTATTATTATTTTTATTACGATTATAATATAATTTTTAAAAAATATTTTATGTGCAAGAATCTCATAAGTAGAATTAAAATTTAATATTTAATATTTAAAAATTGTCGAACATTCCCAAAATTTTGTATTATTCTTGGATGTCAAACTTTTAAATTTGGGATACAAAATGCAATTTGATTTAAAGTTTCTTGGAATAAATGGTCGCTCTCAGTTTTGATTTATTTTTAAAAATAATTATTATTATTATTACTATTTTTAATATTATTATTTCTACTATAATAATATTATTAATAATAGAAATATAATAATAGATAATAAATAAATAAACAATTATAATTACAATTATAATGTATAATAATAATTATTATTATCATCAGTAATATAATTATTTATTTATTTTTATTCTCTTCAGTAAAATGAATTTTTTATTATATTTTATTGTTTTGTTTTTCTCGATTCTCCCTTATTTATTTCAATTCTAATTTTTTCATTTTTTTCCTCTCGTTATTTGTTTTTTGTTCATTTTTTCCCCAATTTTCCGTGAATACATAATTTTTTTGATTTTTCTACTCTCTCTTTATTTTTTTCTACATTTTGCTTTCCTACTTTTGTTTCTTCAATTTTATTCCTTTCTAACTTTCTTCTCCTGTTTTTTAAATTTTTTTCAATTTTTCTTTTCATTTTATTACTTTTATTTCTTCTTTTTTTTATAGGTACGTTTCTATTCTTTTTTTTCTTAAATTTTTCTTGTGCATTAATTTTCTTTTTTTCTTCTTCTTCTTTTTACAAATAAGTCTTCTACATTTTCTTTACTTAATATTTTCCCTTTTCGTATTTTTCTTTCTTCTAACTATTATATTTTCCTTTTCTTATTTTCTTCTACCATATTCCTTTCTTCTTCTTCTCTTTTTTATTTTTTTTTCTTCTTCTTTTCTTTTTTTTCCGTCTATTTTCTGTCCACGTTATCTTTCCTTTTCTAACTAATCTTTTTCTTTCTTCTTTCCTTACATTTTTTCTACCTTTCTCTTTTTTATCTCCTCTTTTTTGATCTTTTCATTTTCTACTTTTCTTTTTGAACTTTATCTTCTATTTAGTTTTTCTACCTTTTTTTAAAACTTTTTCTTTTCTATTTTCCTATTTTGTACGATTCCTTAATTAATTCATTTATTTCATCAATTTACATTTTTCACTTTTCCTTTTGCTTTTTACTTTTTACTTTCGTAGTTTTTCTTCTTCTACTTATTTTTTGTCTACTTTTTTTCTTATTTATAAAACTCTCCTTTTTTTGTATTTCTTTTCTCCTTTCTCCCCTTTAACATTTTTACCTTTCTTTCTTTAACCTTTTTTCTTCTTTTATCTATTCTTTTTCAATATTTTCTTTTCCTTTTTATAACTCTTCTTTCTCTATTTTTTTCCTTTCCTATTCTTCTTGAATCCTCCCCTTTTCTACCTATTCTTTTTCCACATTTTTTGCTTTTCCTATTCTTCTTGAATTTCTTTTTCTACCTATTCCCTTTTCTACCTATTCTTTTCCCATATTTTTTTTTGCTTTTTCTATTCTTCTTGAATCATTCCCCTTTTTACCTATTCTTTTCCCATATTTTTTTTGCTTTTTCTATTCTTCTTGAATCGTTCCCTTTCTACCTATTATTTTCCATATTTTTTGCCTTTCCTATTCTTCTTGAATAATTCCCTTTTCTACCTATTCTTTTTCTACATTTTCTTGAATTTCCTATTCTTCTTGAATCATTTCCCTTTCTAACTATTCTTTTTCCACATTTTTTTTTTTGTTTTCATACCTTTCCCGTTTTTAAACTCAAAGAACCTATTATTTTTCTACCTTTTTCCACAATTTTTCCTTCCTTTACTTTTCTCTACCTATTCCTTTTTTTCCTTTTTTACTTCTCCTTTCCCTATTTTTCCTTCCTTTACCTTTTTCTATTTTTCTTTTTTGTACTTTTATCTATTCCTACTTTTTTTATTTTCTCTCGTATTTTTGAATTTCTACCTATTCACTTTTCACATTTCTACCTATTAATTTTTTTTTCTGTAACTTTCCTTTTTCTACCTACTTTTTCCAACCTTTTCTTTTCCTATTTTTTACTTTTTATACTTTTCCTTCCACTTTCCTTTGCCTATTTTACCTTTTTGTACTCTACTACCTACTTTATTACATTTTCCTATTTTTTCTTCTTGTGCTTTTTTCCTCTATTCCTTCCATTTTTTTCTCCTTCCATTTTTGAATATCTACCTATTTTTTCCACCTTTTTTTTCGTTTCGTAACTTTCCTACTTCCACCTTTTCTTTTTCTACCCATTCTTTTCCTATTTTTCCATTTTCTACTTTTCCCACAACTTTTCCTTTTCTTTTTGTATTGTTTTTTTGTTTCTTTTCCTTTTCTTTCATTTTTTTTCATCTTTCCTTCTTCTACCTAGAAAAATTGGAAGAAGATGAAAATTGGAAAACAATTGGAAGAAGATGAAAATTGGAAAACAATTGGAAGAAGATGAAAATTGGAAAACAATTGGAAGAAGATGAAAATTAGAAAGAAAATTGGAAGAAGATGAAGGGCAAAAAGAATTGGAAAAAATATATTTTTTCCAATTCTTTTTCCCCTTCATCTTCTTCCAATTTTTTTTTCTTTCCCTGTCTCTACCTTTTATTCTTCTACGTTTTCTTTATCCACCCTTTTTTTCTTTTCTTTTTTTACTTTCCCTTTTTTTCTCCTTTTATCTTCCTCCCAATATTCACAATTTCTTCCTTCTCTCTTCTTCTCTCCATTTCTTCCAGTTCAAATTAATTTTAATTTAATTAATAATTAATACGTTAATAAATTATTTTTTCGATTTTTGTAAAACGTACAAAAGGTGAAAGAAAAAACAACAATCTTTCACTTTTTTTTAACAGAATAGACGACGTTTCGGTGGTTATTAATAATTAATTAATAATTAATTAGCTATTTAGCAATAAATTCCGTCTCAATTTTCAAAAAAATATTTCTTCTTCAAATTCCAGTGCATGATGGTCGGTCTGGCAGGGCTCGCCCTGGCTGAGCCACCAGTATCCTCCGGGTACAACTACAACAGACCCATCGGAGGAGGAGGAGGCGGCGGTGGTGGTGGTGGCTTCTCCCACGGAGGTGGAGGTGGCGGCGGAGGTTACTCCCTAGGAGGAGGCGGTGGTGGAGGTGGTGGTTACACTCAAGTATCACCCGGTGGTCAAACCAGCGAAGGTGCCTCCGTCGACGGAGCACTCCTCGAACAAATCCGTCAAATTCTCCTCAGAGAAGAGAGCCAATCCGGAGGTGGTGGATTCGGAGGCGGTGGCTTTGGAGGTGGTGGTGGTGGCGGATACCCAGCACCCAGTAGCAGTTACGGCGCTCCAAGTTCCAGTTACGGAGTCCCAAGCTCAAGCTACGGTGTCCCATCCATCAGCAGTCGTGTCGTTGGAATTGACCTCGAGGGCATCAGACAAGCAATCCAGATCGCTCAATTCAATCAAATCAGTCAAGGCTCCGGCGGCGGTTATCCCAGCGGACCAAGTGGCGGCTATCCCAGTGGTCCAAGTGGCGGTTATCCATCATCCCGCCCAAGTGGTAGCTACGGTGCTCCATTCTAATTCCCATCACAAAATAAGCAGAGCACCTTCAACCAACGCGTCATTCAAAAAACAACTTTCAATCTCCAGAATCCTATATTCCAATCGCATAAGAATCTGGACCTGATTACAACTCTTTGTCCCCGAAAATGTCTCCACACATCTCATTCAATATTGAGGCTATTTTTTATCTTGAGATGAAATTTGAAATTCAAATATACACCGCTACTTTGGGACATTGATTTGTTGAAGTAAAAAAGAAAGAAACAGTCGTAGCTTCAACATGTCAGGACCATAGTACCGCAACATCAGGAGAAATCATTATCATCATCATCATCATGAATTGTAATCGGAGAAATGTTGACGCGATACAACACAAAGATCTATTCCTTTCAATGGAGAAAGGGGGACAAAAAACCATATTATGCAGGGAATTTAAATTCCCCTGCAAAGGATCTCAACGAGATCGACAGATCGATCAGCAATAAATTCAGCATCGTTTTTGAAAAAAAAAACAAAATAAAATAAAATAAAGCGGAGAAGGAGGAGAGGCGTTAAAGAAGAAGTAGAGGCCGTGATTAACGCGAAAGCGTTCCCTTGTAAATACTTTTACACTTACACAAAGAAAACACAAGAAATAATTTTTTTTAAGTAGCTCATTCTGCATTATAGTCCCAAAGAAGAAAATAATTACGATCCGAAAGCAATTTTTTCTTTTCTTTAAAATCTTCCAAGTTTAAATTATTTTATAATTATATACATTATATATTATGTATTACCATACAACTTTATATTATTATATAATAATATATTATTACATTATATATTATTAAATTATTATATTATATATAATATATTATTATATATTATATTACTTATTATTATAATTATAACATTATATATTTCTACATGTTTATATAATTATATATTGTTATAATTACACAATATTGTTGATAATAATTTTAATAATTATATATAATTTGATATTTTTTTGTAAAATAATTTTTGCGTCTTGAATTCAAATTTTTTGAGTACGAGAGTGAGGATCTCTTTTGAATTGAGACTTGAATGCAAAAATGAGCTAGAGACCAAACACATGTATACAACTTACAAGAAAGAAAAAAAAGAAGAAGAAGTTTTAAGAGAACTCAATCTATTTTTTTACTCTATATAATATCTATGATAATTTTTTTTGTCATAACCACGCATTTTTTTACTGTATAAAGGCTTTTTTGTAGAAAAAAAATAAAAAATACGTCGCCACCGTTAAAATGAATGTTTCAAGTTTCTTTGCGCGTTACGTGCATTTCCTTGTTTAGAAAAACAACTTCCTGGATGATTCCCCGCTTAAATCTTCTCACTTTTACTTTTTTCCTTCATTTTTCATTTCTTCCACTCTTTTCTTTATCAAATGCGAATGTAATTTCTCAATTTTCCCCACGAGAGTTAAATTTGCAATAATAATAAAAAGGGTTTTTTATTATTATTATTATTATTATAAATAATAAACAATAAAGATTAAAAATAGTAAAAATAATAATGACAAATAAGAAATGAGTTTAAAAATGTATAAATGAAAAAAAGAAGCAAATGAGAAAATAAATCGAAAATCTAATAGATAATAAATAATAATAAAAATAAGTAAAATAAATAAGAATAAATAATAAATGGAAAAATAATAAACTTTCGTAAGCTTAAAATAACTAATAACAATATTATAGAACAATGAACAAGAAAATAAAAAGAATTAATAATCCAGTTATAATAAAATATAAATAATAAAAATAGCAGTCATAATTAGTAATATTAATAAAATAATACAGAAATTATTTATTCATTTCAACAATAAATAAAAAATAAAATACTTTTTATCTATTATTATAAAATAATAATATAATAGTAATAATAATAATTGTTGTTATTACTATTATTATTATTTGTTTATTTTTGTAAATAAATAAATAATAATTAGGCTTGTCCCTTATATTTGTTAAATAAATAATTATAATAATAATTGGGATTGTCCTGTATTATCAGTTAAATAAAAAAAAAACAAATGATAATAATAAAAATAAGAAGAATAAATAATAATAGAAATAATAGCAACAAGAACGACAATGATAATAATAAGAATAGTAATAATAATCCCAATAATAACAATAAATATTAAAATCGAGTTAAAATATTCAAAACGAGAGAAATCTAAATAATATAAATTGATTATCTATTATAGTTTCTTCGAAAATCTTTTATTCCACTTTTATTGATTTCCTCAATATTCTCGGGGCTTATCATATGAAAATGAATTTTTTTTTTTATTTAAAAAAGGTCATTGCCTTTCTCCTTTCACCAGAGTGTGCTATCCGAACCCTGAGGCAATATAAACTTCTGGTGCAGGAAATGTTGTTAAAAAAAAAAATTTTATTTTCTTATGCGTGTATACTATATGTATACATATATATTTGATCTGAAAAAGAGATGCAACGCGAAATATTTAGTCGCGCGATGGTCAAGAAGATTCGAAAGTCACTTGAACTTTTCAAAAAGACAAAGTGGGAATGATCCAAGAATTATGTCAATGATGTAGAGTTTATAATGGATGAAAAAAAAAAAATTTCGCGCAAAGAAAAGAAAAAGAAAGATCCTGCCGCAGGTTTCAGGTTTCGATTTCTTGGTTGTGTAGAGAATCGTGAGAAAGGCAAATTATTGGGGTCACAGGATCAGGAAGTCTTTTTCAAATGGTTATATAGAAGCAGTCGCAGCATCAGGCGGGAGGAGATGATAATTTATATAATTATAGAGAATTTTTTGAATTATTAATTTTTTTCTCTTTTTGGTATTTTTATTTATTTTTTTTTCTCTTTAACGCATAATGGATTTTATTGCTTTTTTCAATTAAACTCTATTTAGAATTTTAATTATGCATTTGTTGCATTTTAAAATCAAAAGTGCGGTAATTTATATTCATTTTTAATTTTTTACTTTTTTTCTTTATTGCTGTCTTTTATTTTATTATATATTAATTAGAAATTTATTTATAACTTCAGTTATTACTATTCTTCGGTTTTCTAATTTAATTATTCCTTTCATTTTTATTCTTAATTCTTTTTTCGATTTCTCATCTTTCCTAATTTGTTATATATTTTTTATATTATATATAACTTTATGTTTATTTATTTCATTTATTTATTTACATTGCAAGAATGCAATTAATTTAAAAAATTTTCATAAAATTTTTCTCAGAAATTCAATTATTTTTAAAAGTTTCAAAAAATTCTTCGTAATAATTCAATTATTTTAAATAGTGATTTTAATTCAATTTTTTAAAAGAAATTAATTATTTTTAAAATTTTAATAAAATTAATCGAAACAATTCAATTATTTTTTAAATAATTTTAATTAAATTATTCGAAAGACTTTAATTATTTTGAAAAATTTTTAATATCATTTAAAAAAATTCAATTATTATTTCCAAAAAATTTAATAAAATTCTTCACAAGAATTCAATTATTTTTACTAATAATAATACCATTTTCCACAGGAATTGAATTGTTTAAAAAACTTTTTATACAATTCGTATCAAGAATTGAATTATTTTCATAAATAATAAAATTCTTCCCAAAAATGAAATTATTTTCAAAAAATTCTTCGAAATAATTCAATTTTTTAAAAGAAATTAATTATTTTTAAAATTTTAATAAAATTAATCGAAACAATTCAATTATTTTTTAAATAATTTTAATTAAATTATTCGAAACACTTTAATTATTTTGAAAAATTTTTAATATTATTTAAAAAAATTCAATTATTATTTCCAAAAAATTTAATAAAATTCTTCACAAGAATTCAATTATTTTTACTAATAATACCATTTTCCACAGGAATTGTATTGTTTATAAAACTTTTTATACAATTCGTATCAAGAATTGAATTATTTTCATAAATAATAAAATTCTTCTCAAAAATGAAATTATTTTCAAAAAATTCTTCGAAATAATTCAATTATTTTAAATAATCTTAATTTAATTTATTAAAAGAATTTAATTAGATATTTTTAAAGTTATAATAAAATTAATCGAAACAATTATTCAATTATTATTTCCAAAAATTTTAATAAAATTCTTCACAAGAATTCGAATTATTTTTACAAATAATAAAATTTTCTAACAGGAATTTAATTGTTTAAAAAACTTTTTATACAATTCGTATCAATTTATGAATTAAATTCAATTATTTTAAATAAACTTAATTGAATTTCTGAAAAGAATTTAATTATTTTTCAAATCTTAATAAAATTAATCCAAACAATTCAATTATTTTTTAAACAATTTTAATTAAATTATTCGAAATACTTTAATTATTTTAAAAATTTTTTAATATCATTTTAAAAAATTCAATTATTATTTCCAACAATTTTAATAAAATTCTTCACAAGAATTCAATTATTTTTACGAAAAATAAAATTTCTACAGGAATTTAATTGTTTAAAAAAGTTTTTTTTATATAATTCGTATCAAGAATTTAATTATTTTCATAAATAATAAAACTCTGCCCAAAAATTCAATTATTTTCATAAATAATAAAATTCTTCCCAGAAATTCAACTATTTTCAAAAGTTTCAATAAAATTCTTTGAAATAATTCAATTATTTTTTTAAATAATAAAATTCTTAACAGAATTTCAATTATTTAAAAAAAATGTATACAACTCGTAGCAAGAATTCCATTACTTTCATAAATAATAAAATTCTTCACAAAATTTTAATTTAATTCAATATTATTTTTAATACCTATGTATAATTTAATTGAATTCCTAGAAATAATTCAATTATTTCTAAAAAAAATTATAATAAAATTTTTCGAAAAAAAATTAATTATTTTCAGGAATTTTAGCCGTATTTTACGTAACAATTCAATTATTTTAAAAAATTTTAATAAAATTCTTCCGAAGAATTTAATTATTTTCATAATTAGTCAAATTCGTCTGTAAAATTCAATTATTTTTAATATAATCTAATAAAACTCATAAGAATTTAATTATTGTTAAAAATTTAAATATAATTCTTTTTAAAAATTTAATTATTTCTAAGACCTAATAAAATTCTTGACAAGAATTCAATTTTCAAAAATTTTGATAAATCTCTTGTCAAGAGTTCAATTATTGTTCAATTTAATATTCAATTACATTTAATTCTCCGAAGGAATTTAATTAATTTTAAAAATTTTTAATAACATTCTCCCAATCAATTCAACTATTTTTAAAAATAAATTCAATTCTTGTCAAGAATTTTATTAAAATTTTTGAAAATAATTAAATTTTTTCGCCTTTTTTTTGTCACCTATTTTTAGAAAATAATTCACCTTTTCGCACCTATATTTTAAGGGAAAATGATTTCCCTGAAATTAATTTAACAAAAATATTTCTGTAAATTCCTAACTTTCTAATTCGTAGAATGTGATTAAAAAAAGAAGTTTTTAAATTGAAAAACTGTATTTATCATTTTGTATAAAAGTATGGAAATAATTTTTATTCCTTTTCTAATATAAGAAAGTAAAAAAAAAATTAAATAAATAGGGTAATTAAGATTTAATTTGAATCGATAGAATCAAATGAATCATGTTTCATTTCATGAAACTATTAATTGCAATATTACAACAGCTAGAATCAATAAATCTTTGATGACTTATAAATAAGGAGAAGGAAGTGAAAAATCTAGTTACATCACTTTACACGAGCAATAAGCCATTGAATTGAATATAAGAGACTTGTTGACTTTGATGAGATCTGAAAATCGATTGCAGGTCAACGTTTTTTTTTCAATAAAAGGATTTTTCTCCTAATACAATAAATTTACAATATTGTATTTGTTTTTTTCTCTCCACTTTTTTTTTGCTAACTCGAAACAAATACAGGCTGTGAATGAGAGAAAAAGACTATTATATATGAAAGAAGAGAAAAATCTTATTGCTCTCAATAGGATTGGTGGAAAAAAAAAATTTTTTTTTTCGTGTAAGAGTTTAGTTTCTCGCGTTTATAGACATTTTATAGAGCATTAGATTAGACGAATTATGGATTATGTACGTCTTGCAAAATTGAGTTGCGAGTCTCACGCTTAAAACGGCAGACGCGTCGCAACACTTTCCCCTAGTTTATAAATATATATAGGTATGTAGTCATTACGTACTTTACAAAGTACATGCGTAAAACTTCAAATGAGAAGATGTTAGATACCGTGTTTGAGAAAATATTCTGGCTTACTTCCCCATATACTGATGCTATCTTTTTTAACGCCATTTCTATTTCTTTTTTCCTCTTAGAAAATAAATGGCAAATTCCTTAAATTGGAAATTTAATATTCATTTGATTCTCATTTAATTTAAGAAATAATTTTTTGTTTCATAATTTATGTTTTGAATTTTAGAATCAGTGGAATTCTAATTTAATGTTTTGTCGATTACTTAAATAATAACAGAAATTAATTAAACAAAAAAGTTTTCAATATTAAAAATCATTTAATTTGTAGATTTAAATTTAAATTTAAATTTGAATTTGAATTTGAATTTAAATTTGAATTTAATTCTAAAATATGAATTCAAATTTTTACAAATTTAAATTTGGAGAATCAATTTTGTGATACTTTTTTTGCCAGAAAAATTTATAAATTATTTTATTTTCCATAATTTTATTTTAATAAGTAAATATTTCTTTAATTTTAAAAAGCAATATTTTTGCAATAATTATTTAAAAGAAACAATTAGAAGAATTTAATTAAAAACTTTTGGGAATAATTAAATTTATTCACGAAATACAATTAAAATAATATTGAATGTAATTGAATTTTATCAAAATTTTTGAAAATTATTTTTTTAAGAAACAATTCAAGGAAATTTATTAAAATTTTAGAAAATAATTATTTCCAAGAAACAATTAGATGAATTTTATTAAAATTTTTGAAAATAATTGTTTAGAAGAAACAATTAGAAGAATTTTACTAGAAAGTTTTAAGAATTTAAATTTATTCAAGAAATATAATTAAAATAATATTGAAATTAATTTAAATCTTAAGAATTTAATCAAAATTTTTGAATGTAATTGAAATTTTTTAAAGAATTTTATCAATATTTTTGAAAATAATTGAATTCTTTCAAGGAATTAAATTGAAATTGAACTGAAATTAATTCAATTATTATCAAGAATTTTTTCAAACTTTTTGAAACTGATTGAATTCTTTCAAGGAATTTTATTGCAATTTTTTAAAATAATTAAATTTTTTAAAGAAAAATAATTAAAATTATCTTGAAATTAATTCAATTCTTCTAAAGAATTTTAACAAACTTTCGAATATAATTTAATTCTTTTAAAAAATTTTATTACAATTTTTGAAAATAATTGAATTTTATCAAGAAATGTTATTAAAATTTTTGTAAATAATTAAATTCTTTCAAAGAATTGAAAATTGAATTTGGCATGAAACTGAATATAATTATTGTAAAGAATTTTATCAATATTTTTGAAAATAATTGAATTTTTTTAAGGAATTAAATTGAAATTGAACTGAAATTAATTTAAATCTTAAGAATTTATTCAAAATTTTTGTATATAATTGAAATTTTTTAAAGAATTTTATCAATATTTTTGAAAATAATTAATTAAATTTCTTCAAGAAAATCAATAAAAATTATATTTAAATTAATTCAATTCTTCTAAAGAATGTTATCAAAATTTTTGAATATAATTTAATTCTTTTAAAAAATCGTATTACAATTTTTGAAAATAATTGAATTTATTCAAGAAATTTTCTTACATTTTTTGAAAATAATTTCATTCTTTCGAAGAATTAAATTGAATTTGTTGTAAAATTAATTTATTTATTTTAAAGAATTTTATCAATATTTTTGAAAATAATTGAATTATTTCAAGAAATTTTATTACAGTTTTTGAAAATAATTAAATTTCTTTAAAGAATTCAATTAAAATTACATTGTAATTAATTAAATTATTTTAAAGTTTATCAAAATAATCAAAATTTTTTAAATAATTTAATTTTTTCATGGAATGTCATAAAAATTTCAATAATTAATTGAAGAAAGTTTATTCTATCAAGAAAGTTTATTGAAATTGTATGGAAAATAATTTAATTACTCTGAAAAATTTTGAAATGAAAGTAATTCAATTTTTGTTACGAATCTCATTCAAATGTTTGTAAATGATTTAAATTATTTTAAAGAATTTTATTAAAAACTCTTGAAAATAATTGAATTCTTTTTAAACATGTTATCAAATATTTAAAGAATAATTGGATTCTTTCGAGAAATTTTATTGAAATTGTATTGAAAATTATATAACTTCTGAAAACAATTTTTTTTTATTTTTGTAAAATAATTGAAATCTTCCAAAGAATTTTATTACAATATTTATAAAAAGTAATTGAAATCTTTCGAAGAATTTCATTAAAACTGTATTGAAAATATAATTCAAACCCTGCTAAGAATTTTATTATTTTTGAAAATACTTGAATTGCTTCATGAAATTTTATTAAAATTTTGGAAAATAGTAAATTGTAATAAGTATTTTGAATAAATTGTAATTAGTATTTGGAATAAATTGTAATAATTAATTAATTAATACATAAATATTGCCGTTCATCTAAACGTTCGAAACTTGAGGAACATTATTAAAATTATTTTCTAGAGAAAAATATACGAACAATAGAAATTTAGTATTACTCACAAATCAATAAAAAAAAAGAAAAGAAAAGAAAATTTGCACAATAAGAAATTTTGTTACGGCAATATTCACGGCTATAAGAATAATAATAATTGTTGTTAAGATGAACAAAAATAATAATGACCTCTCTTCTTTTGTCTTGGCAAATATTTCTGATTCAATAAAATATTCTGGTCAATAATCATGGTTTATTGCGTTATTTCGTAATAGTTTATAGTATCTGTTAAAGGTAAAAGTACGCGCAATTTAAAGACTTCCAAGTCTTGGTTGTAACCGCAAGAAGCACTTGATTTAAAGTTGCGGGTGATTAAACCACATTATATATTTTCCCTCTCCTCATTATAAAGAAGAAACAATGTTTCTATAATTCAATTCTGTGGTTTATGAAGTGCAGAATATTTATTTTTCATAATCACCTGCGATCCGTCTTTCCTTAAATTAATTCATGGGGGGGGGGAGGAGAATAAATAATTAATTTAAAAAAAAATAAACCAATAATGAAAATTAAAATAGATACGTTAATTGAAAAAAATAGTTAATTAAATTAACAATTAGGTAATTGAAGTAAAAAAATTAGACACTTTAATTGAACCAAAAAAGAAATGCATCAGTTGAAGAGCAAAAAAAATTGTCAAAACTGTTGAGAAAAAAAATGTTTTCTGAAAAAATATTGTTGTTTCAAGTAGAAAAATTCGGTTTATTTTATTTTAAATTACGTAAATTCGTTTACAATAAATATAAAGATTTGATAGCTTACATTAATTTGAAAGAAGTATTATTCATCATCCAAGTATCATTTTCACCACTATAGTTAATATGTTGAGAAATATTAACGGAACTGCAACAAACAGATAATTGATTAGTTAATAACGAAAAAAAAAATTGTAAATTTTACTTAAAAGTATTTAAAACCAAAAAATAATTTTTTCTACTTCGCAGGGTTGCCACGCTTTTGTTCTTTTCAAATTCCCTTACTTTTCCAGATTTTCCAGGTTAAAAAATGAAATTTTTCCATGTTTTTAAAACGAAAATTATTCGAAAACATCAATAACTTCATTTTTAAATAAATATTTAATCATTATTTTTTTATTGAAATTAAGATATTCAAAAATTTGAAATTTAATAACATATAATAATAAAAACTTGCAACAACAACAAATTTTAATAAATTTTTTAAGAATAATTGCATTTTTCGAGAAATTTGATGAAAATTGTATTACAAATAATTGAAATTCTGCCAAGAATTTTATTAAAAATTTTGAATAATTGAATTTCGGAGAAAAATTTTATTATTTATAAAGATAATTGTGACGAGAATTTTTGTAAATTTTTAAACATAATTAGATTTCTGCGAAGAATTTTATTAAAATTATTTTGAAAAAAAATAAATTATTGTTACGCAAAGAATTGCATTAAAATTTTTGAAAATAATTTTATTCTTTAAAGAAAATTAATTAAAAATGTATTGAAAATAATACTTAAATTTTAATAAATAAATTGTAGCAAAGATTATTAAAATAATTTAATTTCTTTGATAAATTGAAATGAAATTTTTATGAATAATAACTTTTTTCGAGGAGTTCCATTAAAATTGTATTAAAAATAATTGAAATTCAGCATTGAGTTTTATTATTTATAAAAATAATTGAATCCTTGTAAAAAATGTTATTATTTATGAAAATAATTGAATAATATTATGAAAATAATTTGTAAATAATTGAATTCCTGGGAAATTTTTATTATTTATGAAAATAATTAAATGTTTGCGTAGAATTTTATTAAAATTTTTTTTTTAACTAATTAAATTCTTTTAGGAATATTTATGAAATTAGTAGATATTAAAAATCATTGAATAGAGGAAAGTTTTTAAAAATAATTAAAATTTTGCCAAAAATTTTATTAAAATTTTTGATAATAATTAAATTTCTGAGAAGAATTTTCCAGGTTTCCGGGTTTTGTAGCAACCCAGCTTCAGTAATCAATTTATTATTTGTATTATTTTATTATAAATAATAAGGACACTTACACCTCGCCACCGTTCTGATAGATCGGACTAAATTTAACATTTGTGATTTTATTGTAGGAGATTCACCAAATCCTTGAATATTTTGTCTAGCTCCCCATCCAACTAAAAAAGATTCAATTAATTAAATTAAATTTCACTAATTAATTAATTTCAATTCATTTCATTAAACAAATTTACTTATTTCTACGATTAAAAATGTCCCTTAAGTTCTAAACGTTCAAATAAACGAAATTCATTTATTTTTTCAATTTCCCAAAGTTTTGAACGTTCAAATTCAACGGAATTTATTTTCTCTTTAAATATTTTTAAAAATTACTATTAAAAAAGAATAATTAAAATTTAAATATTTACAAATTTAAGGATTCATTTTTTTAATATACGAAATTACTTTTTTTATAAAACAAATACAAATTAAAAGAAGCAAAAAAAAAAAAAAAATATCGTGGTTCATTTAAACGTTAAAAACTTTAGAAACCTATTTTTTCTACAAACTAAAATTTTATTGCAAAATATTGCATCAGGTATTAGAAAATAAATTATAAAATTTATATTTTATAATATGATTTTCTAAATAAAAAGAAATAAAATAGAATAATATTTTATAATTTATAGTAATTTGTATTATTAATTATTTATATAATAAATTGTAAAATTATAAAGATTCGAAGTGTCCAATTTTGTTTTTCCTTTCTACATTAGTCAGTAATTTTTCAAAATATTAATACTGTCAAAAAATTTAATTCATTTGAACATCCAAAACTTGTGAATCAACATGCAAAATATTTACAATTACTTGCTGAATTTTAATCAGATTTAACCTTTAAACCGCTCTAAAAATCCTCCAAACTTTTAATAAAGAAATCGCAAGCTTTTCACTCAATCTTTAAAAGGTAAAAAATTTTTTGTTTATAAAATTCCATATTACTAAAAATATTTTTTCCATATTTAAAATAATTTTAAGTTATTATAATTGTTATTTTTTATTATTTAATGAAAATTTAACCGAATGTCAATGCTAGTGTAGTAGAATTAGTTTATTTAATCGAAAATTTTGTCATAAAAAAATGTGTGAACCATGCGTCGACGATGTCGAAATTTCCGAAAGTATAAATATTACCATTTTTTCGTTATACTTCATGAATAATTGACTCAAACGAAAATATAATGTCCACTAGCTAAGAAAACGTTAACATTTTCGATAATCAAACCACTTTGTTTATTATAAATCGGAAAATAAATTCAACTTTAACAACCTAACCTCACTTTTTTTTAACTTTTTCTTAAAACTCACTTTTTATTAGAAACCTTTCCTCGTGTAGTACACAAATAGCATTAAGGCACAAAAGGGAAGCTTCGAATAGAGTCCAGAGAGTAAATGCCATTTTTTCTATTAATAAACAATATTGTTTATATTGTATTGTAGTTTAAAAACACCTCTTGACGTACACAGAAAATATTAACGACAATACCGGCGGGCCAATGACATTAGCCATCTGTACAAAATTTACAGAACTACATTGATATTACCGACAGAAGGTATGTGTCAAGTGTCGCCATCTGGATTAATGTTGTTTACTACGCACTTTAGCATTATCGGATCTCATCTCCATATGCATATAGTAATATAGTGCTAATGATTATATTTTTTACATTTTTTATACGAAAATGTCTGATTTTGGAAAGTTGCAGTTAATGAAATATGGCTGGACCGAAGGTATATTCTGTTTTTCATTTATTTTTCTATATTTAGTTCAAAATCTTGAATAGTCCTTCGAAATAATACGCATATAATTTTCTAACCTCACTTTTTGTATTTTCACTTTCTCTTAGAACAATAATAGTAATTTAATATTCATTAAAGTATAGGAAAGACTCGTTTTTCCAATGTTTACACTTTCAGAAATTTTTAGTTTTTTAATTTGATGTTTTTTTTATTCCTTTTGTACTTTTTTTGTTGACAGGTCCTTAGAATTTAAAGCCCCCGAAAATCCCTTTGTCCTTTTAAACCCATGTACTAAAAATAGATATGCCATGGGAGAAAATAGAATTTAGAAAAGAAGCTACCAAATACAGAAGTTTTAATTTAAAAGAAAAAAATATTTTTCATTTAGAAAAAAATATGTAAACTAATTTTGAAATTCGATAACGAAAGAATTGAAAGTTTTGTCTTTTGTGTCTAATTTTTGACATTTCTAGAAAGTCATTTTGTCTTATCTACTACGTATTGGTTGAGTATTTGGAAATAATATTTAGAAAGTTAAAATATAGTTAAAAGTCCTTTTCATTCTGATTAGTAAATTATTTACTAGGTATTTGATTTTTTTCATGTCAGAAATTTGTAACAAAAACAAACAAAATAAAACAGGGAAATTAAGGAAATTGAAACTTTTTTCGCCTTATTTTCAAAAATTACGACTTTTTCGACTTTTTTTACAAATATTGCAACAAAATACACCATTTTTTAGTATAAAATGCAACTCATATCGATTTTTAAAGTACAAAAAATAACTATAAACAAATCTTTCAAAAATTATTTTAGAATCACTTTTTGATTAAATTTTTATATATATTTGTATTAAAAATCTTTTTGAATAATTGAAATTTTCTAAAATTTAATTGAAAATAATAAATTTTTTTCAAGTATTTTGTTACTGTTTTGGAAAATCAACTTTTGAAGAATTTTAATTGAAAATTTTGAAAATAATTGAATTATCAAAAATGTTAATGAAAAACTTTTAAATGTAAAATTTAAAATTGAAAATTAATGAAAATTAGCTTCTTAGTTTTTAAAATTCAATATTTTCAAAGATATATTTCCGAAAATTCAAATACACACATTTTAGAGAAAAAAATCATGTTAACAATTGTTAATTAAAATTTATCAAAAAATTAATTAGTTTTTTTTAAATTACTCAAAAATTCTTTTAAGAAATTCAATCATTTTCAAAAAATGACACTAAAATATTTTTCAAAACTAATTCTTAGAATTGTTTTATCAAAATTTTTTGATTTAATTATCTTCGAACAAAGTGAATAAAAATTTACTTTTTTAGACTTTTTAAAAAATCTATATAAATAATCGTTGTTGATCGTTGTATTCCGGTAATCTGTTCGCAATTTGAAGTTAGTTGATGATGCTTTTTTATTTCCTAACTTTTTAAACATTTTCAATTTTAAAATTAATGTACCTATTGAAAATCATTGAATTTTTGCAAAGAATCTTATCAAAAAATTTGAAGAGAATTTAATTTAATTTATTTGAAGAATTTTTTTATTTATGAAAATAATTGAATTCTGGCGAAGAATTTTACTATTTATAAAAATAATTGAAATGTTTCGAAGAATTTATTATAATTTTAGGAAATAATTGAATTGTTTTGAAGAATTTTATAGAAATATTTGAATATAATTAAATTCTTTCGAGAAATTCAATTAAAGTTGTTTCAAAAATAATTGAATTTTTGTAAAAAAATTTATTAAAATTAAGTATATTCAAAATAAATTGAATTCATCAGAAGAATTTTATTATTTTTTGAAAATAATTAAATTCCTTCAATTTTTTACGAATATATTTAAAAACTGCATTGAAAGTTATTTTAATTTTCATATAGAATTTTTTAAAAATATTTTGAGAATAATTGAATTATTTTTAGAGAATTTTAAATTCTTGTTGAAATTGAATAAAATGGAAATTTTTGAAAATAATTAAATTCTTTCGTTCAATTTTATTTAAATTTGATTAAAAATAATTTTATTCCTGCAAAGAATTTTAGTATTTATAAGAATAGTTGAATTGTTTCGAAGAATTTATTAAAATTTTAGGAAATAATTAAATTTAATGGAAATATTTAAAAATTATATTCTTCCTAGGAATTCAATTAAAATTGTTTTGAAAATAGTTGATTTCCTGCAAAGAATTTTACTATTTATAAAAATAATTGAATTCTTGCGAAGAATTTTACTATTAAAAATAATTAAAGTGTTTCGAAGGATTTATTAAAGATGAATTCACGTTGGATTGTAATTATAATTTTTAGAAATTATTAAATTTCATAAATTTTACACATTATCCGTAAACTTTCATATTTTTCTGTAAAAAGAATTTTGTCAGGGAAAATAATTGTATAATGTCAATAAATTATCAGAGAAATTTATAAACTGAAAATTGTTGTTTTTTCAGGCAAAGGTTTGGGAAAGGACGAAAATGGAATCGTTAAGGCGATCAAGCCAAAAATGAAGTTCGACTTAAAAGGAGTTGGACTCAAAAATACTGACGAAAATTGGTGGCAATCGGTTTACAACAAAGCTTCGAAAAATGTCACTGTCGACAAGGATCCCTCAGGTGTCTCAGTGAAAATAGTTGATAAAAGTGCGAAAATATTTTCCAAAAACGAAGATTTGGAGGACCTTCAAAAAAAGTACAGAACCGGCGTCAAGGAATTTATAAAAACCTCAACTATAAAAGACGGACACACCGTTCGTGAAGATGCTGTTGAATCAAAACTAAAAATCAATTTCGACAACTTAATGATCAGCGACGAGGAATTATTCAAGGCCTGCGGAGGAAGAACAGCTCACAAAGGTGCCAGACACGGTTTAAAATTAAATGGTAAACTTGCCCGCATTGCAAAACAAGAAGAGGAACAATTATCCCACACTTCCGATCTAGCCGAAACTAACAACAATAGCACTAAAAAAAAGAAGACCCGAACAAAGAAGAAAGCAGTCGAAAAAGAAGAATTTCTCAAAGACGAAACAATTGAGAAAACCGAGGAATCAACCAAGAAGAAGGAGAAGAAGGAAAAGAAGAGAAAACGAAAAGAAATGGATGCTGAAGGCGACGAAGCTGCCGATGATGATAAAAAGGAAATCGCTCATTTAATGAACAATTACAAAAGTCATAAGTGCCAATTAACCAAACATCAGAGGAAAGCGAGTCGAAAGAGAATAACCCAATTGGTTGAGATGCTCGATAAAAATTTCAATATCGACGAAGATGAAGCTAAAAACGAAGATGAAGCAATGAAAAAACTTTCCGAAGGAAGTAGCCAAAGGAAGAAGAGAATAAAACTCGAATCCCAAATCGAAGAAGTCGACGATAGTGATTTAGTTTTACAAACTTCTTTTCCATTATTTCGCGAAGGTGAAGATTATCTCTCAGTATTCAAAGATCTCACATTTAAACGCTACGAGGAACAGGATCCAACGAAATTCTATCCTGACACGCACAAGAGAATTAATAGAAAAGCAAAAAAGATGGATAAATTAAGTGATGAACTTGACTCCATGTGTTCACTTGACGAGACGACAAGCAGGAAAAAAGAAAAGAAAAAGTGTAAAAAAGCCTCTTTTATCGATTTCGACGATTGTTACTCGAAAATCGACGCAAAAAAATTGAATAGTAAAATTGAGAAAAAGAAGAGAAAACGAATGATTAAAGCCAGTGAACAATTGAAAAAATCCGTAGATAAACGTGTTTCTAAATTAAAGCCGATCTGCGATAAAAAATATGTGTATGCAATGAGTTTATCATAAATTTTCCATTTTTTTTTTAATTAAAAATTTATTAATTTCTAATTTATAAATAGTTTCTAATCTAGTGAATAATTCCGCATTTTGTATATTCGCGAAATCAATTTATCGATATTAACAATTTCTAGTAATTCGTATTTTGTATATTCGCGAAAACAACCGAGAATCAAGTACTGCAATTTTTAAATGTTTTTTGTTTATTCATTATGCGAAATCGATATTAATTTCTCTAGTGAATAATTCGTATTTTGTATAAATTCGCGAAAACAACCGAAAATCAAGTACTGCAATTTTTAAATGTACAGTAAAAAAAATGTTTACTTATTGTTACATTTGAAGCCATTAATGTATAAGATAAATATGTAAGCGAACAACACAACTATTATTAAATAATTAAGTTAAATTTATTATACATGTTATCGATTATTTTACATTTAATAATGATTCTTACTTTCAATAAACGAAATTAATTTCCAATTTTAAGGAATTTTTTTTCTTTTATCTTAATCCTTTGTTTATCACTGTGTCGACGAAGAAAATAGAAAAATTTAGCAAATTTCTACGAAAATAAATAATTTTCTTCTATCACTACATTTAGAAATTTTTTAGTCTTAAACATCTTTTTTTCTATACTAATATTGAATATTTTTCGATTTTCTATACTTGTTTTACTAAAGATACAATTTTTTTCTGTTAGTAACGTGAACAAAAAAATGTCTTATTTACATATTATGCACTGTGAAACTTAAATATCTCTTAGCAGGTTCATTTTGAGCGAATCTTTCTTCTTTTCCTTAATATGAATGAAATTTATTCATTCATGGAATCAATTTCATTTCGAATTGACGTCCAAATGTAACCGGAACCAGCACCAGTGTATGGAATGGGATATGGACTGTTTTTGAGTCGGAAATAATCGGAAGGTGCGTGCATTACGAATTCCATGTATTCCAATTTTCGGGGTAAATCTTCCTCTGGACCAATGATATAAGTTTCGGGAATGAATCCATCTTCTGGCGGTGGACTGTTAAATAATGATAAATTAGATTTTTTTCAATATTATTCAGTGAATATTATTACTATAACTTCTTCAAAATTATATTTATCATTTCAATTGCATTATTATTTTCTAGAATATTTTACTAAAATTCTTCTTCAAATCAATTGCTTTTAATAATTTTTGAAAAAGTTCTTTGAAAATTTTTAAATCCATTTGTTTATAATTTAATTTTATATACGAAATTTCGATTATTCGGAAATTCTTCGATTAAATACCATACACTAGTAACAAAAAAATTCAATGAAACTTTTTTCTGCGAAGAATTTTATAATTTATTAAAATAATTGAATTCTAGCGACGAATTTTATTAAAATTTTTTTAAATAATTGAATCCTTTCTTGAAAATTTATTAAAATTGTATTGAAAATAATTGAATTCGTACAAATAATATTACTAACAAACTTAAAAGAAAGAAAAATCGAAAAACCTTGATTTTATTACCTAGATGCTGTTGGCAAAAGCCACGTAACCGCTGCACTTTTCTCGCAATATTGATCGGTTAATAATCCACGAATTTGAGCGTAAAAAATCCCCCCATCCTCGTCTTGCATTGAAACAACATCGCCAACTTGAAAATAAGAACCTTTATAAAATACGAATTCACTAGTGACGGTCGTTGACGTCGCAGTTGGAGCTTTCATCGGCTGCAAGCAAATATTTCACTAAATAAAAAAATTGTTTACGTAAAAATTCTAAATCTAATTAGAATATTTTTATTCTCTGACAAAATTCAGAGCTTTCGACAATACTAACATAATTAGAGTTAGTTAAACAACAAATTAACAAAGTTAGAATTACTTGAACTCAAAACTGGGAAAATTAGAGTTAAATTATCACAAAGCTGATGAAATTAGAGTTAGATTAGCACAAAATTGACATAATTAAAATTAGATTAGCAGAAAACTAACAATAATAATATAATTAATAATTATAACTTGTAAACGAACAAGTTAATTACAAAACTAAAATTTAGTTGGATTAAAAATTATTGAATAAAATTAGCGATAAAATTACCGTTTTCTTAAAAATATGCCGCCTTCCTTTACCCTTTGGTACAACATTTTTCGATGGAGGTGCTGTTGGATTTGTCTTACAATAACGAGTGACCCTCGTACTTTTTCTTGCGGGCTTAGAATTTCCATTTTTCTCCTCATCTTCCTTTGGGACTTCAACAGTTGATTTTCTTTGTTCCTCTAAACAATCATTACAAAAATTCCCCGTCTCCGTTGCATGCCAAAGTATTGTTTCTTTAGTTGCACACTTTGTACACTCTGGTTTCGTTCCCAAAGGCATTGAAAGTTTAATTTGTTTATACTCACAATTTAGAAGATATTTTTCAACAAACAATAAATTTTCTGAATTTTATCAACATTGACTATATAAACAAAGTGTTTAATGTTTCCTTGTTTTTTTTTCTAAACACTATACATTTTTTAAATTTATACACAATTATCGCAAAGTACTTGGTTTTTTTTTTGGAATAAACAACAATTTACACATCAAGCAAAGTGCTTTAATATTTTTTAAAATTGCAAAATTTTTAGGTTATTTCCAGGACTCAGGTAAACAGACGCATGCGCATTAAGTGCCAAGGGGTTTAAAACTTAAGGCGAATTTTTAACAAAACCGCGTTTATTGGCTGATTGTCGCCGCGTAAATTTAAAAAAAAAACTATGGAAATTGATTCGAAATATAAAACAATTTATTATTTTTCAATTTTTTTAAAAAAACAAATCTGACTGTTATTTAGAAATTGAAAATATGTATATAGTGAATCGAAATAAAAGATTTTCTTTTTCTGAATTATTCGAAATCAAATTTGATGAAAATTGAAAAATTAAAATAAATTGTGAATCAATAATAAAAAAAATTTTTTTTTAATTATTCGAAAACAAATTTGAGGGGAATTTAGAAATTAGAATAAATAGAAAAAAATTTTATTTTTTTGAATTATTCGAAAACAAATTTGAAGAGAATTTGGAAAGTAAAATAAATAATGAATCAAAATAAATAATTTCTTTTTTTGAATTATTCAAAAACAAATTTAGAAATTAAAATAAATAATGAATCAAAATAAAGAATTTCTTTTTTTGAATTATTCGAAAACAAATTTGAAGAGAATTTAGAAATTAAAATAAATAATGAACCAAAATTAAAAACTAATTAAGTTTATAATTTTTCTTTTTCTAACAATTCTTAGAATATTTTTAAGCATAATAATAATAAAAAGACAAAAAGTTATTAATAAAAAAGAACTGTTTATTCTTCAAGTAACAAGTCATCCATTACACACTATTATAGTAACTGAAACTCGTGACTTTATTCAATAATTGCAGATGAATAGAAACACATCAAAAATCACAAATTCGTATGTTTCTCTAGCTAAAAAAAATTATGTAAAAGTATAACGCCCTAAACATTTTATTTCTGCAACTATTACAAATTCTATTTTATCACTTCAGTTGCTAGCTTAAAAAGATTAACATATTCTAAAATTCGACTTTCAATTATCGCTTTTTTCTTAAGCTTAATATTTTTATTCCTTTTTCTTTCATATTTTTGCATGAAAATTTCATATATTCACGAGAGAAACAATTCAACAAATTCGAATATCGAAAACATGAGAATTTACAAAGAAAAAGAAACAATCAATTGAAAGCGAAAAAAAGAAAATATAATACAATTTTGAAATTTTTTTTGCAAATTAGAATATTTTTAATCTTCTCAGGTGTAATTTACATTTAAAAAAAAACTATCCTATCGAGAATCAAAAACGATTCTAAAAATTTACTGATCTTTGGAAAATTCTTTTCAATCTTTTTTTTTTCTTTCTTTGCGAAATTTATAAAACACAATTTTCCTCAAAAGATCATCATTCAAAAGTACATAAAGGTAAATTTAAAAAAAAAGGAATAATATACGCAATTTTGAAAATACTTGAAATATAGTAAAATTTTACAGTGAGTTAAAAAAAAGGTGTAGTGAAAATTACAAAAAATTTAAATAAAAGAAAAGAAGAATAAAAGGAGAAATTTTCAAGTATTTTCAAAAGCCTATATTATAAATATAAATGATTATAAATCTTGCAAATTTACAAAGCGCAATGAAATTTACAAGTTTAAAGGTTCATTTTTGTTAATCAGTTTTTAAACTGACATTATTAAGAATGTTTTCAATATATATATAATTATATTATTCAATTAGGCCCGAGACTCACGTTACTGATTTTAGTGAAAAAGACAATTTTGGCCTCGAATTATTTTTTCCAAGAATCTTTTTCTGTTCTTCTTTCACTCGTTTTTCATGTTCTTTTCTCATTTTTTGCCTTTCTTCTTCCATTAATCGTTGCTCCTCGACCATTGCAAGTCTTTCCTCGGCCTGTGAAATATTCGATATTTAGTTAATGATTTTATTATTAAATTATTATTGAAAATTAGGTATTGTTACTGATTTTCAAAAAATTAAATCATAAGTTAATGATTGTCGATAAATAATAATTTCATTATTCATTCTCTTTATAGTTTTCTTTTATTTATTTATTTTTATATTTAGCTTTAATTTTTTATTTTGATTATTCAATTTACTATTTATTTAAAAAAGCGAAAACAAATTGTGTCAATTAAATTTAAAATTATTTTTTAAAAATTCAACGAAACAATTGAATTTCTTTCAAAAATTATTATCAATTATTATCAAATTTTGATAAAATTCTTGGCAATAATTTACTTATTTTTATAGATAATAAAATTTTTCTGAGGAATTCAATTATTTTTAATGCAATTCAATTATTTTCAAGTTTTGATAAAATTGCTTGAATGAATTCAATTATTTTATTCAATTTAAAAATTGTAATAAATTTCTTTAAAATATAAGATTTATTTCAATAAAATTTAACGAAATTTTCAATTGTTTGAATATTTTTCAATTAAAAAATTGTAATTTAAAATTGTGAGAAAAGTTCAATTATTTCCTAAAAATTTTAGTAGAATTCAATATAATCTAATTTTTAATTGCAATTATTAACAAACACGATTATTCTAGAAACTTGAAAAAATTTTTTAGTAAATTCTATTAATTATGAAATTTTTAATTAAAACTGTTTTTAAAAAACTCCATTATTTACAAAAACTTCAAAGAAATTCTAATTATCTTCATAAATAATAATATTCTTCACGGGAATTCAATTATTTTTAAATCAATTTTAAGGAAATTTGTCAAATTTTATTTTTTTAGGTCATTTTAGGTTTTTACAGTTAAAATTTAATGATTTTCAAATAATATTTTTCAATTTTTAAATATATTCTTTTCTTTATTACAATTTTTAAAAATAGTATTATTTTTAAAAATTGTAAGAAGTTTCTTTAAAATATAAGATTCATTTCAATTAAATTTGACGAAATTTTCAATTGTTTACATATATTTTAATTAAATTATTTTCGGGAATTCAATTATTTTGAAGAAATTGTAATTAAAATTTTTCAGAATTTTTTAAATTAAATTATTCATTGCTTTAGTAATTTTGTTAAGTTATTTTTACTTTTCGTGATTTATTTTTCCTCAAGAATTAAAATTGTCAAAAATTACAATTTCAAATCTTTTGAAAATGATTTATTTATTAAAATTGTAACTGTAATTCTTCCGAAATTAAATTATTTTGTACAATTTTTAACTGGCAATCTTCTCCTCTAAATTAATTTTAAACTACTTTTTAATAATTTTAAAAAAGTTTTTTTAAAAATTAATTTTGAAAAAAAGGAAAGTTTATTTTTTAAAATACGTCTAAAATTAAATTGCTTTTAATTAATTTTAACGATAATTCCATAATTTGAAAATTGTTTAATTAAATTTATATAATTTAAAAATTGAACGAATTTTTAAAAATTTTATGAAAATTTTTTTAAAAAAAAATAAGTTCTTCATAATTTTTAATTTAAATTATTTAAAATTAAAATTTTTCTAAATTTCAATTTGAGAGCTTTTTAAATTTAAAGTAGTATTTTATATCAAGAAACTAATATTTTGTTGCAATGTGTAGAAAAAAGTAAAAAAGTATCGCCTATATAGTTTTTAAATTCTTTATTAAAAAAATATTGCCGTTTTTAATTTAACTAATTTTTAAATGGAAATTAAATTAATGTTTACTTTAATTTTTTTATTTTAACTTAAAATCTTTTTTAGTATTTAGTACCTTTGATAATTGAAAGAATTGTTTCTCTCTTGGTTTATTTATATAAATGTATTGTTACACTTCGTTTTAGAATTTGTTTAAACTTTTTTTATTTTGTAATAAAAATATTTCAACATTTATTTTTTTAAAAAATTAATTCTTCATTGCGAACGATCTTCATTAATATGATTAATATGTTAAACGAAAATTGAAAATATTATTAAGTCAAGAAAGAAGAAACTAAAAAGAAGTAATTTTTTACTAGTTGTTACTTAAAAGTCAATTATTACAAAATAATTTATTTAGAGAAGAAATTCAGTTAAAAATTCCAGAAAATAATTGCATTTTGGTAGAATTGCAGTTGTAATTTCTAGAAGTAATTACTAAAAAGACAATTGCTCAAAAATAATATGAATTCGGAGCCAAAATAAAATAAATCATCGTATTTTTTTCGTTTCTCAAAATCTTACCTCATTTTTTTCTTTTCAATTAAAAAATTAGAATCTAAAATTAAATAAAACTCACCAATTTCTTTTGTGCTTCCTCAATTTTTCTGTTGTTTTCCTCCATGATCCTCTCGAGTTCCTCGCGCTTTTTCCGCTCTTCTTCCTACAATGACAACAAATTCGGTTTAAAATCGAAGTGATGTTGACGGTTTAACTCTTCTTGTTACACCGTTCATATGTCCAAAAATTACAGTTGTTTTCTGTGTACAGCTTAGCTTTTACACATCCTAAGAAACCTTTTGTTTTTTTTTTGTTTTTGTTTGTTTGTTTTTTTTTTTAATTGGGAAGGAGGAGACAGGGGTCTTCCGATTATAATTTTTTTGTTTTTGTTTGTAACAAACAATCTTGACTGCAAAGTTGTCTTGACGTTAAAATCGCGCCTATAAACATTATCCTTCGAGAGCCACATCGATTTGCTTTCAGCTTCAATCCAATAATCGTGACTAAATTACTCCAAAGCATGAAAAGAAAAGAGAAATATGCTCAATATTTTTGTTGTTGTTGTTGTTGTTTAATATTGTTAAATATCATGCAAAATGTGAGAAAAATATTTTTTATAAATATAAATGTAAAATTCTGAAAAATTTTTTTTTCCAAAATTCAAACCAAGTAACAATTTATAGTTATTTTTATTTTCTATACAAGCAGAATGAAAAATAATTCTATTTATTTATAGAAATAATTGGAAATTATTATTTATAAATTGTTATTTATTTTGAAATTTCTAGAATTTGATGAGAAAGAAAAACTTTTCAGAAAATGTTTTCTTTTATAATATTTTGAAATGGAAGAAAAATAATTTGAACCTGGAGGACGGAAAACCCTTATCTAAAAAATTATTTCATTAGCTGACTGATTATCACGTGGTGCCTAGCAATAAAAAATATTGTTGGTACCAAGGAACAAGTTCGAGCAAAGAACAATAATTTAATAATTTTTTTTTTATAATGAATTATGAATATATAAATTGGATAATACCTGAATGAAGACTCACGCCAGCACGTAGGAGATGACTTCTTCATAGACAATCACTCAGCAGTGAATTAAAAACCGGCTTCTTCTCTTGGTAGTCAGATAGAGGAAGGTGACCTAAGTTTTGCTAGGTCGTGCTTTGTTGCTAAAGGTTTCTAATTTTCGACCCTTCTCTTTTTTTCTACCGTTCAGATTTTAATTTTCCGAATTTTAACTAACACTTACTTTTCAAATACAATTTTTCATTTTATTTTTATAAACAAAAAAATTAAAAACTGAATTTCGGGGAGGAAACAAAATTTTTTGAAGTAAAAAGAAAAAGAAAAAGAAAATAGGATACAAAATTTTAATGAATTAGAAAACCTAGTCCTATTTTTTCTTTTTTTTGCAATAGAATAAATATCTTTATTTGAATAACGAATTAACGGGGAATAAACTAAATTACAGTAACGGGAATTAAAAAATCGATTATCGAAAACTTAATGTCCATAAAAAGGGAGATATTGACGTTATGTATCACTGATGTTCTCTCTTGATGTGCGGTAATATTGCCAGGAAAAAAAATTCTCCGAAGCTTACCGAGGATTTTTTTTTTCTAATGTCAATCAGAATTTTTCACCGCTTCTTGCCTTTTTTTATATGTATAAATATAAATAGATATGTTTATATGTATATAAATATATGTACATGTACAGGTACACAGCTCTGAATTCACAAATATCTGTGTCATGCGCATATAATGGAGGAAAACCTTCACAATACCATTTTTCTTTTTTAGAGAAAGAGAGAGAAAAAAAAATCACTTCCCAACAACGCGACCTCAGTGGATGTTGGAAAGTAGAAGCACTTAGGTTTATTTCGTTCACTTTTATGTCATTTCTTTTTTTCAACCACGGTGCTTCTCACCCAAACGCTGTTACTGTCTTTTTATTAGCGAAATTCAAAAATCATTTTTCTAAAGAAATAAATTTTTGCTTATAAATATGAAAATCGACATCTCTTGCAAAAATGAGTTTACAATTATAAAAATATTCTTGACTTTTAGATTTTAGACTGAATTTAGAAGAAAAGATGTGTTGATTTAGAATTGTAAATTTAGAAGAGAGAAAAAAGAAATTAATGAATATGATTGATGATGGAAATTGAATGTGAGTGAGAAAAATGAAATTAACAGCGCTTGGGCTAACACAGGCCAATGTTTCTTTGGATTGGTCTTACCTCTCGTCGCTTTTCCTCTTCGCGTAGTTTTGCTTGTCGCCATTCCATTTCCTCCATCATTTGTCGTTCCATGGCTCGTTTAGCCTCTTCAACTCTTTTTTGTACCTCGGCCTCAATTTCCTCTTTTCGTTTCTCGAGCTCTTCCTCAACTCTTTTTTGTACAAGTTCCTCGATTCGTTTTGCAGCTTCCTCCTCAACCATTTTTTGCTCCACCTCACGCTGCCGCCTAGAGGCACACACGTATCGAGTGTTTCGTTCTATTTCTAATTCATCTAATCTAATTTACAAAATTTAAGAAAGTAATAATATTTTTAAAATCTAATTTTTGAAATTAAACTGAATATTAGAAACTGGGAATTCTTTTTCAGGGTTGCCACAAAAATTCGATATTATTTTTCCTTTATTTACAGGCAGAATTTAAATTTTTATAATTTTTACAAGCAATAAATTTAATTTCAATATTTTCAAAAATTTCAATAAAATTCTTTAAAAAAATTCAATTTTTTTTAACGTAATTTTAGGATATTTCAATTATTTCAATTGCTTATTCATGAAAATTAAATAATCTTTGAACAAATAGAATTGAAATATTATTAACAATTTGTAACGAATTTCCCTCGATTATTTACAAAAATTTAAGTAAAATTGTTTAAAAAATTCAATTATTTTCTATAGTATCTTAGGAAACTTCAATTATTTAAAAAATGTTCAATTATCTTTAAAGAAAAAGAACTAAAATATTTTTAAAAACTAATTTTTCCAAATTTACTCGATTATTTTCAATAATTTTATTAAAATTCTTTAACATATTTTTTTTAATATTCTAGAATCTATAAATAATTAAATTAATATTTTCCAGAAACATAATTGTTTCCTAATTTTAAATAAGACTATTTAAAACATAAATAATTAATTATAATTATTATTAATTTTAAATTATTAAATTAAATATTAAATTTTCAAACACTTTTGTTTAAATCCTTCTGAAATTCAATTATTTCTGAAAACTGCAATTGTTTTTAACTAAAATCTTTTCTAAGGTAATTATTAGAATTAATAATTAATAACTTTAAAATATTTTTTCTCAGAATTTAATTATTTAAAGTAAATTTAATTATTTACAGTAATAATAAAAAATTTAGGTACTGTTTTAAAATTCATTTTTATTGTGAAAAATAATTCAAAGAGTATTCGAGATTTGAATTTTTCGAAAATATTTTTGAACGCAAGAAATCAATCTTTTTTTTAGTAATTCTAGAAATTTAACATTTTTCCAGTATTTTTGCTAAAATTGACTGACATTTTCCTTATGTCCCTGACCTGTGGCAACCCTGTTTTTCAACTCTTAAAAACAATTGTCGAACACTTAATTATGAATAAGAATTTAAAATTCTTACCCAACTGCACTCGATACGAGGATTTTGTTCGTTAACTCTTTCTTTTTCCTAAAAATGACAAAAACATCTGTTTAAATAATGCATTACCTAACATTTTCTAGAATTTCATAATTTCCCAAACGTAACTTTACAGGTAAAATATTTCAGAAATTAAATTCCCAGTATTTGTAATTTTGAATTAATTTTCTACAATTTGCCAAAAGAAGAAAAAAATTCAAATACTTTTTTCTCTGAATCGTAAAGAAATTAAAAAAAAAAATTACTACATTTTACATTAAATCCAATAGTAAAACGATCAAGACGAAGAAAAAATAAAATTCATTCACCTTTGTCTCTCCATTTCCGCCAATCTTTCAACTTCGTCCATTTTGCGATCCCTTTCTCTGTCTCGATAAGAACGCTTTTTATGGCTGACAATGTGAATATCATCGGAAATATCTGATGCTGAACTGGAAGATGGAGAATGTGATCTTTTCCTGAAAAACAGTATTTTTTAAAATTAAAAAACCATTAAAACACTTTTAATCTACTAAATCTTTACCTGAACCTTTCAGTTAAATTCCCTTGGTATATTTCTAAAAAGATTATTCCGAAAAATATTATTTCGAAATAAAAAACAATAATCAAAAATTGACAAAAATATTCCATCAAAAACCAAATTGAAAAGTAATAATAATTACTATAAACTATTTACCTTCGTATTCCAAATAAAATTTTATCCACAAAATTATTACATTTATTGCTAAATGTAAATCTACAAAACAGGCAAAACAGTTTATTTACATAAAGTATAATAATTTAATATATTCAATACAGCTGATAAATGCAAAAATACAAACGTAAAGAGATAAAAACAAGGAGTGCTCATTGATTAAATGGGAAAAAAACAAGAAGGCGAAAAAGGATATTAGGAAAGAAAATTAATTGAAACAATTACTCAAGATAATTTATATAATAATTACCTTGATTTTGAACTCCGTTCTTTGGGCTTTTCTGAATATTTACTGGTTGAACGTTTTTCACGAGATTTCGATCTTTTTCGCGAGTGCTTACTCTTGTGACGCCGCCTACTCGGCGATTTACTCCGCGATCTTGATCTACCCATTTTTACAATTCTAACCGTTTTTCCTGATGACTCAATGACTAAATGCAAATTCAATTTTATTAATTGATTCCTTTTGGTGAATATAAATTTAAAGCACGTGAATTAATTTCCTACAAGAAAATATTTGACGTAAATTCACGAATTCCTATATGCAAGGAATACGACGTAGGCACCACACAGAGCGATGTGTTTTGTAAATAAATTATCTAACCGAATAAACTTTAGAATTTACTTAATTACTAATTTATATTAATAAGTTTCTATTAACGACCTTCTGGAAACGAAATTTATTAGATTTTTTTGATCAAATGGTATTTTCTTCGTACACTATAGCATTTTATGAACAATTCACTTGACTAATGTTGACTTTTCTTTCTTTTTGAGCACTTTTTGAGGTTATTAATTTGACTAGAGTTGTTTATGGCCGATTTACATGAGTTTCCATCATGTAAATTTACGTAATTTGCGTATGGAAAATTGAAAATACAAAAAATAAAATGAAGAACTATTTTTTTATAATATAATTAATTGTTGAAATTGTAAATTTAATTTGGTTTTTACTAATGTTGTTCTAAATTATACAAATTATACTTGAATACCATCTTGAAAGCAAGAAAAATAAAGTGAAAGAAAACAAGAAAGATGATTGGTTGCCGCCATCTTTAAAAGTTTCAAAAGTTCTGTTAAGAATTTTTGAGCGGTGCGGTTGTTTATAGGGTTTATAGTTGTTTTTGTATAAACAGTTTTGACGTAATAAAATTGGCCTATAAAGGTTACAATTACTGTTTAATATCCAGTGAAATACTATACACGTAAGGAAATTTGTTAATATCTGATATCTGTCAAAAATATTTGTTTTCAAGTGTCAACAAGTTTTGACAGTTATAACCTCAAATCTACTTGAAAGTGTAACAATGAATTATTCGAAATATTTTCAATAAAATCAATTCTTTTAAGTTGTTTAACATAATTTCAGATTTAAGAAGTGTTACGTGATTTAGATAAGTTGAATTTTAGAAATAAAGATAATTAAAATGAATGAGATTACGAAAAATGTTCCTGAAAAATATCAAGGAGACGTTACAAGAACTCTTGATGCAATGGCAGAACATGTCGAAAATCGAGGAAGAAAGTGAGTATTTTGAAGTATTTGATAAAAGTTATTTCCATAATTGAATAATACATAAACAGAAATGTTAATTAATTACTATAGTCACTATTATTTATTATTAAATATTAATAGTTGCACATCAAATTTTTTAGTTTTCGTTGGTCCATGGAAGATTTTCAAGTAGGAGCGCCTCTAGGTCGAGGTAAATTCGGTCGAGTATTCTTAGCTAGAGAAAAATCAACGCACTACATGGTTGCTTTGAAAACACTTTACAAAATTGAGCTGGTGAAAGGAAAGGTCGAGAAACAAGCCTTGCGCGAAATCGAAATTCAATCTCATTTAAGGTATTTTTATTTTTATCAGTTTTTATAAATAAAAAATTAATTTTTACCAAAAATGATAAACATCAACGAAGTTTGCAACGTTTATAATCGAGAATTTAGGAGAAAAACTATTTTTCTAATCAAATTTATACAAACTTCTAATTAAAAGATATTTTATGTACATACTTTCTTGATGAATCTTTATGAATAATTTAAAAGAATAAATTTATAAAAAAATCTTTGTTTTCCGCTTGATAAATACTTTCTTTTTCTTTCAATCGTTGATTATAGAGAATGTAAACTTCATTGACGTAATTATAAAAAAGAAAAAAATTTATTGCTTCGTAATTTATATTGTTTGTTATTCTATTTCAGTCATCCGAATATTTTACAACTTTTAACTTACTTTCATGACGAGAAGAAAATTTATTTAGTACTTGAGTTTGCAGCGGGAGGTGAATTGTATAAAGAACTAAAACGTCAACCAGGCGAAAGATTTAATCAACATTTGTAAGTTTAATCTTTTTGTTTTTATTATCTGATTTAAACTATAATTAAGTTTCTTTTATATACAAAATTTTTGTATTATATTTTCATATTTTATTATTTGACAAGCAATTATGTTGCGCGCACTTGTGCGAAAAACTTGATATTCAATTTATTTATTATTATTATGCAAATTACAAAATTTTTTATTTTCAAATATCAGCTTCAATTTTTAAATAATTTCAGATTCAAGATTTTAAAAAATCACTTATCAACTATACATAACTAATTATTCCTATTTATTGTTTTCAAACATTTTAATAAAATTCTTTACAAGAATTCAATTATTCTTATAAATAGTAAATTTTTTTGCAGAAATTCAAGTATTTTCAATACAATTTTTATAAAATTTCACGAAAGGATTCAAATATTATTTAAAATATGTACATATTAATAAAATTTTTCGAAAGAATTCAATTTTTTTTTAAATTGTAATAAAATTCGTCGCATGAATAATAAAATATTAAATTTAATCAAGAAATTTTCAAAACTTTTAATAAAATTCGTCGCTAGAGTTCAATTATTTTAATAAATTATAAAATTCTTCACAGGAATTCAATATTTTTTAAAATTTTTATAAAATTCCTTGAAAGAATTAAATAATTTTTAAAAATTTTGATAAAAATCTATAGAAAAATTCAATTATTTTCAATACAATTTTAACTGAATATCTCGAAAAATTTCTAATATTTTTCGAAAGAATAAAAAAAATTTGGAATTATTTAAATTTAAATTACATATTTAAAAAAATTTTAATAAAATTCGTTAAAAGAATTAAATGATTTTCAAAAATGTTGATAACATTTTTTAGAAGAATTCAATTAATTTCAGTACAATTTGAATTAAATTTTTGGAAACAATTTAATTCTAATGTTTTTAATAAAATTCTTAAAAACAATTCAATTATTTTTAAAAAATTTAATAGAATTCTTCGTAATAATTAAATTATTTTTAGAAATAATAAAATTCTTTTCAGGAATTCAATTATTTTCAGTACTATTTTAATAAAATTCAATAATCAAATTTTTAAATACAATTATTAACAACAAGGAATATATTCAAAAAATTTAAGAGATTTTTTGAAAGAATTCAATTACTGTCAAAACCAATAATAGTAGGTATCTATTTTTGGAAAAAAATAATTTATTTTCAATATTTTAGCAAGAACACTTCAATTAATTAAATTATTTAAAGAAATTTTTTTTAAATATATAATTCAATAATTGAGTGTTTAATATCAATTATTAACAAACACGATTATTTTTAAAACTTGAAAGAAATTCTTCATAATATTCAATTAAATTTTTCAAAAGAATTTAATTAGGATTCCATAAAAAATAATAATATTCTTCGACGGTATTCAATTATTTTCAAATGTTTTCATAAAATTCTTTGCAAGAATTTAATAATTTTCAATACATTGATTTTAAAATTCAAAACATTTAAAAAGAAAAAAATCTCAAACTGCGAAGAGATTACCGGAATGTAACGATTATTAATATAGATTTTGATTTATTTATTATTTAATTTTAATTACATAATTTATTACTTTATTTATGAGGCTGAAGTCCACAACGATTTTAAAAACAAAAAATAATGAGTGGTTTTTTTGTCAATTGTCTCTTAAATGACAATTAATTTCTTAAAAATTAACGCACATGACAATTAGAGATGAATTTAACTTGAAAAGAAATTCTTTTTTTATTTTTCATTTTTAAAAACGTTGCGGACTTCAGATTCGTTTTTATTTTAGTTTAATTTAATTTAGTTTATTTATTAATTTTGTTTAAAAAATGGCATTGACGTTACTAATTAATTTCAGGTCTGCAAAATACATTTATCAAGTAGCAGATGCTCTTGAATATTGTCACAGAAACAATGTCATTCATAGGGACATAAAACCGGAAAATTTACTCCTCACTTTCAAGGGAGACATTAAATTAGCCGATTTTGGCTGGTCGGTTCACGCACCTTCTTCAAAGTATGTAGATTTTTGTCTTAATAATTATTTTTTTGTTTGTTTCGATTTTCAAAATATAAAAATATAAACAATTTTACTTGTTTTAGACGTCACACTGTCTGTGGTACTTTGGATTATCTTCCACCGGAAATGGTGACATGCCAAAGATATGATGTATTCGTCGATCACTGGTGTTTGGGAATTTTGTGCTACGAATTTCTAGTCGGCAAAACTCCGTTCTTCAGTGAAACACAACAGGAAACTTATGATAAAATACGAGCTGTAAGAATTCCATGGCCATCGCAAATCACACCAGGAGCCAAAGATTTAATTTCAAGGGTAATTTTACACTTTCTTTTTTTTTAATGACTTTCATTCATTTTATTATCGAGAGTAAAAAAAATATAATTATTTTTGCAGCTCATACGAAAGGAGAGTAATAAAAGAATTCCACTCGCTGATGTTAAGAGACACTTTTGGATACTTGAACATAAGGATGTTTAAATTTGTAAATTTTTTTTACATTTAATTTTTATTGCTAGTTTTAGTTTCTTTTGATTTTAAAAATACGACATCAAGTTAATAATAATCAATTTATTTATACAATCTATGAAATAATTTACATTCGAAAATAATTTCCAAAACAGATGTTGAGAAATACATTTAAGAATTACTTTCTATTTTTTTTTGCGTTTTTCTTTAAATAACCTTTAATTCAGTTACCATTTCAGATAGAAAAAGAGTTTATTTACTTTTCAACAAAACTTTATAGTGTCTCGAGAGAAAAAATGTTTTTTTTTAAACATAATTCTTTGTTATTTTATTGAGCAAAATCATGCATAAATTAATAGTTCTCGATCCCATGTACCTGAGTAAATTTGCTCCCACGAGTCGTAAATCGGAGTTTTAGTATTATTATTAGAGACAGTTAATTCAACATTTTTCGAATCTTTAGTTTCTTGATAATCTTGATATGGATATTGAATTTGCCACCAGTCAAAAACGTCAACGTGAACAACACCGACTAATGTTATAATTTGTGTCGGAGTTTGTGGAACGTAATAGGAACCAAAACCAAGTACAAGACGATGATGCTCGAATCCTGGGGATAAATTCATTGATACAGTTTGTAACGTTAAACCAATTACTGGTTGTAACATACTGTACTGCAAGCAAGTAACCTGTGAAAAAATATATTTTTTAAAAATTCAACAAATAATAATAATAATTCAACAATTAGATTAAATTAATAAACAATAAAATAAAAAAGTTTTTCATATCAATTTTTTAAACTTACTCTGAGAACTTTACATCCTTCTTCTGGATTAAACATAACATCGTTATGAGAAAATTCAAAATTTTGATTTTTGTCATTATTCAAACGATCCATGTGTGAAATTTTTTTACTACCTTTTGCATCTTTTAATTTGAAAAAGAAATACCACCGATTTTCGCCTTTCTAAAAACAGATAATTAAACTTTATAATCTACTTACTAATATAAAATACTTTCAGGCTTTACGCAAATAACTCATTATTTAATAATTTTTTTAATAAATAATAAACTAATAATTTCTATATTAAAATATTATTAAACTTCTCTAAAACAACTAAAATTTTCAAAAATTTAAATTTAATATCATTTAAAATTTTATTATTTTTAAAAATTACAACTGTAATTCTTCTAGTAGGTATTCAATTATTTTCTAAAATTTCTATAATGGAAAATTAAATTATTTAAAAAAATTTTAATAAAATTATTCTTCGCCAGAATTCAATACACTTATTAACGCAAAATTATGGAAAATAATATATTTTCTAAATTTTTCTTGCGAAAATATTTCTACAAAACTTATTCTCCGAATAAGTAAATAATATTCTAAATAAAATTAGTTAATTATATCATATAAATTTGTATTAGTAAAAATTTGAACTCATTGGAACAAATGAAATTTTAGAAAATCAATTTTTTAATTATTCGTAGAACGAGACATAACAATATAAATTAAATCCAGTGTTTTTTTTTTGTAAAATAAATGCTATGACTGTATTTTACAGTAATAAAAATTAGATTTTTATGCAATAATTTATAAGTAAATATTCTTATATTTTGGAGCGATAAATTAAATTTACAATTTAAATTAACACTTTTAAATTCAAAACAATTTTGTTTAATTAATTTTTGTTATTTTTAAATCTTCACAGCATTAAATTCCAACTTTGTTAATTTTAAAATTGAAAATCTTATTTAAAAAGAAAAATTATGAAAAAAATTAGGATTATTTTTTAAATTTCAACTATTAATGGGTATAAAGTATTGCAAACACGCAAAAAAAAATGAACAAATGTAACTTTTAGTGTCACAAAACTGAAAAAATATCCAAATAATAGCAAAAATTGTAAAAAAAAAAATGTAAATATAGTACTTTTTAGTACATGACTGTGAAGCCTGTACTTTTTACTCCAAAAATAAGTTTTTGAATTACTTTTTTTTCTTAAATATTTTTAATCGCAAGTAAAATAGACTTAAAATTACAAAATCTAAAATTATGAAAATTCTTTACCTTATGCCACATAAGGGAACAAAAACGTTTTACCAACGAATGCGGATCTTTTTGCTCCATTTGTGAACGATTGTCAGGGCCTTTCAAAAATTTGCAATAACTAAAATGAAGAGCTCTAATAACGTAGAATCGAAGTCCAAATGGTCGTATTATTTGTCCAGGTTTCAAATACTGTGGTAAACCAGTTACAGATTTATGATGTCTAGAAAAATATTTTTTTTATTTAATTTAAAGAATAAACATTTATTATATTATTTATTAAAAGAATAAGCAAATTAAAAAATATACACTTCTTAGAAAATAAATCTTAAAATTTAATTTCTAATTCACGATATTTTATTAAAATAATCAAATAACTTACCGTCTTAATAGATGAAACCAAAATTTAGCAGTGTGTGTAACGTAATAAGATTTTTTACAAATTATTGAAAACTTCCCAACCATTTCAGGCGAAATATGTTCAGAAATAAGAAACCATAGATCTAATGGATAATCAATTCCTTCCACTGAATTCTCATTTTCCTCCTGCTCGAATTTTTCACTTTTTCTTTTAATTTCACTGACACTTGTGTCATTTTTCGGAATTGGTAAATCATCATTTTGCAATAATGAATCTTCTGTTATAATTAATCTCTGTTTCACTGTAATAATAACAAAAAACAACTTTCAATTATATCATCGATGACAATTGAATAATCAAAACAAATTAAAATTTGTCAATATATTGTGACTATATACAACTCCAATAAATTATTGTTAATTTATTTCAATTACTAACCATCAGAAGTTACATTTGCGACGGCTTTTTTTAATCTTGAATGTGATCCACTGGATGAATTGGCAAAATCATTGATGGTGATGTCTAAAGCAAAAACAAAACATTTAATGTAAAAAATTAATAAACAGCAATAATAGTTGAAAACAAACAATCAGCATAATAATAATTACCACCCAAATTCTTTGTTGTCTTTTTAGTTAAATTCTGTTTCTTTTGTCCTTTTGGTCCTTTGTTACGTGATTTTGAGCCTGGCATTTTGTAAACTTTTTCTAACGTTTTTCAAAGTAATAAAATACATTTCAATTTGATGATAAGTACAAAATATAATTGTACTCAAAGGAACATTTTCATTTTATCAAAAGTTTGACAATATTTCTAAAATGTCATAAAAAGGAATAAATCATTTTCAAACTATATACTTATTTCTACAAAATAAACAACTAAAGGGTCCTAATTAAATAAATTACAACTACTTTTTTATTAACAACAAGATGATGTTATTTTCAACAACATTGCAAATTCGGTGATAATCACCGTTTTGACATTTTAAGGTTATGTTTACTTTTAACGTCTCCTTTATGTTGATTGGTCACTTGCAAGAACGGAAATTGACAGCGATTGGTAGAACCCGAACGGCGGTAAATTCAATACTGTTATTTTTACAAATTTTATTATTAAATTCCAAATATTTTTATCTAAATATTGCAAAATGCAAATAAACTCAAGTATTAAAATTTTTTAGTTTACTGATTGTTTGTAAATATTTAAAAAACAAAAAGAATAGAGAATAAATAAAAAAATGTCATTAGTTTTAATTCTTCTGTCAGTAAAAAAGTAAACGCAGAATACTTTTGTATCTTAATTTTTTTTTTTATTCAAAATATTTGTATTACAATTACTCGTCGCGTGCATAATGTATTATTGGAATATAAACCTTGATTCTTAATAAAAAAAAAAAAAATGTTGAAAAATATGAATTAAATTAAAACACATTACAACATTTACTACTATAATTAAAGGTAAAAATATTTCTTCTTTCTTTTCTCTAAACATACATCTCACAATGAAGATCCAACTGAAGTAATGACAAAGAAAAAATAAAATACAATAGCATTGAAATATGTAATTATACTTTCTGAAGCAATACACTCATTTTTACATTAATAATTAAATTATTCGTTCAGAATTTTGAAATTTCTTTCTTTTGGCAAACACTTTCAAAGCATTTCAAAGACAAGTTGTCATTTTTATTGTTACTTTATTAAAAAAAAAAAAAATGGAACTTATAACATTTACAAAGGAAAAAAAATATAAAATACCTTTCTAATCATTTATAATTGTATTCGAAAGAAACAAAAAAAAAATTACCAGTTCCATTTTCGAGATAAAATAAACAAAATTCTTTGAAAAGATAAAAAAAAAAAATGTTTTGGATCTTTGATGACAAAAAGCCATTGAAGCACAATATTTGAAGTGTACTTTTCTGTGATCAAATTACATTATCTTTTTACAAGAAAAAAAATCTTAATTCTTTTAAAACAAAAGATATGTACATTATTGTTGAATGTAATCGAACTAAAAACTTGTTTATCATAATGAACGATATAAAAAAAAAATTACGTAATAGTAATAAATGAAAATAATTTCTTTTAATCATCGATCACTGGATTCTTAATTATCAAAGTACTTTTTTCCTCTCACTCTCTTTTCTCTTTCTTTCTTTTTCTCTCTTTCTCTGTCGACTCAATTCGAATCTTTGAAATGTATAATAATTTATGTCAAAGAATATATATATATATATTTTTTTTTATATAATATAATTAAATTCTTAGGAGTTGAAATGGACAATACTAGAAGTATTATTATACACGCACTGTGTGCCTTGTTTGCCTTTTTTTTTAAAAAAATGAAAACTTTAAATCCTAGACTCTTGTCACTTTTACAAGTACTTGTGTTTTTTATTGAGATAATTCAAAATTTGAGGTATAACCAGTGACAAAAAGTTTACCTAATGTTACTTGCTTTCTGAACCAATAGACGTTGTATCCTTCTCGTCATTGTCATTCTCATTCTCCTTTGTTTCAGCTTCCGCAACAATACTGTCGTCTTCAATCTTTGACACGGCTGTCAATGAAATATTTGAATTTATTAATGAAAATCTGCTTCTGTCGGCAAAAAAAAAGGAAAAAAAATTGGAGTATTGATAATAAAAAATAAATATTTAATACCTGTCGTTTTGTTTGTAGTCGCAGGATCTGCTATGAGGGAAAACATTTTTTCCTCGGACATATCCTTTGTCAATTCTTTAAAATGATCCACTTGATCAGAAAATGATTGCCAAAATGTTTGACCCTCGGGGATCGTGAACATTGCCTAAAATGAAAGTTTTTAAATAGAAAAATTCCAAATTTTGCTTTCAAATAAAACAACGTACCTTAAATTTATTGTATATGTGCTCGGCTTTTTGTCTGATCTGTTCGGCCTTTTGCTTAAAAATTAACTGCAAAGAAACATAAATTTTATCTCTAATATAAAAACAAACTATTGTGATTTTTCATTAAACAATGCTTTTTAAATATTTACCGTTTCATCTTCATTCAGTTTCCAATCTGATAAATTGCCAATATATCTCCTTAGCTGAAATTTATAATTAATATTTTAAAAAAAATTTTATAAACATCAATTTATATAAGCAATAATTATCAATCAAAATGTAAGAAATATTTTTTGTTTGAATTAATTTCAAATTTCTCCTTTTTTATAAAGGAAAAATTTAATTAAGTTGTTGAAAATTTAATTTACCCTTTTAATAGTTTCGACGATTTGCGGATGTTTCTTCAGCATCAGTGGATCAATTGAAAGATTTAACATGACATTCATTGCTTGTAAACATTGTTCGGCATTGGCTTTATCAAGTCCCAAATTTGATTTGATTTGCGCATCTAATTCTAAAAGTTGAGATTCAATGCGCAACCATCTAAAATAGAGAATTGTAATAAATATCCTTTTAATCCCACTCGGGACAATTTTTTACTAAAATTAAAAATTAAATTAAACCATCACAACTACACGCAATCGTGAAAGTAAGTTATAAAAAATTTATTTTTGAAATTTAATGAAAATTTATTGTTTTTTAGAAAATATAATTTTTTCGAAATATACTTCTTCAAAAATACGATTATTTCGAAACAATTTTTAAAAGTAAAAAAATTAAATCCTTTCTAATATAAAATTTCAAAAAATTCTAATTACGATTTTTTAATAACTTCATTTTGTCAGAATTTTTAAATAAAATTTGTCAAATTCATTCATTTGTATTTTATTTAATTAAAATTGGACAGAACTTCCATTCATCCAATTCTTCAAATATTTTCTAAAATTTTAACTGAAATTCTTTTTCAAATCAATTCTTATCAAAACGTTGTACGACAATTAAATTATTTATTATTAATTATTAATTAAACTAGCAAATGATACGGGTATTACATTTATTATTATTATTTTGTAAATCAAAAAACTTTATATTTTCAAGAATAAACATCAATTTTTGAATGATTACAGATTCAAAATTTAAATAATAAAATTCTTTAGAGCAATTCAATTATTTTCATCACAATTTTAATAAATTTTCTCGAAAGAATACAATTATTTTTAAAAATATTAATTGAAATCGATTATTTTCAAGAATTTTAATATAAATTCAATTATTTTCGACAATTTTGATGAAATTCTTTTTAAAAAATCAAAAATTCAGATAAAATTCTTTGAAACAATTCAATTATTTTTATGATTTGTAAAATCATAAGCAAGAATTAAATTATTTTCATAAATAAGAAAATTCTTCGCAGGAATTTTAATAACTTCATTTCTCGAAATATATTTTCAAGAATTTTAATATAAATTCAATTATTTTTGACAATTTTGATGAAGTTCTTTCAAATAAATCATTATTTTTAAAATTTTTAATAAAATTCCTTCAAAAAGTTCAATTATTTTCAAAAATTCAGATAAAATTCTTCGAAGCAATTTAATTATTTTTATGAATTTTTGTAAAATTCTTGTAAAGAATTCAATTATTTTCAATACAATTTAAATAAAATTTCTAGGAAAAAATTCAATTACATTGATTCAATTAATTCAAGATAATTAATAAAATTTCTTTAACTGATTAAATTATTTTTAAAAATTGTAAGAAAATTTTTCTAAACAATTCAAATATTCTCAAAAGTTTGTAATAAAATTATTTGCAATATAAATTTCAATTAAAATTACTTAAAAAAATTACATTATTTTTACGAAATTTAATAAAATTCTTAAAAAGAATTTAATTTTCAAATTTTTTTAATAAATACTTTACAAATAATTGAATTTTTTCAAAATTAAAAAAAAAAAATAAGTGAATTTTTGAGAAGAATTTTATTATAATTGTATTTAAAATAAGTGAACTTCTGTGAAAAATTCAATTATTTTTAAAAATAATTGTATTTTTACGAAGATTTTCATTATTTATAAATTGATTTTTTGCAAAAAATTTTATTACAATTATTGAAAATAATTATTTTAAAGAATTTTAATAAAAATCTTGACGAAAATTAAATTATTTTTAATACAATTTCAATTATATTTTCTCAAAAGAATTCAATTATTGAAAAAAATGTTGATAAAATTCTTGAAATGAATTCAATTATTTTCAAATTTTTTGATAAATACTTTACAAGAATTCAATCATTTTCAGTACATTAATTTTAAAATTGAAAACATTTAAAAAGGAAAAATTATTTTAAAAGTTAGGAAACAAAAAAGCAAATAGCAACTAACTTCAAACAGCGAACAGATTATTAATATATAGATTATATTAATTTTTTTGTAAATTAAATGAATATAAAAGAATAGAAAAAAAGAATTTAGTACTCACTTTAGTTTGGAACTTTGTTGATTATTTTCAACTTTAGCAAGAGGACGTTGCTTTCCATCAAGTTGAACATTAAAATCCAAACGATCTTTAACTTGTTCGGGAAAAATTTCTCCACTCTCCAATTGTGCTTTCAATTTCATTGCTTTTCGTGCGCTCGTCGTCTCCCATTGTTCTTGAGCTTTATCATTTGCAAATGACATTGGTCGATTTAAATCGAGTTTTATTCCAACATTCTCACCAGAAAATGTACGCGCATGAAGTAAACGACCCTTGTCTTGTGCTGATGATGTGATTATTGCATCACTTGGTAACTCACCGGCATTACTTTTTCCTATCACAACAAAAATTAACAATATTAATATTTTTTAATATAAATATTTATAGAGTATTTAAAAAGAAATATAATATATTTAAAAAAAAGTATATAAAGTATTTTAAAAAATATATAAAGTATTTAAAAAAGAATATAAAGTATTTAAAAAAGAATATAATGCATTAAAAAAGTATATAATGTATTTAAAAAACTATGTAAAGTATTTTAAAAAATATATAAATAAAGTATTTAAAATATTTTTCATTTAAAAATACGATTAAAATTCAGGGAAGGAACGCACTTTCCGCTGTAAGTCGCTTTTTGGTGACAGCGGCAGGTGTAGAATTTTGACTGTCTATCGACTCTTCAATTTTTCTTGGCCTTCCACGTCCTGGATGATGTTCTGCAAGAAATTGAAAATTACAGAAATTGTAAAGACAACAATTGGTTTCTCCTCTCACGTAAACAGCTGCGAACTTTTCATCCTTTAGAAATTGTTTTTCTTAAACCAAACTCATACCTACCTATTCAACTCATTTTCGAATGAAAATTGAACTTAGTGCAAGGAAAGTGCAAGCAATAAAGCAAATAAAGTAAATAAATAAAAACAAATCTCTTCTAAATAAAAATTAGAAATTTAAATTCTGCAATTTTTTTAAAATTTCAAAATATAATTTTTAGATTTACAAAAAAAAATATTTTATCCATAATTTTATTCACTGCGACACTTCAGATAATTTGCAATATTATCACAAGCACAAATTCAAAATAATAATTTTGAAAGCATAAATAATTTTTCTTAAAAAAAAAAAATTATTAAAATATAAAAATTTGCCAAAAAAGAAAGGATAAATGAGAAATATAAAAACAGAAGAACTACGAAAAAACCAAAGCAACGAACTTTATTACAAACGTAATAGGTAATACTTTTCTTTTGCAAAATTCACCATACTCTTAGGTCACTTCACATAAATAATGATACAATACTATCAATGAATGTTAAAAAAAACAAAATTAAAAGAATCCCTCTTTCTTTAAAGATCGTATGTGAAATAATGTAACTAACAATAAATGTTCATTCACTTAAATATTTAAAATAGAATATAATATCAAAAGTCTCTTGAAACAATTATTTAAAAACAAAATAAAAAATGATAAAGAGAACAAAAATTCGTGGTAGTGATAAAAGTTTCAAGAAGTATAAAGAGAAATAAAAAAAAAACCAAGTTCTTAAATGAAAATCAAAGAAATACTCCCTTAAAGTTAATAATAAACGAAATTTATAGTGAATTTTCATTTAACTGATTCTTTTTCATGCGAATATAATTGAGACCCTCTATTAATACTAATCTAAATAGATTATCAGTTGTTAAATTTTTAGTCTCGTTTGTCTCTCCGTCTCCGATTATCTTTTCCAATATTTCTTGAATTACAGATGTTGTCGAAGAACCTTCAAAAATTATGAGTAATCAAAAGAAAAGCCATGATTATTTTTCGGTTTACACAATATTTTTTTCCTACGCACTATTAACCAACTATTTAACTAATTTCTAGTAATAAATTAAGAATTTGAAAATATTTGAAAAAATTATTACGTAAATAAAAAATGTTAACGTTACTTTTAATAAAATTATTATTGAAATCTAATCTATAACCTGAATAAATGAAAATCTGAAATTAAAATGATGTAAAACGATAATTAATGTTAAAAAAATTTTTTTTTTAAATAAAAAAAAAGATAAAAATTTCATCAAAAGGATCATCATTCAAAAAAAGAAAAATTTAAACGAAAATTTGTTTTTTTCTTTCATTCCTCAACAACATGCATCTAAAATTAGGAAAAATATACGTGAACCTACCATTTTTCTCAGTTTCGACTCCATCGGAATCGGCGAAACGTTTCGGCTTAATTTTTCGTCCACTTCGGCTGACGACTTCCTTTTCGTGAACTTCCTCCACTGGAACTTCAATGGATGTATCCTGCTTTGGTGTGTTCTCTTTTGGGCGTCCTCGTTTCTTTTTTGCTTCTGGAGCATCCTGCAAACACATTGAAAATTTGTATTAAATAAATAAATAAAAATTGAGTAAATAAAAAGCTATTAAGAAAAAAAGTTAGAATTAAAAACTTTCATAAAATTGAACTTTTCTTTAAAAGAAAATTATCTTAAAACTTAATTTTAATTATTTTAATATATGATAAGATTTAATATAAGATGATAATCTTCTTTGTAAGGAAGACAACTAAAAAATTTGAAATTATTCCAATAAAAAACGAAAAGTTTCGCAAGAAATAAAAAAATGTAAGGAATAATCGCACAAACCAATTAATCTCTAGAAAGGCTTGTCGGCAATTCATAATTTAATATCGGGTTTATTTGTACAACAATTGTAATTTTCAAAATTGCTGTTAGAACCAAGAAAGAAACCCTAAATTTAAATATTTAATTTTCTTTTTCAGGAAATTAGTAAAAAAAAAAAAAATTACTTACTGGTGTATTAATTGTAGCCATTGACTTTCTCTTCAATGGTTTTTTCTTCTCGCCTTCATCAATGACCAAATTTCCAATTTCCATATCACTATCAGTGTTAACAGGATCAGGTTGAGAATTTACCTTTTTTGGTTCTTCAACTGCAACAACAGCTGTAAATTAAAACAATACAATTACAAATTATTTTTTTTTACTTTTTTTATATTTTGAGAAGGAAAATTCAAAGAAAATAAAATACAAATTCAAATTTTCTGTTTAGTGATTCGTCATAATTTAAAAAGAAATAAACTAATGAACAACAAGAAAATTCCACCTTTTTTCTCTTTGGCTTGAGGTGCAACGGAAGGTGTATCATTTTTAAGATCCGCCTCTAACTGTTCCAAACCTTCACGGAAATATTTTCGTTTTGCTGCCTTAGAACTGAATTTTTCTTTATTTTCCGCATATTCGAAAATTTCCTCAAGTTTACAACTGGCGCTGAAAAATAAAATTTCCTTTTAAATAATCGAAAAAACTACCTTTAAATATATAAATATATTTCAAATTTCCAAAATTTAAGTTTCTTTAAAGGAAAATTTTCATTAGTAAATCCAATTAAATGAAACTTACGTCTCTTGAGTTCCATAAAAATAGACATGAAATTTAGGATGTTTATTGTTATCCTCAGAGATTTCTTCAATCTGAAAATAGAGAAAAGAAAAATAATCAAAAATTACATATATAAAACGAATGTAATTAAAAATTTATTAATATTAAATGCTTGATTCATAGAATCGAAAATTTAGACATTTTTTTATCAAAGAAAAAATAGACTATCAATATGGAATCATAAAAATAGTGCAAGTTTTCATTAATTACTTGATTATATTAATATTATTCGTGACTATAAATAGAATATTATTCTAATCATTCGAATAATAAAAGTAATGAGTGTAATCAATCTCACAAGAGTAAAGAATTCATTTCTGTGCGTGATTGATAGTTTTTAACGGCTTTTGCCGGATTAAGCATGGACAGGAAACCGCTCATGCCGCATGAGAAAAATATATTGCGTGCCGCATCATTTTTAATGAAAAAATATAACCCATCTCAAACGTTCCGAATAAATTATTTAACATTCATTAGATGAAAAAATTATAACAAAAAATAACTCTCACGTAATAAAGCGAGAATGAATTCATTATTAATTAGAGGAAAAAAGGAGAATGATTAAAAAAGATTTTTAGCTTACTTTAGCTGGCCATGGCGGGTGACCTCGAACTTTTGCAAACACTTTGTCTCCACGAGCAAACTTCTTCTGCACTCGATTAACCATTATGTTGTTTGCAATTTTGAATGTTTAGATTAAAATAATCTACTTCTCTAAATATTTATTTTAGTTTAAACTATGTACTTTTGTACTAAAACATCACAAAAAGTACCACCTCCATGAAACCGAAAACACTTTCTAGGCTTTTCTCCCCACCCTTTTCAAGAAACATTGGCTTTCATGATGATGTGATTTTCGATTAAATGCTCAACAAATCAGAAGACGGAGATAATGGAACTGGCCAATCAGAATCAGTTACATACCAAGCATAACCTATCTTTTCAAATCACTTTCAACGCGGGAACAAGTGCAAAATGCATTGTACTGTGTACTGGCTTTATTAACAAAACATTCCACACGATTTTTATCATTGTAAATAAATATACACTTTTTTAAAATTTACTAAACAGTGAAATAATTAGAAACGTAAAGAAATAAAGTAATTTAATAGCTATTTGTTAATTACAAACGTTTTTTAACCGTTTACAGCAATTCACAGCAGTTCACAGCGTTCACAGGACAATCACGCGATATTTCGCGGGATATTTCAATTTACTACAAATTCTATTAGTAATTAGTAGTAAATATCAACAATAAAGTAGTAACAAACGATAAAATAGTATCAGTAAAGTAACTTTTATTAACCATTTTTCTATTTTCGATTAATATTGAAAAACTCCTTGAAAAAAAGATTTTAAAAATGCGTTTTGTTTTTGAACCCCAAGAACAAAGAAAAGGAGTGTGAAACAGGCTTAATGCAAGTACAAAACGGAGAAAATTTTCTACTTTTACCTTACAGTTTTATAAAAAACTCTTTTATTTAATATAAAAAATAAACTATAATTACATTAATTGTTAACTTGTGTTTTAAAAAAATATTTCAATTTATTTTTCCAGCTAATCAATTAGATCAATTATAACCAGTGAAAATAAAAGTGAGAACTTATAAACAAAGTATAGAAAAACAAAGTTTGAGGTTAAGTGTTTAGAATTTGTTTTTTAATATTAAAAAATTAAAAAAATACACATAAAGAGAAAGTGTGATAGAACAATATATTTATTACAATCATTTTAATTCAATTGACATAAGTACATCAATCCAAATATGGAATGCAGTGAATTAAAAACAAAAATTAAACCTAAAATAACCGGTAAATGTCAAACAGGTTTGTTTATTTCATTTATTTGATAAATCATTTTTTATTTTATTATTTGCCGATCAGCTTAATCATTCGCTGAATTTCGCAATTAGAACGAATAGAATTGAATTTTCCTTTTTTTAACTTCTTTCTAGAAACTAAACTAAACAAATTGTTTATAATATATGAAAACACGTGTCATTTCTTTTCGCAGATATATATCAATTTCGATAAATTGTCAACATATCAGTGATGTACATTCGATAATGTTTACAATAAAATGAGGTGAAATCAGTTTGTTTATGTAATTATAGCATAAAAGTGATATCACCTAAATATATGAAACCACACGAAGGAAATATTGCATCAAGTCGCGCAATAACAACCGAACAAAGGGATAAAATTACAATTGAAAATGTAAGAGGATTTCGATTACAATTTTTCTTCTTTTTTTTGGTAAAAATATTCAAATTTCCCCTCTCGAGTAAATTAAATTTTGATTTGTTTTGAAATTGAAAAATTTTCTAGAAAATTTTTTTTTCCAGAAGTTATAATCGACAGTCGCGCGAGAACACTCTTCTTGTTACACTACTACCGCGCGAGCGATTGGTATGCGATTTGAAAGCCCACTTGTGACGTAGGCATGACGCAGCTTCAAGAAAGTGATCTACGGTCTGATGTTTATTTTCAAAGTTTCCTCCTTCGAGAGTCAAGTGTTGATATGCAGTCAAACCAGTGTAGTGTGTGAATTGCTTGAAATTTCTGCTTCCGTAAAATCATCGTCTTCACTGCTATAAGACTTTGAATATATTTACTTGGCAAAAAGGAAGACACGTGCAAAAGTTTGTTGTGCTGTGGGGAAAAAAAAGGTGTTTTGTTTGCGCGTGTGATAAAATTCCAAATTCCCCTGACGTGAGGTGGCAAGCGAATCTCCGATTGGCCAAAACAAGTTCACGATTGATCGCTCACGTTGTTGGTTGTTCATGTGACCTCTCTTCTCGTGTATGTAAAACTTGTTATTTTTAGAGAGAGAAAGAGAGAGAGAAATAATTGATTTTTTTCAATTTGGAAATGAAAATTGGAAGAAAATGAAATGTCAACAACAAGAATTTGTCAAAACAATGCCAATTGAAAAAGTGCTAATATATAGTTGAATATATTTCGTGATGTTGTATTTTGCTGACGAAAGTCATGGTCATCAGGCGCGCAGGTCGTGAACAAGCTCGAGGGCTATGTAACTTGATTCTTCGAACATCAGACTGAGACAGAATATAATCAAGACAAGTCAAGACTTGTTTTTAATTTCAGTAAGAGAAGTGAAGTCGACAAGTGTTGTTCTATATGTATTTTTTTTGTGAGTAGTTAATTTTTGCTGAAGAAAATAGTTTGCATAATCAGTTGAAGAAAAAAAAGTGGTTCGTTGTACTCCCACGCGAACTTGTGATATCAGTGCAATGCGTGGATTTCCTGCTTTTTCAATTTTCAAGCGCTTATCAATATTTTTAATAACGTGAGCGCCAGTAAGCACGCGCCATCAAGTGCCATCGGGTCACAGATGGACCCTCCCTACCAACGTCTAGTTGCTTTGTTTATGTTTAGAGTGTGCAGAAGACTCGAACTACTACAGCGCGCACAATTTACTCCAATATTTATCCTCAACACATTTATTAAATCTCTAATATTTAATGTTGTAATTTGAAATTCCTTCTCTTTTAAATTATTCCCTTTATTTTCAATAGTGGAGTAACATTTTCTTTTTCATAAACAATTGACTAAATTTTGTGTAAAATCGATTTCCCCTCCAAAAAGAAATATAATTCGTGTGTGTGTGTGTGTGTGTTTCACTTCTAATGGAAAAAGAAAAAAAAAACAAGTAGTGAGAGTAGTGGGGCGATTCTAGTGTTGGATTATTCGAGGTAAACAAAGAAACTCGGAAGAAACTCAGATGTTCATCCATTAAAAAAAGTGGTTCGTAAAATCCATTCTTTGACAAATATTACTATTCTTCTTTTTATTTTTACTAGTAAATTGGAATTAAATTTTTTTTTCTCCATATTGTCAATATAACGTAATTCTCAATAAAAATCACGTAATTTTATCAGAACACGTGGCAAGTTCCATTGAACAATAGTTGCCCTTTTTTGGTTTATAAGAAAAAAATACATTATTCATACAAAAAGATTTATTACACACTTATTTTTTTCTAAGTTATCTTTTGTTGATGCAAGAATTGGAGTGAGAAAAAAGAATTATAATTTCTTAAAACAATGTTAATTTTTTTTTTATCGTAACCTTGAGATTATGGAGTGAGAATAATTTAGAAAGAATCACGTTATATTAAAATTAAGCAGTAATTATTTAACAGAAGTAATTCAACAAAATTTAATACAATAAAGTAGTTGAATAATTATAGTGAAGGAGAATAAAAATTATGTTTTAACAAATTCTTATTTTTTGAAGGTCCTTTGATAACGAAAATTCGAAGGGGACAACAAACAAAAAATGGGAGACTCTGTGTATCAGGAATTTTTCCTCGAAGTCGGAAGCAATGCAATGGATGAATTTTCAATAAAACCGGAGGGTATTAAACAAGAGCCACCAACTGAGATGGGAACATCGGCTTCAGTACCAATTCCCTGTGGACATCGTGGTATACGCGGTGTTTATGATCAATTTTCACCATCGCCATTGGCAATAAATTCAATTTGGAGTACAAGACCTGATCAAATGGATTCACCGTTTAAACTTGATCCACTGCAATTGGAGACATCATTTAAAATGGATGACGATGATATTTTTCAAGTTGATAAAGCCGATCTCATTCAGGGGCCAACGCTCGCTGAACTTAATGCCAATGATGACACACTTTTGGGCGATTTGAATTTCGATGATCTTCTATTGCCAGAGGAGAAAATACAATTTAAAGTAGGAACTGATAATGTGCCATCAGCGAGTTCATTGTACAGTAGCAGCAGTGGTCCATGTTTTGCACCGAGCAGTTTTCCACAGTCAGCTCAATCATTTCGCAGTTGTCCAACTTTTGTTAATAATTCAGGATTTAATCTTAATGGTGGTATTAGTCTCATGGACAGTTTAGAGGCGGTCAGTCCCTCTGCATTTGCAAGTCCTGGCACTAGTAATGTTGCAGGTGAGATAAACATTAATTTGTTTTTTATATATATACAAAAAATAATTTTCAAAATGAAATAAATTCGTATACAAAAATAAAAATAAATTCATAAAAAAAAGAAATAAATTTGAATACAAAAATAAAAATAAGTTCGTATAGAAAAAAAAATTATTTTGAGTCTTACAATTAGAATAATAATTATGTACTTAGAGACTCGAGATAATTGTGTCACAAAAGAATATTAACTCCAATTCAAATGATTCATTCATTAAATAGTACACTAATTACTTTATTTAGTTTTAATGATAACACTACTATTTTCTAAAAGAGAATTTCAAATTTCATGGGTCACAGACTTTCACTTTTTCACCTTTTTTTAATTTTGTCACGTATTTTCATCTGTTTTACCTTCTTTGGAAATTTTTCAAATATTTCTAATCAATAGTTTAGTTTCTACAAATCTTTTTTTTATTAAAAACTTTCATTAAAATTAGAATTAGAATGTTTCAAAAATAATATTATTTTTAATTAATAATTTAATAAATCATTCACTAAAATAGAAATAAAAATAAATTGAATTTTTTTAAACTTTATAAATTACTAGCAAGTAATACGCGTTATTCCATTTATTTTTTTTTTAAATTAAAAATTGTATATTTTCAAGAATAAACATCAATTTTTGAATGATTACAGATTTAAAATTATAGGAAAAAATTCAATTATATTCAAGATAATTTAATAAAATTTCTCTAATAGGTTCACTTATTTTTAAAAATTGTAAAAAAAATTTTTCTAAACAATTCAATTGTTCTCAAAAGTTTTTAATAAAATTTTTTGTAAATTTCAATTATTCTCAAAATTTTCAATTAAAATTACTTTTAAAAATTACATTATTTTTACGAAATTTAATGACATTCTTAAAATAAATGTAATTATTTACAAAAACTCTAATATAATTGTTTAAAAGAATTAAATTTTCTATGAATAATTTTAATATAATTTAATAAGAAAATCGTTTCTTACAATTAATAATAAACACGATTATTTTAAAAACTTAAAAGAAATTCTTCTTAAAATTCAATTATTTTTAAAATTTTCAGTAAAAATTATTTTAAAAAATTCATTTTTTTCAAGAACTTTTTGCAAAGTATTTTATTACAATTATTAAAAATAATTGAATTCTTTATAAAATTCAATTACTTTCAAAATTTTCAGTAAACATTATTAAAAAAATCTCCAATATTTTCAAGAAAATTGAAATAAAATTTTCAAAACAATTCAATTATTTTAAAGAATTTTAATAAAAATCTTTCCACGAATTTTCAATACAATTTTAATTACATTTTCTTTAAAGAATTCAATTATTGAAAAAATGTTCATACGAAGAAATTTATTATTTATGAAAATAATTGAATTCTTGTGAAGAGTTTTATTAAAATTTTTGAAAATAATTGAATTTTACCGAAAAATTTTATTAAATTTTTTTTAAATAATTAAATTTGTACGTTGCAACTAATTATTTATGTAAATAATTGAATTTTTTTAAAGAATTTTATTAGAGTTTACGAAAATAATGTAGTTTTCTTTTAAAATAATTTTAATTGAAAATTTTGAAAATAATATTGATTTTTATGTATAATTTTTTTTAAGGTTTTAAAATAATCACATTTGTTAATAATTATGATTAGAAATTTGATTAGTAAATTCTATTATATTTTTTGAAAATAGTTAAATTCTTGCGAATATTTTTATTAAAATTTTACGAAGAAAAAAATAAAATTAACCGTAATCGCAATAGAGTCAAATTATTTAATTTGCATATAATTTTATTTTATTTCTTTTTTGACACCTTTTTGTCACCAATTTTCATAAAAAATTTCACCTTTTCACCTATTTAATAGAAAAAAAGGTATTGTGATCCCTGGAGTTTAGACTGTTTCGAAATTCATAAAGTTGAATATCTTTCAATGTAGTTTACAATTTTATTTTTGAATTCAAATTTATAATTTTATTCTGCATTTCCACAATCTATTAAAGTTTTATGAACTTCTTTTTAACTTATGATTGAGGTAAATGTAACGAAATGTAAAATAAAAAAAAAATTTCTAAGAGAACAAATTCATTCTTATAATTCTGAGTGAAAAACGAATGTTTCGATGATCTTTTCATAACTAATTTATTAGCCTTGATAAAACAAAGAAATTCAATGATAAAAATTGAATTTCAAAAAACAAATAACACATTTCATCTGTTTGTTCTTCTTCTCTACCTAATTTAAAATTTTTTAATTTATTTCTATTTTTTATTTATTGGCTATTTGCTATTTTCTTTTTCGAATTCAGATTACTTTTTTTTTAAAAAAAAGGAGAAGGATTTGTTATCATTAAGAATTTATTAATTATCAAGAATATTATTAAGAATACATATAATAATAATAGGAAATAATTCAGAGAAATCTAAAAATTATTTCCAATTATTTTCAGAAATAAACTGAAAATTTTTATAAAAAAAAATTTTATTCGTTATAAATTTATTTTTTACTTTATTTTTAATTTGTCTTGGATAAATTAGGTTTATATTTCATCTTTTAATTTATTTTTATTTATTTACATATTTTCTATCATAATTGAATGAAACTGAATAGTTCTTTTTTATAATTAACATATTTTCTCAAATACTTAAATGGCTTTTATTTATTCAATTTTCAAAGCTGAAAAAAGAATTTCAAAAATAAAACTAAAAAGATATTTTTGATAATCATATTTTCTGAAATAATTCAATAATAATTATTAATAAATAAATTTTCGAATTATGCAGGAAGTTCCACGGCCAGTTCGTCGACGTCTCCCCATCCAATTAGTAGACCGACAGGACAATCGACACTTCATGAATTGTTGATGAAAAAGGGCGAGAATCCTCCAAATAGTCCAATGTACAGTCAAATGGAATCAGTTGGGACATCTAGTAAAAGTAAAGTTTCAAGGCTATCAATGTCGGCACCGACGCAATCAATGGGCTTGGAACAAATCTGGGCGCGAAGGGAGCCCAGGCCACATTTACTCAGTACCGGAAGTACAGCGGGCTTAGGATTGACCGAGGCTGGCTCAACGAGCAGTTTGAGTACAGGCGGTGCTTTGAGTCCCGATCCTCTAGGACATCTCGATCCACTTAGCCACGATGAGGGTTATGAGGACAGCGACGACGATAGCGATCATTATGACGATTACAGTAGTGACAATGGTATTTTTTTTTTAATATTAATGTCCCTTCTTTATTTTTCTACAAATTTTATTTTTCCTTCGTGTTTTAATTTTAGTCTGAATTTTTATTTAGAAAATTTCTCTTATTATGGTCAAATTACTCTTATTTTTCTTTTTATTATCATTCAAATATTAAGTTATTAAGTTATTTTAGAAAATAATTGAATTTTTTCAAAGATATTAAAAAATTTTTAATTATTGAATTCTTTTGTGAAATTGTATTAAAAATAATTGAATTTTTGCAAAGAATTTTTCTATTTATAAATAAAATTGAATTGTTTCGAAGAATTTATAAAAATTTTAGAAAGTAATTGAATTTTTGCAAAGATTTTATAACGATTTAAAAAAATTGAATTCTTTCGTTAAATTTTCTTGAAAATAATTGAATTTTTACAAAGATTGTAATATTTAAAAAAATAATTAAATTGTTTCGAATGATTTATTAAAATTTTAGAAAATCATTGTATTCGTTAGTAAAATTTTTTTAAAAATTATTGCATTTTTGTAAAAAATTTTACTATATTTATAAAATTAACTGAATTCTTACGAAGAATATTATTATTTTTGAAAAGAATTGACTTCTTGTGAAGAATATTATTAAAATAACATTTTTTAAATTAATAATCAAGAATAATTAATTAGTAAATTACTTAATAATTGAGTTTTTTTAAAGTTTGAATCTGAAATTATTCAAAAATTCATATTTGAGGATAAAAAATGTTGTTATTTGCATAATAATAATAAATTGAATACAACCTTCCGCGCGTAACATTTGCTAGTTTCATTCTATAAATTTAAATTTTCCCTTTTTATATTTTCGAGTATTAATTTCTTTCTAAACTTATATTTTCTCTATTTATTTTTTTCTATATTTTAATTCCGCTCTGAATTTTAATTTCCGTTTTTTATTATTCTTCAAATATTAATTTCCCTCTAAATTGTAATTATTTTTTCTAACACACGCACGGAAAGTACACACGGAAAGAAAAGGTCTGGAAGAGATATCCATAAAAATATTGTTGAGCAGAATATTGTTGTGTTATCCAATTCCATGGAAGAGACAACTTTCAGAATGGAAGCACATTCCATATTCAATGGATGAGGGAGCCATATTTTATTGTTGAATCAAATATGGATGCGACATCCATAGGCATGGTTGTGCTTACAATTCATGCTATGAATTTTCACATATGGCTGCCTCATTTATATAAACTTTGGTTGGGAGATCCATAGTTAGTTCAAAATTTCGATACATGTTGCGCGCAATTCATTATCATGGCATCCATTTAGAAATGGTCGTATCAATTTGTCCGTCGCGTCGGTTCCTGTCACGTCTATATAATCACGTTGTGAGTTTATTGTGTATAGTGTTATAATTGTTCATTATTGTCTATTAGTGTTTATGTGAATTCATTTTCATGAAATATGTGTATAGTATATAAGGAATATTATATGCTTAAATATTGTAGTTGCGTGTATAGTGTAGTGGATAGCGTTAGTGTTTAGTATGTGTTAGGTCTAGGGTTCGTGTCTCCCCCATCGGTGGTTAATAATTTATTTCGTAAATATGCGGTTATTCAATAAGTAAGTGGTGTGTATTAATTAACAAAAATGTGTATAAAATATCTCAAGTGACATGGAATTTAATTAATTAAGTGATTCCAATTTTTTGTTTCCCATTTCCATTACTATGGATCACCCAACCATATAGATCTTTTGCTGCTACAACAATATACAGCCAGCCATAGAATATGGATGCAGCAACCTTAACTATGGATATCCCGTATTTTTCAATATAATATGTATATATAAAGTATGTCTTTTCCGACGAGAGGGAGGGAATGTTTCTTTACCTCCCTCTGACGTCATAACGGGGAGAGAAAAGTACTTTACCTCCCTGTCGTCCAAAATCACATGTAATATATTTTAATAACAATGTAAAGATAAAATGTATCTTTATTTACGACTAAATATATGTTTTATTGAAAATTGTTAAATTGAGGCCTTGGATCCAATAACTCGCCCGACGCTCGAAGGCACGCGCTAATACCAGTCGGGTAGCAGTGAGTGGCCCAGAGGCGCTCACTGCTCACTGACTGGCAGTTGCGCGTTCCTCCGAGCGTCGGGCGAGTTATTGGATCCAAGGCCTCAATTGTTAAAATTGTTAAAATGTTTTTTTTTTGTTTAAAATTGTTGTAATTGTTAAATTGTTGTTTTTGTTTGTTTTTTAATTTGTTTAAATTGTTAAATTGTTGTTTATTGTTATTGTTAAAATTGTTAATTTTTAATAATATTAATCATTTTAAAAAATTATACTATTATTACAATAAACTTTCGGTTGAAAAAACTATTGTCGTCAAAATTTTTTATGAAGTGGTTGTACTTTCCGTTTACGTGTGTTAGAAAAAATAGTATGTGCACCACGGGAGGAAAATGATTTCCACTCGTGTGTTTACAGTTCTCGTCTTCGCTCGCAGCATTCGCCTTCGGCTCGTGTGCTCGCTACGCCTCGAACTGCAAAATCCACACTCGTGGAAATCTTTTATTTTCCTCCCTAGATGCACAATATACTATTCCCTTTTTATTTTTTTCTAAATTTTAATTGTACCTTTTTTATTTTCATACAAATATTAGTTTTCCGTTAAATATTAATTTTTCCCTAAATTTTAATCTCCCATTAAAATTTCTCTCTAAATATTAATTTTCCTCGATATTTTAATTTCTCTCTAAATATTAATTTTCCTCTGTATTTTAATTTCTCTCCAAATATTAATTTTCTTTTTGTTAAAATAATTTACTTTCATTTCTATAGAATTTTGTTCAAACGGAAAAAATTTCTTTTTGAACAAAATTCTTACTTTAACTATACTTGTCATTATGCCTATTGTCCTTTTATTATTTTTCTCAAAGGCAAATGGAAATTTTTGTACTCACATTTAGGAGGACATGGAATTTTATTTTATTGCTTCCTCGTGAGGAAGCTTTGTAGTCGTTTAATTTACAAAATTTTTAAAAATCCTTTTAACAAATTTCAGGCTTCGAAGTGAAACACTTTTCCACTTTTTTGACACTTTTTTTGGTCAAGCCTACTTTTTGCTACTTATTTTGTCAAAAAGCTACTTTTTGCTACTTATTTTGGCAAAAAGCTACTAAATGCTTCTTTTTTCCAAAAAATGTAAAAAAAATTTACAGAATTCAAGAATTTTAGTTTTTTTGGTGAATTTCGTAGATTTCAAAAAGCCCGCCAAGTGAATTAAATTTATTATTGGACGCGTGATTATAATATATTATAATAATTACTAATAGTGGATGTTTATTAAATTACAAATTTTTAACGTTTCGAATTTTTCGTATCTAATTTTATTATTCTTTAAGCTTCTTAAAAAAATTAAAAACTAAATTTTTCATTTTTCACTATATAATTTAATAGTAATACCTTTTTTGACTTTATAAAAGTTTCATCAAGTATAGAAAAAATCAATTAAGAATGAAAACTTAATTCTTTTGGTTATATAAATTGTTTGATTAAAAATCCAAAATAATATTTATTTAACGTGATTATTTATTATATAATGTTTACAAACTTTATGTCAAATTTAAAAATATTAATTGTATTTTCAATAATACAGTGTTTTAAGTCGGTTGTTCAATAATAAAAAATCTATCTAGAAAAAAAATTATAATTTTTTTTATTGGAATTAAATTGCTCATAATTTATTATTGTACAAAATTATGGCTATGTGGATTCTAAAATTTTAAAAATTTATATGACTAAAAACAATCCATTTTTTTCATTTTGATATCTGTTATTAGTAAATTACTAAAAAATGTTTACGTTTCATTTTTAAAAATTAGATGGCTGATAAAAAGTTATTGATAGTTTTTTAAAAAATAATAAGGAGAAAGAAGGTGTCAATTTAACTTCTCAAAATTATGAGCCTGTTATTAAAAAACAAATTCTTATGAAAAATCTCATTTCAGTATTATTAACAATTACATTTCATTATGTAAATAAAACTTTCCAATGTAAAATATCGACAAAAAAGCTATTATATTTTCATGTTTTATGTTTATAAATCAAAATTTAAAAAAAATTTTGTGAATTCCTATTTTTAGTATTTTTTTCTTTCAATTTTTTGGACAACAACATATATTCACTTACTTTTCTTACTTAAAAAACTAATTTTACTTCATTTCTAATATGCTACTTTTTGCTACTTTTTTCAATTTAGAGGACACTTTTTTCTTCCAAAATGATTTACAACTTGTTTTATTTTATTTTATTTCATAAGTGTCGATATGTCAATCTATTGTCAAATAATCATAAAGTTCCATTACAAATATTTTATTTTCAAGTGTATATATATATATATATATAGTTTTTAAATAGAAATATAATTTTTTTACATAGATAAGATATTTCAAATACAAAACTAGATATGCTAATTTGGTAAACTGACATTTTCAAAAGTATATATGTACGTATGGAAATTTAATTACATAATTAATTGTCATAAGAGCTGAACAATTTGTACTTCCTCTTGAAAATTAAATTAGAGAAAAATTCCTTTCTCTGATATTTTTCAATGAAAAAAAAGGAATTTAATAATCATAATTAGTAGGAGAAAAGTAGAATTAATAATTTAATTTCATTTTCGTATTGTTTCATCCAATCGGAATTTTAATCTAAATTTTCTTTGTAGTTATTTTTTGTATTTTTAATTTTTTTCACAGTCGATTATTTATTTTTTTAAGTTTAATTTTTCTAATTTAAAGAGAAAGTCTTTAGAATGGTTTTGAAGAAAGATTTAAGTTTAATTTTTCTAATTTAAAGAAAAAATCTTTAGAATAGTTTTGAAGAAAGATTTTCTCGAGGTTTTCCTATTTTTGTTATAAAAAGCACTTGAATGTAATATATATATTTTTATGAGTAAATATTGAAGTCTAAAAAAAGAATAACTTATAAAGCATTCAGTGTACACAAAACATGTTGATCCGCAAACATGATTATTATTATTATTACTAGGTAAATTCTGAAATGGATTAAGTCTCTGACAATTCAGAAAGTCTTTGAAAATCTTTAAATTCTTCTAGTGAACAATTTTGTCAATGAATTTTTGTGTTTTTTTAACTATTATTATATTGAAAATTCTACTATTAAAAATAAAATATTGTTCAATTTTGTTAATTTTTCTTTCTATAGTTAGAATATATTTTAAGAAATTTTCTTTTTCATATCCGTATAAAAATACAAGTGAGAAAATATTCATATCAGACCATTCTTATCTATTATGATTAAGATTATTTTTTTCTCGTTTCTATTCTTATCATTGACATCAGTTTTAAACAAGTTATTATTTTTTTAATAAAAATAAACGAATGTATAAAATATTTAACTTTACATTTTTTCGAAATCATTTGAATTTGAAATTTGTAATTGCAATAAAGTATTTTACTTCACTTTATTTGCAAATTTTATTTACATTTTATTTATTTTATTTTTTATTTAGTTTTATTTATTTTCTTGACTTTTTTTATTTTAATCTAGACTTTGCAAAATGAATTAAATTTTTTAATTTTTCAATTTAGGAACAGGCGGAAGTGACGGTGAAGATCAGGGAAGCGTGGGAAAAGGTGGCGGCGGTACTGAATCGGCAAAAGAAGCGAGACACAAAAAGGAGAGATTCTTTTGGCAATATAATGTACAAGCAAAGGGTCCAAAGGGTCAGCGTTTAGTTGCACGTGCACGTTTAGAGGATCCTCATGTTTTAAATGAGGTGACAGATCCGGTATTTAGTCCACATTGTGCATTGAGAGGAATAAAGCACAGTGGAAAAGCGAGAAAAGGCGATGGCAATGATCTTACGCCAAATCCAAGGAAATTATTCAGCATTGGTCGTGAATTGGATAAATTATCACGCGTTATCAACGACATGACACCTGTTTCCGAACTGCCATTTACAGCACGGCCTAAAACGAGAAAAGAGAAAAATAAATTAGCTTCTCGCGCTTGTCGATTGAAGAAGAAGGCACAACATGAGGCGAATAAAATTAAACTTCATGGCCTTGAACAAGAACACAGTTGAGTCCTTTAATTTTTTATTAATATTTACCCGCGAAACGCGGTGTTCACTTTTTTTATTATTCTGTAAATTACGTAAAATTTTTTTAATTTGAAATATCAAGTTCAAATTTTTGAATAATTTAGAATTTTAAATCTTCATTTATTAACTAATTAACTAATTTTTATTTTTTACTTTCAAAAATTTTTAATAAAATTCTTCGAATTGTTTTGAAGAATTTTTTATCAGAATTGTTGAAAATAATTTAATTTTTATGAAAATTCTTGAGAATAATTGAATTTAAATATAATTATTAAAAATAATTTTATTCTTTGGAGAAATTTTAACAAAATTGTATTGAAAATAATGGAATTGCTCCGAAACATTTTATTATTTATGAAAATAATTGAATTCCTCTGAAGAATTTTATTATTTATGAAAATATTTTAATTCTTGCGAAGAATTTTCTTATTTATGCGAAAATAATTGAATTCTTGAGGAGGACTTTACAATTCATAAAAATAATAGAATTGTTTCGAAGAATTTTAGCTGAATTTTTGAAAATAGTTGAATTTTTTGAAGGAATTTTATTAAAAATTTTGAAAATAATTTATTTTTAAAAAAGAATTGCATCAAAATTGTTGAAATTAATTGAATTTATATTAAAATTCTTGAAAATTTAAAATTTTTTAATTTGCAAAATAATAATAAATGGAATACCGCGTTTCGCGCGTATCATTTCCTAGTTATTTATAAAATTCTTGGAGAAAACTCAATTGTTTTTAAAAATTTAAATAAAATTCTTCGAATGAATTCAATTATTTTCTATTGCTATTCAATTTTAATGAAATTTCTCAAAAGAATTCAATTATTTAAAAATTTTTTAATAATATTCTCCGAAGTAATTGAATTATTTTCAAAATATTCCATTTTAATTGAATTCATCAAAAGAATTTAATTATTTTTAAAAATTTTAGTAAATTACTTCGAAATAATTAAAATATTTTCAAAATTTTCCATTTTAATTAAATTTCTTAAAAGAATTTCATTATTTTTAAAAATTGTAATAAATTACTTCGAAAGAATTAAATTATTTTCAATTCAATTTTAATTAAATTCATGAGAAGAATTTCTTTGTTTTAGAAATTTTCATAAGTTTCTATGCAAAAAACTAAATTACTTTGGATTCAAAATAATAAAAGTTCCAAAAATTGTAACATATCTTTAACAAACCTTATAAATCTATTTTTTTATTTTAGATTGTTAAATTAAATTTACGAATTAAATTTTTATTTTTATTTCGAAACACTTTTGTTGAATTAATTTTTGTTATTATTTAATATTTAAAACATTAAATTGGATTTTCATTAATTTAAAATATAAAATATTTAAAAAAAAGGAAAATACGTCAGAAAAATTAGAAAAAAAGAATTATAATGTTATTTTCCTAACTGAATAAATATTTTTCTATTTAGAAATTCTAAATTAGAAATGAACATTAAATTGAATGAAAAAATGGAAATGAATTGAGTGGAAAATAGAATTATTAAATTTGAAAATTTAAATGTCAATTTATATGATTATAAGTCGAATGCAATAATTCATTTGAGATTTTATTTTAAAAAATATACTATGTTACAGAGCGGCTGATTCATGGCATATCTCAAATAAAACACACATTGGCTGCAAAATTAACGGAGCCAAATCCAGAAGTTCAGGAGGAATTGACACGGCAAATGGATAAGTACTGTAAATTGGCAACAAGTGAGTAAACAATTGAAAACTTTTATTATCAGAAAAATCAAAATTTTCCACTTTGGAAATTATAGGAAAAGTGTAATTAAATTTATATGAAATGAATAAAAAATTCCATTTGTTTCAGAAGTACGAATAGCCAGTCATTCAACAGATTTTGTAAACAAAGTGCTGGATAAAGTTAGATCTGGAGTACCTGATGGAGGCATCGATGAATTTTAGTATATCTTTATCGACATAGTGATGATGAAAAGCTGGCCATGCGATTACACTGCTAGAGCAGTTTTCTATTTTTAAGATGATCCGAGATGTCGCAAATAGATTAGATTTTATTGGTAAGCTTTAACCATTTTCAGTTTTCAATTTTAAAAAGTCTAACTTAAATGAATATATACATATATAATATTTATCAGAAATAAGAAAAAAAAGAAAGGAATTATAAAATAATAATTACGTTACTCATCAAAAAAAAAAAATAAATAAATAAGAAAATAACGTAAGTAAATTATTTTTGTTAAAATAAATTATTTTTCTAATTGTTATAAAGAATGATATAACTTAAAGAATATTTTACTCTTAAATTGACTAATTTCTCAATAGTTCAAAGAGTTGAATGTAATTTTTAGATTGCATTCAAGAAAATTCTGTAAAAAAATCGAAAAAACATTTTAACAAAACAATATTTATATAAATTTAAATACGATTATTATGACTCTTCAATTTTACAAATTAACATTTAAAAAAACGAATTTTCCAATCTACACAAATGTTGAACTTTAATTTGAAATTTAATCAAAAATTTAATGTAAAATCTAATTTAAAATTTAATTTGAATTAAAAACAAAATTTAATGTAGAATCTAATTTAAACGTTAATTTTGAATTAAAAACAAAATTTGAAGACAAAATTCATTTCAGCAGTTGAAAAATAATTTTCAAATTTATTTATTTATATGTTTTTACATAATTATAAAAATTTACAATATTTTTTTGAAATAAGAAAATGTTTTTCTGTAAATTTTGAATATATTTTTATTTATCGGTTTTATAAAGTTATTTTTTTGATCAATATAATTGTGAATCAAAATAAAATTATAGATTTAAATAAAAGTAAAATAGAAAAAGAAAAAAAATATACGTGAATGACGATAGAATTAAGAATAGAAGGAATGATGTAATTTTTAATGTGAAAATAATTTAATGCTATTAGAAATTTTGTTCTTTGTTACTTTCATTTTTGAAGGTGGTTAAGGCTCACTTTGTATTAATTTATTAATTAAATGTAATTCATATTTGTAGTTTATAAAATAATTACCTATATTATATATATATAAATGCGTCCGTGCTTGATAATCGCAAGGTCGTCATTTCGAATTTTTCGTTTTCATCATCTTTTTAATTCTTGGGAGAATTTTTTTCTACTTTCTTTTATTTGTAATAAATGAAGTAGCAAAATTATTTCTGAAAATTTCGTATTTTTCGATTCAATTCTTAGAGATTATTATTATATCATTCTTATTCTTATTATTATTATTTATTATGATTATTATTTTTATATATTATTATTTTTTATAATTATATTTATTTTTGAAGTTCTCTTTCTTTAATCTTTGTTTTAAATGTTCATTCTTTAACTCTGACGTCTTTTTATGTTTCTTTATGTACAATTTATGTTCTTTTTTAATCTTTTTTTAATTGTGTATTCTTTATTAATATTATTATTATTAATAATAGTAATTATTTAGTTAATAATAGAAATTAGCAAATAATAATAAGAATAATAATATTAATAATAAAGTTGAAATTATCGATCACTCTGAGTCAGGTTGAAAAAAAATATAACAAATTTTATATTTTTTTTTTAAAAATATAAAAAAAAATATATAAAATTTGTTATATTTTTTTTCAACCTGACTCAGAGTGATCAATAATTTCAACTTTATTATTATAAATTTGCCGAGTGATAGCTTCAATTATTATTTAATAATAATATTAATAATAGCTAAACAGAAAAAGAATAATACTAAATAATAAAATAGAAAATCAAATAATAAATTAGAAAATAAACTATTAATAAATAATAAAATAAAAATATAATAATTAATATTAATATTAAACTCTCATTTATTAAACAATTTTTTTCATGGAACTATTGAAAGTAAATATTGTAAAAATTAATTCAAAGAATCGAATTAAATGTAATGTTTCATAGAATTTAATTTAGGCACTCAGTGAATTAATTTTTATTAAATTTTTTTTTACAAGAAAACTTCACTTTTTCGAAAAGTCGACTTTGCCTTTCAAGCATGGAGTAGTGGCTGACTTGGTCTACCTCAGATGAAACGCTATACCTGTGTAAAAACAAAACAAAAAAACTTTAAGCGACAAATTTAATATAAATTTATAAAAATTAATATTAAGAAAATTATAATAATAATACGCGTATAAGTATATGAAAATTGTAAGAAATGCATATATACATTATATACGTATATAAAAAGTAAGAATACATAATATATATATATTATATTTTAATGTAAAAAAAAGAAGAAAAAAAAATATTTGGAGAATGTAGCTCTGGTAGCAATTCTCATTTAAAGTTTAACATAATATTGTCGCGTTTGATTTTTAAAATATATTTTATTAATATATTAAGTAAATTTAACTGCGATAACAATTATTTTTCATGCTCACAATATTATAGTGCAGCTCTCGTCAATTGAAATTGCCTATGAAGTATATTTGCATCAAGATAGAATGTAAGATTACATTTTTGAATTCCTTTTTTTTTAGCATATACAAAAAAGAAAAAGATACTGTACATTTTTCACAAAAAAAAAAGAAAAAAAAATATTTATTTATTTTTAAGATCTTCAAAAAACGCCAATTCTATTTTAGAAGGAAAAGAAACTTTTTTTTGTATTTTTTTCGAGAAAAAACCATTTTTTTTTATAAGATTGTAAATATTCTGGATTATTTATTATTATATTGTTTCGTTTAGAGTGTTATGTTAAAATAGTTAATTTTTTCTAGAGAAAAAAAAATCTTTTCTTTTTTTCAAAGACAATTTCAAATTAATGAATCATTACTATATTCTTATTTTATGCTATGATAATAATAATAATTTGTGAACAGTTTCTTTTTTTCTTTTAATACTATAAAAAGACTTTTATTGTCTTATTACTAAAGACTTGTCACGATTGTAAAGTTCCATAAGCAAAGATTTATTTGTCATTATTGTAATTCTTGAGAATTTGAAAAATATTTGTCAATGTTAATAAATATTTAGAAAAGTAGATTTAATTGTTAAGTATGTAAATTTTTGTTTAAGCTTAATTATTTAATTAGCAACAAGTGTTGTCGTCCAAAATTGTACTTTTTTTTAATTTCTATAAAAAAAAACTAATTTTTTAAAAATATTTAAAGATTTAATTAGAAATTAACGATTTTTCGTTTGTTTTTTTGAAATAAATTCCTTTCTATAGAATGATTAGATTTTTGAGAAAAAATTTTAGATCGTGCTGAAAAAGTTTTATATAAATAAATATAGAAGAAAATTTTTTGCTGATGGAACACACACACACTTTCATTATGTTGAAAAATATTGTATTATTAATAACAATTTTTAATATTATTCAATCATTTTTCAATTTTTATGATAGTATAAATATAACGCTTATCAATTTGTAGGATAATATCGCGCTTGAAAGTAAAAACAAAAAAATAAGTTAATTAGTGATTTTTTGGTTTTTTTTATAATTTTTTTTTTTTTTTGTAATAATTATATATTTTCATTGCTAGACGACTAGTTTGTTTGAAAGTTTTATTTTTTTAAAAATGTTATTTTACACACTGAAAGTGAGTATTGATAGAATGAAGGCAGGATGTAAATGCCAAAGCTGTTTTTGTTGGAAGGTGAAAGAAAAATAAATCATTATTTGATAGTTTCCTTTTTTTACAGTATCTCATATTTTATTCACATTGTATTTGTAATATCTGTTCTATAATATACATGTGTATAAATAAATTATACATCATCTCTTCATGGACTATTAATTATAATAAAAATTGGCATTTAAGTCACATAGGCAAAAGCTATTATTTTATACGTCTTTTTTTTTAATAAAGCCGATGTCTATGAAAGCTTTTTTTTTGAACTTGGATTTTGTAAATTCAGAAGTAAAAAAAAAAGAGATAACGGTACTAATTCCATTTTTTTTCAGTCAAAAGAGAAAAGAACGATTGTGACTTTTGTGCAGAATACAAGTGGATTAACACTGTATTAATTAAAATCATTTACAATGTGAAATATATGTTTGTGTTTTATCCTAAATTTCTAGCAAAGTATTTTTTTTTTACTCTTTCTCCACTGGAGTAAATTGAATTTTTTTTTTTGAGAATTATAAAGATAAAAAGCTTTCTCAAAAATTTGAGGCAGTTTATTACCAATAATTTAATTATTTGATAAAGAAAGAATATTTTGGTAAAAGGAAATCCAAAGCTTTTTTTTATAATTTATAGTAATTTCCGGAAAAAAGTGATATAGGCAGTAATTTGTTGTACAATTTGTTTAAAACTTGTTTTGCAGTAATTTGTTTAATTCTCTTATAGAATTTTTGATAAGAAAAAAAAAGAAAAGAAAATGTTATACATTTAACTCCCTAATGTTTAGTTTTTTTATAGTATTTAATGACTAAAAAAATCATATGAGTAGATTAAGTTTGAATCTCACATTTGTATATCGTTACATTTTCCAGATTGTTAAAATAAAATAATTTTTAAACTCTATTTTTCTCCATTTTCATTTAATTTTCCATAACTCATCGAAAATGTATAAAAAAATTGTATTTAATTTAATAATTCATTTTTAATTTTTATACTTCAATTAAATCTAATAATAGTTTAATTAAATCAAATAATAATTAATAAATTAATTAAAACATTAATTTATGGATTTTAATTTTTAATTTATGTATTTTTTATAAAATTACGAATTTTTTAGAATTTAAAATTATTAATTGACTTCTATATTCGAAAAGAAGAGGAAATTTTTTTGAGTTCTTTTTTTAAATGTATTTTTATTTACCGATCATTCATTATTTTTCACAAATTATTAAATAAAAGTTAATAATTTTCTTAAAAATAAACATAAACTTCGTTTTTTTTTTGTAAAAATTGTCAAGAAATAAGAACTTAACAATAAAAAAAGGTGTTTTGAACACTTTAATACTGTAAACGACAGCAATATCGAAAAATTAAATTTGATTTTTAAAATCAAACGAGAATTTTGAATATAATATTCAAATTACAATTTTAAGACATGATCATTTTCTGCGGATTTTTCTATTCTTTTTTTTACAATTTCTTTTAAAGCTTTCTTCACTTTTTTAATTTACGAGAAAACTTAACATGATGAAAATTCGAGACTTAATGATAAATTATTCAATCGACTAGAAAATCTTTGCAAATAAAAACAATTACAAATAATTGTCCAAATTATCGAAGTGATGCCAGAAAAAAGAATTAACTATTTCTTCTGACATTTTGTATATATCACATCTTTTTTTTTCTTTGCATTTTATTGCGACGATATTTAGTATTTTAGCATTATTTCATTAAGAATAAATTATCTATTCTATATTTAAAAAAATGCACATTAAACTTAGAAATAGGCAAATTTGTTTGTTTATATGTACAATGCACGGAAAAATTATTATCACCTATATTATTATTTACAAATTATCAACTCGTTGCGTTATTTAGAGAACACAGCAAGTTGGTGAAAAATGTGTACAAAAATTTTTTAGCTTTTTGTTTTAAAAAAACAAGGTAAGGAACAAAAAGAAAATATGAAATGATTTTAATCTGTTGCGAAACTTTGCCAAAAGTTAAGAGAAGGAAAATTAGTTTATTCTGTACAATTGTTTATTTAAATTAAATTTAGAAAAAAAGTATTTTTTACCTTCAGTAGAAAAAAAGGAAAATATCCTTTTAAATAAAACAAACGAAGTATTTTCAAATAACGTAAAAGTTTAAAACTCATGTCAATAATTATAAGTAATTTTTGGCAAAATTCGTCACAGAAGAACTTGAATTTAAACGTAAAACGACTTTCAAAATTTAAGAGTGAATTTGAATTAAAATTTAATATAGATAAAAAATTAAATTAAATTAAATTTAAATTTAATTAGATTCGTAATGAATTAAAATGTTTCTATTTTGTTCTGTGATTAAAAAATAATTAAAAGTACTTTTTCTTTATTCTCTGGTCGCGAATAGATTGAAATCGCAAATAATTAAAGTTTAGCGAATTTTTTTTTAAATTCCTGATTCTGAAAAACACCTTACGAAATTCGTTTTACGTTTCTTTAAATGCTGTTTAAAAATAATTAAGAAGCTCTCAAGTATATATTAGTGCAAAGAAATTCCTTGTATCCAGGAGCTAAGATCACTGGTTTCTTCGCAATTAATGCTGAGCTGTTGTTGTTTATCATTTTTTTTTCTAGTTTCAAGGCATAATTGGGCAGCAGTTCTTCCCGTGAGATAAGCACCATGAACAGTGCTGTAAAATGACGAATGCGTATGTTCACCGGCAAATGCAATTTTCACTTTTGTCTCATTTGGTTCAATGAGAGGTCGAGCGAGACTCTCAATATCAATTTGACTCGCGCCAATTGCCATTGACGTGTAGGAACCCCTTGTAAATGGCTGTGAATGCCAACTTGTTCTTAAACAACCTTTCGGAACGGGAATATAGGGATCATTTAAAAATCGTCTCAATATCGTTGTACAAACATCCGATACTTCTGTTGTGCTCAATTTCTCCATATATTCAGCGGCTTTACCCGATATCCAACCGAGAAGAAGTGTATCCGATATTTTTGTAAATGAATAAATTTTCCTGTACCACGTTTTACTTAAATCTTGCTTTTCCTCGTCGGTTAATTTTCTATCGTCCCAAAGGAGCATAACTTCCGAAATTCCTGGATTTAAAAATGGTCTTTCGTATTCGAGAAATATTTTATCGACAGTACCAAACATGAGACGATCAATTGCTTGTAGTTTATAAATTGGCAATGGTGGATCGAATATTTCTTGAGCTTTCTCCTTGAGAACACCTAATGGTAATGTGCATATTAATTGTTCGGCTTCGATTTTTTTTCCATTCTCACATTCGACTTGAATTAGGGTATTTTTCTCGTTCTCGCCAGGATCCTTCGTTCGCCATCTGTATAAGAAATTAAATAATTTTATTATTGTGGAATAGAATAAAAAATAATTGCATAAACTAACATAACTACATGCGAGGGGAATTTTAAAGCTCATTCTTACTTACAAAATCTTTCTTTTTAAAAATTTATTATTTTTTAAAAAATATAATTTTTGGAAATATAATTCTTAAAAAATACGATTATATTTCAAAACAATTTTTAAAAGTAATAAAATTAAATTCGTTCAACAGGGTTACCATACAAATTTAATTTTGTTTTTCCCTGATTTCCAGACAAAATTTTTACTTTTTCCCTGACCGTAAAGAATATTCTGATTTACTCTAAAAATGATTAGTTACTCAAAAAGAAAATGTTCTATTGCATTTATTTACGAATTTCTTTAAATGTAAAATTATTCGAAAATATCGATAAATTCAATTTTAAATAAATATTTAATTATTATTTTTCCATAGGAATAAAGATTTTCAAAAATTTCAAATTCAAATCTTTTGACGATTTTTAATAAAATTTTTAAGAATAATTATATTTTCCAGAAATCCGATTAAAATTGTATTAAATATAATTGAAATTCTGCAATGAGTTTTATTATTTACAAAAATAATTGAATTTTTAAAAAGAATTTTAGTATTTATGAAAATAATTGAATTGTAGCGAAGAGATTTATAAAAAATTTGTAAATAATTGAATTCTTGTGAAATTTTTATGATTTATGGAAATAATTAAATGTTTGCGTAGAGTTTTATCCAAATATTTTTTTTATGCAAATAATTGAATTCTTTTGGAAAATTTTATTAGAATAGTAGACATTTAAAATCATTGAATTGAGGAATATTTTTGAAAATTATTGAAATTTTGTGAATTTTGCCAAGAATTTTATTAAAATTTTTGAAAATAATTGTATTTCGGAGGAAATTTATTATTTATAAAGATAATTGAAATTTTTATGAGAATTTTTAATAATTTTTGAACATAATTGAATTTTTGAGAACAATTTTGTTACTTTTAAAAATAATTGAAATTTTGCCTAGAATTTTATTAAAATTGTTGAAAAGAATTGAATTTTGGAGATAAATTTTATTATTTATAAGGATAATTGATATTTTAACGAGAATTTTTCTAAATTTTTGAATGTAATCGAATTTCGGAGAAGAAAAAATTTGTATATTAATTAATTAATTGTATTTATTTGTATATTTGTATATTTCTATTCTCCAAAATTTAATTATTTTTAGTGTTTTTAACTAAAATTCTTTACTATAAATCCATTATTTTCAATAATTAATTAAATATACATTAAAAAATTTAACTAATTTCAGAAGAATTTGAACTATTAAAATTTTTCATAAATCTAAATTTTTTCAAATTTCTAATTAAATTCATTAAAAACTTAAATTTTACAATATTTTAAATTAAAACCTTTTGAAGTTCATCTATTTATGAAAATTGTAAACGCCACTCTTTTAAAATTCATTTAATTTTGAAATATTCAATTATAATTTTCATTGAATAATTTATAGTTGTAATAATTTTATGTCAGTTCTTCAAGAATTAAGTTATTTAAAAAGAAATTCTTGTCAGAAAGAGAAAAAAAATGGAATGTTTTCTTTAGATTTCGTGTTAATACTTAGAATTTCTAAATAACATTTTTCAAATTTAATTCATTTTTATTTAATAAATTATTTTTGATTACTTATTGTTATTTATTTGTTAACCCTGAATTAAAATTTCAAAATACTTTTAAAAATGTAAAACCTTTTGGAATTTAATTATTTCTGAAAATTAAAACTGTAATTCTTTCAATTCTTCAAACATTCCCTAAAATTTTAACTGAAATTCTTTTTCAAATCAATTCTTATCAAAAAGTTGTACGAGAATTCAATTTTTTAAATAGAAATAATGATAATTTTCTATTAAAATAGAAAATAATTGAATATTTCTAAGAATTGCAACTATAACTCTTATGAACTTTTTTTTAGAAATTTCAGAAATAAAATTCATAGACTATTTAAGATTTTAAATAATTTGATATTTTTCCAATACTTCGGATAAAATTTCCCTACTCTAACTTATTTCCCAATCCTGGAAAAAATCCTTTTATTGTCAAAATTCTAAGGAAAAATACCTGATTTTTGTGACGTGATGTCGAGAGAGAATGCGATCTCGTGGAATATGTTTTGCGACAGGCGCCAAAATTGAACTGTAACCACAGGGAAGACTAATGTTACCTCCCTGTAATTCAGCGTAAGATCCCATTTCCAAAAGATCAACTTCCTCCATACTATCACAGCCAGTAATACATGTCTCTCGTTTGAGCAAACAATCAAATAATAATTGTCGAATTCTTCGATTCTCTGGTGGTAATGACGATAAATAGAGCTCGACCTCTAGTGAAACGTGTGCACCAACGCTATTAATTCCCTCCGGTGGACTGTAAGAACTCAAAAAATACTCCTCGCAACGCCTTAAAAAACACACGTAAGCCTCGTAGATTTCCTCTAAAATTGGAAATGGCAATTGTTTACCATCTTCCATTGTGGCAACAACTTTATGCGGTTTCGGTACATTTATTATATCAATCAGTCCATTTGCCATCGCCAATTCAAAAATTGGATTCCCCAGGACTCCGTGGATCCAATTGGCACCCAATTCCACTTTTTCATTTCCTGAAATTAATCCCGAATTCAATTTTTCGAATAATTTAATTTTACACAATTACAAAAATTGTAAATAAATACTTGAAACAAATTAATTATTTTCAATTAAATTTTACAAAATTTCAATTATTCAAAAAGATTTTTATTATACATACATATATTTGAAAAATTTAATTATGTTAAAAAATGATTCAAAAACCGTTTTTGAAAGATTTGTTTATAGTTATTTTTCACATTATAAAAATCGAAATAAGTTGCACTTTTTTTTTACTAAAAATTGTTGTATTTTGTTGCAATGTTTGAAAGAAAAGTCGAAAAAGTCGCAATTTTTGAAAATAAGTCGAAAAAAGTCTTAATTTTCTTAACTTTCCTGACAAAAATTTTTTTACTGACATTTCCCTGACTTTACTGACAAAAATTCTGTTTCCCTGACTTTACTGACTTGTGGACACTCTGAATTTATTGTAATGAAAGATAATCTCAAAAGTAAACTCCCCAAAAAACCAACATCAAATTTTTTACAATCAATTAGCAAACTTTATAATTTCTATCAAAATATCCAAATAAGAAAATAGATAAATAGAGAATTGAGGTTACATTCTCTTACCAACTTGTGTCGAGACAATACGTCCCCCTATACGTTCACGCGCTTCAAGAATTAGAAAATCAGGTTCGGAATTTTTCAACAAATGATTAGCGGCTGACAGTCCAGCCATTCCGGCTCCGATAATTAATATTTTGCATATTTTTCGGTCATCCACTGAATCCTCTGTGGATGCCGCCATGTTTATAATTCACGCTGTCAAATTTTGCATATATTGTTGCAGACGACTTATGGAAATAAACGAAAACAATCGAGTTTTGTCGAAAGTAAAAAACCGAATGTAGCCGAAGGAAATCGAGAGGAACCGAAAGGTAAAAACCGATTTTCCACGAGTATTAACGAAACGACCAAGAAGTCGCATGGCATATGTCATGGCATATGGGATTTTATTGAAATTTATTATTATAAACAATATAAAATTCGACAGCTGTCTGTTTTGATAAAACAAGGAGGTTATGTGACTAAAAAGTGATTAGAATAATAATCATTTGTGACACCCTTATGACGGGACAGACACGTCCATGTCAAACGACAACAACGGATCGCAGAATACGATGATGGACAACACAAGTGATAAAGTCAATTTAATTTCATTGAATAATTCCGAGAAAAAGAATATTCGTTTCCGTGGTTCAAATAAAAATATCAAACCACCTGGGAATCGTGTCGAGAATTTAAACGTTCATGATAACAATCCACAACAAACGAAAAAACACGGCTCTACAAAAAAAAGTGGTTTGTTTTCATAACACCTATTTTTTTATTTATAAAATACGAATTCGTTTAGTTTACTTTTAAGTTTTCTTTTTAATTTTCTCAAAATACTACTTTGCAGCTACTCATTTTGCACCCTACATTTTTTTGTTATTAAATCTCAACAATAGTGTTATTTTCCCGAATTTTATTACTTTCTTTGTGTTCAATATAAACAATCACGAAGAAATTGAATTTGTATAATAAAAAAAAGTGATTAGTTTTCTAAATTTTAACGTGAATTTAACATTTTTTCATCGTGTGGTAATAAAGTGCATATACAAAAATTTTAATGAAGCAAATTATACAGTACAAACAAGAATTAAAACTAGTGATTAAATGACACTTGGAATTTTTTTTTTTCAATTCTATTGAATACAGATCATACAGATGCAAGTGTATAATTTAAATATATGTATTCAACACGTAAGAGCACGTGAATGAGAAGAGATAACATTATTTGAAATTTCTAATTTTCATCGCACTTATTACTTTTGAAAACAAATGCAACACGCATGAGACTTTCAACTTTGGGATTTAAATATCTAATAGACTTTCACCTTGAATCTAAAGTAACTATATGTATATTGAACTGTGTAACTTTCTTCAAATTATTTCTAATAGGAAAATCGTATTTCGCCTCCAATCGTATTTTACATGGCAATGTTTATATTAGAGACAAAAATTTAATTTAACATTTTTAATTTTAATATTCTTGAATTATTTTTTTTTACCAGTACAAAATAATTATACTTTACACTTGATTATTGAATTTTAATAGTTTTTTAGTTAATTAAAATAAATTCTTTCGATGTTTGTTTTTGAGAAAAAGAAAAGTGATTTATTTTTTCTAACTTTTTTCGAAACTTATTGAATTATATAATCTCATAATGCATCTTTTCCATTCATATACGCATAATGAATCAAGAACCTCATAAATAACGTCACAGGTATTTATACTTGTGAATTGTGACGAGATTTAGTCTATATATTCGTTTCCATATTTTTTTATAAACATACATCAACATCTGCCTATTATGACTAACAACTTTTATGACACTATCAGTGAATTGTAGAAAAAAATCTTATATCTATCTTTCAAGGTCTCTCTTTTTTGTGCAAAAAGCCTTCAAGATTATTCTTGTTTTTATAAATAGATTTTTTTGAGAAATTACTTAACAAAATTCGCGAAAGTATTTTAGTAATGCAAATATTTATAATGTATAAATTATAATTATTTAATTATAATTATTAATTGTAATATTAAGTATAATTATTAATTATAATTATTAATTATAATTATTTTTAATGTATAACGAATATTTATTCATAGTAGTAGGGGAACATAGTCTAGGTCGGCCACCTTTTTGACTTTTGTTTATAACTTTTTTTTAAAAATGAATTTGGACAATTGAAGTATATGGTTGGAAAGTCCTGTTTAATAGGAACATTTTTTCTGTACAAAGTAAATTGACAGGTTTAAAAATGAAAAAGTTATAAAGATTTAAAAAAAAAAAAATTTGTAGTCCAGGTTGGCCATTACAGTCAAGGTCGGCCATGTTTAAAATTCAAAGGGCATTAATCGTTAAAAAATAAAATAACATGTTTGGAGTTACGGAAAATTGATTCTTTATTGTTTACAGTTTGTAACTTAATGAAATAACAAAATAATAACAATAAACAATATAAAAAAAAAATATAAATAAAAAAAAGTTTTGCACTAAAATATTAATAAAATTAAATAAAAATATTAATAAGATGATCAATTATATTATGAGTTATACAGAATTGCAGTTTTTGCAAATGAAGTAGCTCGTCCTCAACTTTGCGCATTTTAAACACATAGTGGCCGACCTTGACAGTAAGTAACATTACCGAATTGTTGTAACCATAAAGAAATACGTTTCGGGATTCGATTTTTTACTTTGTTTTCCTTTCAACCATGAGTCCCACAAATTTTCTGCATACTTGCCTTGACGATTCAATTTGTTTTTTATCTTTTATTAATGGTTTTTCACATTATGCACAAAACTTTTTTTGAGCTTTTTTTGTACCGACGTCACAGAAAACACAATTTTCGATTTTCCGAAAATGTAATTGAACAAAAAGTTAGGTTTCACTAAGACAAGCTTCGACAAAAATGCGCGTAGGTGGCGCTAGTGAACTTGACAAAAAAACGCGAGTGGCCTACCTAGACAGTAGGCCAACCTTGACTACATTCCCCTACTATTGTAATTATTTTTTTAATATCGATTCAAGATAATTGAATTTTTATAAACAAATAACTGAAATTTCTTTACATTCTTTAAAAAATAATTAATTTCTTTTAAAGAATTTTATTTAAATTTTTTCGAAAATAATCAAGGGAAGTTAGTTACCGTAATTACAATTTTATTTTTAATAATTTCTTCGCAATATATTCAATTATTTTCATAAAATTCTAAAAAAATTCAATTATTTTCAAAAGTAATAAAATTCTTCGCTGAAATTCAATTATATGTTTAAAAAGAGTCATTCCATTATATTTCGACTAAAGTCGTTGCCGACTAATTTTAAAAAATTGTAATATTTTGCAGGAATGATTTTAAAGATATTAGGATCACCGAACAAAAAGAATTTTTTAAATATTTTTTATATTTATTGTAAAATAAGCATCTAAAGTATATGAAGTCGTAAAAACTGACACTTTTTCATCTAATAGAAAATATTAAAGAAAACACATAATTTACTATAAAAACGTAAAAAAATTATTAGAATTTATTAAGAATGAATTATTTTATTATTATAAATTGATAGAAACAATTATTAATAAGAAATATTAAATAAAAAATAATTTTAAAGTTTACATGGAAAATAACCTATTTTTGCAAATTTCATTCACTAAATATGAGAAAGAGAAATCATTAAATTGGATAAAACCTTATGAAATATAAAGTACCTGTGATTAACTTTTAGTTTTTCTTATCACTTTCTTCCTGTTTTCTTCACAAATATTAAAAAATAAGCAATTAAAACTGGCACTTTGCTTATTTTCACGATTTTAAAATGCAAATAACTTCTGCCCAGAAAAATGAAAAATTACGAAAATTGGGCAATAATTATTTGATCACTAGATACACTTACTGGAAAAAGATTTTCTTTGGTCCCGAAGCTATTTCTCGAATTAATTAACTTTAAACTTTTTACTATTTTTATCAGGTTAATACATGTGTTTTTTAAAGGACGAAGTTAGCTCTTCTTGTTTAATCGTTTTGAACCAACTTCAGTTTTAAAGAAATCACATGTATTAACCTGATAAAAATAGTAAAAAGTTTAAAGTTAATTAATTCGAGAAATAGCTTCGGGACCAAAGAAAATCTTTTTCCAGTAAGTGTATCTAGTGATCAAATAATTATTGCCCAATTTTCGTAATTTTTCATTTTTCTGGGCAGAAGTTATTTGCATTTTAAAATCGTGAAAATAAGCAAAGTGCCAGTTTTAATTGCTTATTTTTTAATATTTGTGAAGAAAACAGGAAGAAAGTGATAAGAAAAACTAAAAGTTAATCACAGGTACTTTATATTTCATAAGGTTTTATCCAATTTAATGATTTCTCTTTCTCATATTTAGTGAATGAAATTTGCAAAAATAGGTTATTTTCCATGTAAACTTTAAAATTATTTTTTATTTAATATTTCTTATTAATAATTGTTTCTATCAATTTATAATAATAAAATAATTCATTCTTAATAAATTCTAATAATTTTTTTACGTTTTTATAGTAAATTATGTGTTTTCTTTAATATTTTCTATTAGATGAAAAAGTGTCAGTTTTTACGACTTCATATACTTTAGATGCTTATTTTACAATAAATATAAAAAATATTTAAAAAATTCTTTTTGTTCGGTGATCCTAATATCTTTAAAATCATTCCTGCAAAATATTACAATTTTTTAAAATTAGTCGGCAACGACTTTAGTCGAAATATAATGGAATGACTCAAAATTTTTTTTAATTCTCCTCAAAATTTCAATTATCTTTATAAATAGTTAAATTGTTCTCCATAATTCAATTATTTTCAAAAATTTTAATAAAATTCTACGCAAACATTTAATTATTTTCATAAATAATAACATTCTTCTTTGCAGAAATTCAATTAGTATCAATACCTTTTAATAAAATTAAATTAATCAAATTTTCAATTATAATTATGAATAGACAAGATTTTTTTTAAAAATTGAAAAGATTCTTTGTTTAATTCAATTATTTTCCAAATTTGTAATTAAAATTATTAAAAAAGAACATTATTTTCAAAAAATTTAAAGAAACTCGTCAAAAAAATTTAATTATTCATGAAAAACTCTTATAAAAATTTTTGAAGCCATTTGTAGTTCGAAATCAAATAAATTTAAATTTGATGAGAAAAAAAACCGGGAAAAATTAAAAAAAAGCCGGGAAATAACCGGAAATTTTGTTGATCGAAAATTGTAGACACCCTGTAGGTAATCATTATTTATTTAGGTATTTACTTAATATCAACGGGTGTAAAAAATCAAAAACGCCCATTTTTATTATTAATTATTCATTTTAATTTTCTTCGCAGGTGTTTCATTGTTGCAATTTTTAAGGACCGAACTTACGCGAGGCTATCATCTTGAGCAAGATGAAGAAAGATTTTCTGCTCAGAGAGAGAAAATTTATTCTTTTATGAAAATACCGAGAGAAGTGGAGAAATTTATGTTTTATGGCTTTTTTCAGGTATGATTCAAATTTATTGTTGCATTTTATCGTTTTTTTCTTTTATATATTTTCTTTGTGCAAAGTTTTCTAGAAAATGTTGTAAATTAAAAAAATTTTTAATTATTAAAAGATTTTTCTATATTTTTCTATATAAAGAAGGAAATGTATACAAATAACTTTCACGACTTTTACAAACTTGCAAAAGTAATTAATTTTCTTTTTTTTCCAGTGTGCTGATTCATTTTTATTTGTTTACACTTTTTTACCTTTACGATTTATGATTGCATTATGGTCTGTTATAACAAGGCCTGTAAAATATTGTCTGGGGTAAGTTAATTTTTTCTTCAGGAAGAAAATAAATAGAGTATGTACTTTGTTAATTAAGTGCATTTAATTATAAGGGGAAGGAAAGAAATAATTTCATAAAATTGAATCATATTGTGTAATAATATTTAAGTAGATCAATACTTTTTAAATGTTTGGAAATATTTCTCAAATTCTTTTAAATATTTGAAATATTTCTTAAATAATTTTAAATTAATTTTTTTGTTCTTGATATTTGAAATATTTGAAATATTTGCAATATTTTTCAAGTGCTTCTTTTTAAGTGATTTTTCTTGCAGGGGTAAAAAATTGGGTAAAAGGGGAGAAAGATTTCTACGATCGGCGGAAGTATGTGATTTATTGAAAGGAGTTGTTGTATTGGGATGTTGGATAGCAACTTGGAAAGTTGATACATCAATGATGTATCACTTAGTGAAAAGTCAATCTGTCATCAAGTTGTATATATTTTACAATATGTTGGAAGTTGGTGACCGACTTTTCAATTCCTTTGGTCAGGATACAATAGACGCTTTGCTTTGGACAGCAACCGAGCCTCGACAACGATCGAACTCGTCGCATTCAAATCATCTCGGCACAATTCCACATTTGTTTTTCGCACTTGCCTATGTCTGTATCCTTTTTGTCAAAGTTTCGAAATTAATTCGTTTTTACTTGTAGAAACATAAGAAGAATCTTCCTCCTTTTTTGTAGAAATTAATTCTTTTTTTACTTAAATATATCTAAATTAATTGAATTTTAAAAGAGTTGCGTTTACAATTTTCATAAATAGATCAACTTCAAAAGGTTTTAATTTGATATTTTAGAAAATTTCCATTTTCAATGAATTTAATTAGAAATTTTAAAAAACTTAGAGTTTTGAAGAAATTTAGTACATAATTCAAATACTTCTAAAATAAGTTGATTTTAGATAAAAACACAAAAAATGATTAAATTTTGGAGAAGGTACGAACAATTGCCGATAATCAATTATTTTCAAAAATAATAAAATTCTTCTCCGAAATTTAATTATTTTCAACAATTTTAATAAAATTCTTCGGAAAATTTCAATTATTTTCAAAAGTAATAAAATTCTTCGCAGAAATTCAATTATGTTTAAAAATTTTTAAAAATTCTCATCAAAATTTCAATTTATCTTTATAATTAATAAAATTCCTCTCCAAAATTCAATTATTTTCAAAAAGTTTAATAAAATTCTACGCAAACATTTAATTATTTTCATAAATAACAAAATTTTTTACAGGGATTCAATTATTTACAAATAAATAATCAAATTCTATTTAGCAATTCAATTATTTTCATAAATAATAAAACTCATCGCAGAATTTTAATTATTTTTAATACAATTTTAATCAAATTCCTCAAAAATATAATTATTCTTAAAAATTTTATTAAAATTCATCAAAAGAATTCAATTATTTAAAAATTTGTTGATAAAATTCTTAATGAGAATTCAATTTTAAGAAACATTCAATTATTTAATAAATTATTCATTTTTTGTATTTAAATAATTGAATTCTCTTAGAATTTTCCACGAAAAATTGATTTAAAAATGAATTTTAGTTAAAATTTTTGATATTTTGAATTTTTAGAAATAAAATTGAATTTTTAAATGTTTCCAAATGAAATGTATGAAAACTTGTATTTTTTGATACTTTTAACTAAAAAATTTTGTGGAATTAATTTTTTTTGAAAGGTTAATTGTTTTTTTTTAATTATTTGAAGTTTTTATTTTCTAATATAAATTTAATTGAAGAATTTCAGAATAATCGAAATTTCGTAAAATTGAATTGAAAAGAAATGGATTTGAAAATTCTCAAAGTACTTTTTCAAAAATTGTTAAAAATAACTGATTTAAAGAAGAATTTTAATTTAAAATTCTGGAAAATATTAATTAAATTGAAATGATGAAAATAATTTTGTAGAATTTACAGTAACAATATTCTTATAATATAAAATAATGATTTTATCACTCGGTGATCTTTAATTATTATAAAGCATGAAGAATCGATCACTCGATATCTTCATGTTTTATAATAATTTTTTACAAGTTGTTTAATTTCAAAAAGGTTTGAATTTGAAATTTTTAAAAATCTTAATTCCTATGGAAAAATAATTTAATTTAAAATGAAGTTACTGATGCTTTTGAATAATTTTACAATTAAAGAAATTCGTAAATAAATGTAATAGAACATTTTTTTTTATTATTTAATTATTTTGAGATTGAATCAGAATATTCTTTAAGATCAGGAAAAAAATTCATAATTTTGTCTGGAAATCAGGGGAAAAAAATTTAATTTTTGTGTCAACCCTGTTATTTGTAACGGTATCTATATAAATTATTTAATAAACTAATATTTAATTGGAAATATTTAATAATCATTAAAACAATTTATCCTTAACGAATAATAATAACAGTCTTACATACAGTATTGGTTTTATTTCAAGCAACAACATTAAATGTTGCAATTAATAGTAGTAATAAAGCTCTTCTTACAATTATGATGTCAAACAATGTGAGTATCATTTAAAGAAGAAAATTACTTCTTTTTCACGTACTTATTGTTTAAAGTTTTTATTATTTACGTATTTTATGTACATATTTATTCTTTACTTATTTATTACTTACATATATTTATTATTATTTACGTATTTTATTTTATTATTTTCATGTTTATTCTGAAATAAATTAATTTGTATTTTTTAATAATCTTGTATAATTTTTGTTCACAGTTTGTCGAATTAAAAGGATCGGTTTTCAAGAAATTCGATAAAAACAATTTATTTCAATTGTCATGTAACGATGTTCGAGAACGTTTTCATTTGTCGGTGTTACTTCTTGCTGTCACTTTGCAAACAATGAAGGAATATGCATGGCGAGTTGATCGTCTCGCTGTTCTTTTACCTGATTGTATAATGCTTCTAGTTGCCGAAGTTGCAGTCGATTGGGTAAAAATTGCACATACATATTTACAAAATTAAATCATTCAATTAATTTTACTAACTTTAACTTCGTTTAATTTTAAGTTTTTTAGAATTTTAATAAATAATAATTTAATTTAATACGAATAATTTAATAAATTAATATTATATTATATTAGATAATTTAATTAATTTTTCTTTGTAATTTTAATTGAATTTTGAATTTCAAAGAGGGCTTAAATCTGAAAACCGTGAAATTACAGATAAGTTTTCTGAGTAGAGAATTCACGATTCAATTTAAAGTTAAATTTTATGCTTTTAATTAATTATTTCATTAAATTTTTTCCCATTAAAGGTGAAGCACGCTTTTATCACACGTTTCAATGATCTACGATCGACAGTCTATACGGATTATCGGGCAAGCTTAGAGCACGATATGTCGAAATCGAGAGAATCATTTTCTGATCCCTCTGATTTAGTTGCACGACGAATAGGATTTATACCATTACCATTGAGCGTTGCAATGGGTCGTGTATTATGCACGACAATAACACCATCGGCAAAACCAATTAATATTGCATTATTTGTACTCTCATATTTTGTGCTCGTTGTATTTCGAGTAATAATAAGTCTCGTTATTTTGGGAAAAGCGACAATTCCCACATCAAATAATGATGAGAATAATTCTTCTGCTGCTGCTAATAATGACAGTGAAATATTTAAGAAGCCAATGTCAAAAAATTCCGAATCTAGTCATTCTGATATAAATAATACAAATTTAACAATGCCTATGTTCTCAAATAGTGCTGTTAGTTTAAATAATGTTTGTTTAAATGATGCTCTCCTAATGGAAAATGAGGAGAATTCTGGAAAATTTGAGAAATTTCAAAATACCATTGAAGACACATTGTCACCGCCGAAGAATGTTGTGAGAGCTGGAAGTGAACCGTTACTCACACAATGACCAGTAATATGCGGGTAATTTCTTAAAAATTTAGCTTTTTTATCTCTTCAAACAAACAAACAAAAACTGTACATAGAATACTTGTAAATATGTTAATATTATTACGAAAAAAATGGGTGATATTTGATAAGCTCGTAAATTTTAGAATGGAACTCAAAATAATTTTATTTCTCGTAGACAATTTTTTTTTATTCTTAAACTTTATACACAATTACTCATTTTTTTTTTAAAGTTTTTCAATTCGATCTTTATTTTTACAGAATGTTACTGAAATTTGATAATTATTTCACTTTTTTGTTGAATGTTTTGAACAATTTATTAATAAGTGTCATTGATAATAATTAACTATAATTTTAATTAAATATTATTATTAGTGACATTAATTTTATTTTTTACATTTTTTCATGCGCGTTTACATCAGTCAATTATAATAATTTCAAGACTATAAATTTTTTTCTTCTATTTCAAAATACGGTAAAATTGAAGTTTTGTTTCGTTTTTTAATTATTGAATTAAATTATAAAATCAATAAAATTATATTTTGTTCTTGAATTTACAAATGTGCATAATAGAAAATAATTTTAGTTGCATCTATTTAGAATTCATAAATTAAAAAATTTCATAAAAGTTGTCAGTTTAAATACACTCGATTCTCGTTATAACGACGATCTCGGGACTTCAAAATCTCGATATTACGACGGAAGGAGGAATCCTACTTCACGTTATATTCAAACACATGAATTTATCTGTGATTAACAGAACAAAACGTCAAATACTTGTAAAAAATTTCGTAAAGTATGTTTATTTATATTAAAAGTTTCTGCATTATGGAATCAGTTTAAAGAAAAAGTAAGAATTTTTAATAATAATCACATCACTAGATTCTTTAGGTTAAATAAAGTTAAGGGTTGATTAACTTAGTCGTTTTTTTTGAGTTAACCAAAATTTTGGTTAAATTAAATTCTTAAATTCGTTCGTGTTTTTTTTTGTCGTTTTATCGAGAGTTTTAATGTTCGTTGTAACGAGAGAACGTTGTAACGAGATTCGTTATAACAAGATTCGAGTGTATTTGAAACTGAGATATAAAATATTTTTTTCTTTTTTCAAATACAAAAATATGTTTATTTACAAAAATTCACTGATAATATTTGTCACTAATTTATGAAAAATTCGTTTTTTCTAAATAATTTATTTTTTACGCTCTGTTAAAAAAGAAACTGAAAAAATTATGGTAAAATTAAAAATAATTTTTTACGGACAAAAATTATTGTGAATTATATAAAAGATGAAAAAAATGTTTAATATTTAATATTTTAAACAGAAAATAATCAGTGAGAAAATTTAATTTCTAAAAATAGTCTCAATACTAACACAATATTTACAGTTAATAGCGACGAGATTTATAATTATACAAATTAATTTTTTTTTATTTTTAATTTATTGGAAAAAAATGCACTTATTTCAAAGTAACTCAGGAGAAAACTCGTTGTCAACTTTAATTCTATTACATAATACTTGAATAATGTTTTTAATGTTTTTTTTTATAAATACTGCATAATTAACTTTTTTTTAAAACTAATTATATGTGTTCTTTTTATAAATATAAAGATAATAGAATTTGCGATAAATAATAATATTTAAACGTGTCATATATTGATAAAAAAAATATCTATAATTATAAGACGATAAATCGATTGTTTAATTCTACACTAAAAATTTTTTTCTATGAAACATTTTTTTTTTTTAAATCACTGTTAAAAGTTTAATTAATGGAAAACGATGAACATAATTTGAAAATTTATAAATGTAAGTACTTTTATGAATCTCTGAATAAAAAAACATTTAAATGCAATATTTATTCACTTTTTTAACATAAAATATGTTTTTTTTAAATAATTTTTTTTAAAACAATTATTATAATCAAAAAAATTTTTTTTAATAAATAAAATATTAATAAGTAAGTAATTTAATAATTTAATAAGTAAGTATTATTAGTGAGTGATTATTTATAATAATTAACACTCTAGAAATGACAATTAGTAACAATTGAATTTATCCGCGTAAATAGCAATTTTTAAAAATTCGTTCTCATTGGCTGTTTATTTTAGCGCAAATTTAAAACAGCCAATGAGAGTAATTGTTGTGGACATTTACAAGTGGCGACATCACTTCAGAGAGCGGACAAACTAGGAACAATAGATGGCGCAGTTAGGCCAGAAAATATTTTTTTAATTGATTTTATTGTTATAAAGAAGTTTTAAACAATTGACTTGAATAATTTAAAAGTAAACTTCAAGAAAAGATGTTAACATATTTACGCAATTTGTATACTGTTGCATTCTAGTATAAAATAATTCCAATTTAAAAGATTGTTTACAAATATTTTTTAAATATCCCAGAAAGCACTTGGTGTATTGGGTCAATTTTAAGATGAATATTTTTAATCTTAGAGAATAATTTCTTTTTTTAATTTCTTTGATTTCTTTTAATTCATTTTATTCATTTAGACTAAATTTTTAGTTTTCAAACATAACCTCAAAATTATTTTTAAAGCGTTTTGCGCAATCTCGCATGAATTCTGCAAGTTCGCTCCTGTCAAAGTGAACCAATATGGCGAAAGAATGTTTTGAGGGTCAAAATCGAATGACAGAAAATCAGTAAATTGTTATAGAAAAAAAACAAGTGGCTTCCAGTTTTGGACGTAAGTTATTTCTCCTTAATTGCATGTTTTTTTCAAGAATTGAATAACAAGTGTAGGACAAAGGGAATGTTATTTATTACGTCTTTAAAGTTATTTCCGTATGTTCTTATAGATCTAATATACTTTCCCTTTTGTTAGTAACACAAGCTTTTATGATGAAATATCCAAATTTTTGCAATTCATCGCAAGGTCAGTGTTTTTTTTGTCAGTAGAAATAATACGAAAGCTAATACCTTTATTATTTTTGACAACTGTGAAAAAAAACAAATGACATTCTATGCGTAGGCATTATTTGTCAACACAATTGTTTTAAACTGTCAAAATATCACGTGACTCATGTTTTCAAAATTTGTTGTGACAGTAGTAAACTCTCTTTAATCATTTTTAATGATAAGCGAAAGAATTAAAAAAAGATAATTTTTCATTGTTCATTGCTTTTTGAAAATGAACTCAATAACTATAAATACAAATAGTTTTAATTACGACATACAAGTGTCGTTCCTAAAATTACTTCCGAGTATGATGAAATCAGATAGTTTTTTTACCTGCAATATTAAATTTACAAAATATGTTTTTCTTTTTATTTGTGTCTTATTTAGATAAAAAATTAATTAACTTTTATATGTGCTTATCATAATCGAAATTTCCTTTGTTCTTTGTGGTATTAAGGAAATTCTCCGTTTATTACAATCTATTTATTACAATTCTATAAAAAAGAAATTAGAGTAATTTTTCTTGAAATTATTTTATTATTAACGGTTTTATTATTTAATCCATGGGTAGGTAATAAAAACTAATTTATTAGAAAATAATAGTGTAGGACAATATTTTATTGTTTGCTTTTACTTTTCCCTAGATAGTTGGCGACGTTACAAAAATTTTGTTTTATATATTGTTTTTATATTATTTATAAACCTCTTTTCTGTGACATGTAATCTTTCATTTCTAAATTTAATCAAAGGAACTATTATTTAATAAACTAATTAAATAATATACGTTGAATGATTTTTATATAATTATTTATAATTTTAATTAATTTATTTTAATTACAGATATTATTTTATTTTAATAATAATAATAATAAAATAAAAATATTATTGGAATAGTTTTTTATTCCAAGAATAACGAAATATAATTATAAAGTTAATAACTTAATTATAATAACAGTTTTCAGATATGGAGTCCTTTTTAGAATTATTCGAACCGGAGGAATCAAAGCCAAGGAGGAAAAAAAATTGGGAGCCTGTGGGTGGAAATGAAAATTCGGACAATGAAAATTCTTCAGAGACCGATCAGGAAGATCGGCTACCACCTGAACCTGAACAAGGAAATATTGAATACAAATTAAAATTGGTGAATCCTTCCAGTCAAAGATTTGAACATCTTGTCACTCAAATGAAATGGCGTCTTCGTGAAGGACATGGAGAAGCTATTTATCAAATAGGTATTATTATTATTATATTATTATTTTTTTTTATTAAAAGTTTAGATATTTAAAATATTATGTTCGATGTTTCAAAATTTCTAAACGTTCAAATGAACGAATTTTTTCTCTATAGAGATATTTTTAAAAAATTACTGATTGCATTAAACATCAAAAAGGTAATTAAAATATTTTGAAACTTTATAAATATTAATATTGTTGTAATATTTAAATTTGAAGAGAAAATCAATAAATTACGTTCATTTGAACGTTTATAACTTTCGGCTTTTATTTAGAATAACTAAAAGTTAATAAACTTTTATATAAACTACATTAAATAAACTAAAAGTTAATAATTTTTAGTTATTCTAAAGAAAAGCCGAAAGGTTTACTTTCTGTTTAAATTAAAATTATATTAAATTTTATTTTTCCTATTTTTTAACTAGAAGTTTATTTAACTTTTAGTTATTACTAAAATAAAATACTGAAATAAAGAATAGATTATCAAAAAAATATTTCAGTAAATCAAAGACCTTCAGTTTAAGTTTAGAGTATTTGATTTGTAATCGAAATGTAAAATGAATAAATAACTAATTTTGATGGTATGTGTGAAGAAAATAAAAATTAAAACAAACCAATTTTTTTCAGGCGTCGAGGATAATGGAATATTGGCCGGTTTATCGCGCGAAGATATGATGTTGTCGTTGAAAACTTTGAGGGACATGGCAAGTAGACTGGGAGCAGAAACTACAGTTCTTCGTGAAAGAGTGGCAAAATGCAAATTACGAACAACTAAATTGGAGGAGAAACGTGTGGCCGAAGTATTAGTCAGAAAAATACGTAAAGGCGACGCTGATGATCAAGATGTTGTCATTGACTTGAGACTGGCAGTATTAGGAGGGCAGGATGCTGGAAAATCTACTCTCTTAGGTAAATCATTTTTTAAAAAAAATTAATTTTTACTAAATCACTTGACGTTTCGCCTGAGGAATTAATTTAAAAAATTAATTCTTTTATACAGAATTTTAACAAAAGTACTGGAAAAATATCAAATTTCTATTTTTCCTATTTTCTATTTCTATTTTTATTATTATTGAGTCCTTGTTTTTATGATATTTCAGGTGTACTTACGCAAGGTGAATTGGACAATGGCCGGGGGAGAGCCAGATTGAATATATTTCGTCACCTCCACGAGATAAAAACAGGTCGCACATCGTCGATTTCGCACGAAATTCTTGGATTCGATAATGACGGTCATGTTTTAAATTATTCTGAAATGAAAACAGCCGAAGAAATTTGTGAGCACGCATCAAAAGTAGTGACATTCATTGACTTGGCCGGACATCGAAAATATTTGAGGACAACACTTTTGGGTCTCACAGGTATTGCTTTCAATTTTTTCCAGAAGAGTAATAAAAAGAAATTGCTTTTTAATTAACCAAGTAGAGTAATAATTGAAATTAAAAAAGAATTAAAATTTTCAATTGCTTGTACGAATTTAGTATTTGTATAAAGATTACGAAAAAGTTCCTCCAAAAATTCTATCAAGTATTAATAATATCTAAGTCCGCCTTTTCAATTTTAATTACTTTTTTCCATTATTGACCGATATTGATTTGTCGAAAAATTAATTTCCCCAGGTTATTCTCCCCATTATGTGATGCTGGTCGTTTCTCTTCCGCTAAATGAAGCTTTTCAAGAGCACTTGACCCTATGCTTGGCACTGCGAATACCGTTCGTCATTGTCGTCACAAAAATAGACATTGGATACAGAAATCCACATGAAATTATTCTACAACTTGAAACTGCATTACAAGCACAGGGCTGCTCAAAGAAATTGGTGCTGCACACAAATAATAATGATGAGCACAATGTTTGTGATATTGATGCAATACCATTATTTCTTGTCAGTTGTGTGACGGGCGAGGGTCTTGGAAATCTCACAAATTTCATTAAAGATCTTCTACCCACAGATCCAACACCTGCTGAAAATGATCCTGAAAATTGCCTTTTCCAAATTGACGAAACTTTCAGGTATTTTTTCTTCTTCTTTATTTTGTTTATAGTTAAATTTAAATTAATTACAATTAAATATACTGAAAGTAATTCAAATTAAATAAATTTAAATTAATTCAAATTAAATAAATTTAAAGTAATTCGAATTATTGTTGAAAAAATGGATAAAATTGAAAGTTTATTTGGAAAACATTTATTTATTTATTGTATACTTATGCGGGTAGTGTTATTAATTTATTCCCGACGTTTATTTTGTTTTGATTGTATTTTTATTTAATTTCCAGAGTAGTGGGACTGAATGAACCAGTTTTGGGAGGTCTGCTTGTGAAGGGACTTATCACACCAGGTACTCGACTATTAGTTGGTCCATTGCCGGATGGGGAATTCAGTCCAGTTAAAGTTGTGACACTTCATCGCAATAAAACACCCTGCTGCGTTGTTCGAGCGTCACAAAGTGCAAGTCTAACCATAGAACCGTTATCAAAACGTGATCCACCTTTACCCCATCTTCGACCTGGAATGGTTTTGGTTTCATCTCGTGAACATCCTCACGCTACTCTCTTCTTTCAAGTGAGCTTTTTTTCTCATTTATAAAGTTTGTTATTTTATATTAATTTTTAAAAATTAATGACCAAACACTTCTTCCAAGTAAGATTTTTTCTAAAGTAAAAACTTTGTTACCTTATATTAATTTCAAAAAATTAACTATCAAGCACTTCTTTCAAATGAGCTTTTTTCTAAATTACATATAAAATTTGTTATTTTATATTTATTTTTAAAAATTAATTATCATACGCTGCTTTTTTAATAAAAAGGAAAAATAAATTATATATATAATAATAAAAAAGAAGTTTTATAACATTTTTGAAAATAATTCAATTCTTTCGAAGAATTGATATAAATTAATTAAAAAATAATTGAATTCTTCTAAAGTATTTCATCAAAATTTTTGAAAATAAATGAATTGTATAGAAGAATTTCATTACCTATGAAATAATTGAATCTCTTGGAAGAATTTAATAATTAAATACCTGCGAAGAATTTTATTATATTTATGGAAATAATTTAATTCTTATGAAGAATTTCATTAAAATTTTTGGAAATATTTGAAATCTTGCGAAGAGATTTTAACCAATTTTTGAAAATAATTGAATTGTTTCGAAGAATTTTATTATTTATGAAAATAATTAAATTCTTGTGAAGAATTTTATTATATATAAAAATAATTGACTTTCTAAAAGACTTCTATTATGAAAATAATTGAATCATTGTGAAGAATTAGATTATTTATAAAAATAATTGTATTCTTGTGAAAAATTTTATTATATTTACGAAAATAATTGAATTTTTGCAAAGAATTTAATTATTTCTGGAAATAATTGAATTGTTTCGAAAAATTGTATTATTTATGAAGTTAATTATTGAATTCATGTGAAGAATTTTATTCAATTTTTTGGAAATAATTGAATTCTTACGAATAATTTTTACCCCATTTTTGAAAATAATTGAATTTTTTCTAATAATTTTAATATTTATAAAAATAATTGACTTTTTGGAAGTCTTCTATTATTTATGAAATAATTTAATTCTTGTCAATAATTTGATTATTTATAAAAATAATTGAATTCCTACAAAATATAATTGAATTCTTGCGAAGAATTTTATTACATTTACGAAAATAATTGAATTCTTCAGAAGAATTTTATTATATTTACAAAAATAATTGAATTCTTTGCAAAGTATTTTATTATTTATAGAAATAATTGAATTGTTTCGAAAAATTGTATTATTTATGAAGTTAATTGAATTCATGTGAAGAATATTATCAATTATGAAAATAATTAAACTCCTATAAAAAATTACGTAAATATTTACGTATATTTTATTTTATTTATTTATTATTATTTATTTATTATTATTTATTTATTATTATTTATTTATTTTCATTTTATTTATGAAATTAGTTGAATTGTATCGAAGAATTTTTTATCTATAAAAATAATTGAATTCCTTGGAAGAATTTAATTATTTATTTCAATAATTGAATACATGAGAAGAATTGTATTATATTTATTAAAATAATTGAATTCTTGCGAAGAAGTTTTACACAATTTTTGAAAATTATTGAATTGTTTCAAAGAATTTTATTATTCACAGAAATAATTGAATTGTTGTGAAGAATTTTATTAAAGTTTTTGGAGTTAATTGAATTGTTTTGAAGAATTTTATTATTTATAAAAATAATTGAATACCTATAAAGAATTTGATCAAAATGGTTGAAAATAGTTAAATTGTTATGAAAAATTTTATTATTTATGGAAATAATTGAATTTATTCGAAGAATTGAATTACAATTGTATTGAAAATATTAAAATTGTTATAAATAATTTCTTCAACAGTTTTTAAAAATAATTGAATTTCTTGGAAGTATTTTATTATTTATGAAAATAATTGAATATTGTTTCGAAGAGTTTAATTAAAATAATTGTATTGTATTAAAAATAATTGTTGAATTCTTATAAAGTAATTTAATTATTTACGAAAATAATTGAAGTAAATATTTGAAAATAAAAAATTCTGTAGTTTATTAATTAATAATTAGATACATATAATAATAATTTTAATAATAATTCATTCAATTTTTAATATGAAACGAAAAAATACAATATTAAACTATTTTTTTTAATTTTTCAATTCTAGGCAACTATTCTGGTGGTTTATCATCCAACGGCAATATTCCCCGGCTTTCAAACGACCGTGCACACGGGAAACGTGCGACAGACTTGCATATTTGAAGGCATCATGGAAAAGAAAGACGAAGGCCTCCAAACTAATGAAACAGCATCTGTACTCCTCAGATTTGTTTGTCATCCAGAATATCTTCATGTGGGAATGAGACTCCTCTTAAGGGAAGGACGAGCAAAAGCAATTGGAAAAATTACCCAAATATTCCCCCTAATTGGATCTCAAAGTGCCACGGAAAAGAATTTTGTCTAAAAATGCTAAAAACACCGCTCTCCCCTCCACCTTAAGATGACACCAGTCCAACTAGAAAGGAATTTCTAGAAAAAAAAATCAGGTTTTTTTTTCATTTTTCATTTCTTTTTGACAAAGATAATATTTACAATTTTTGAATTGTAGTTTTAACAATATTGATACAGTAAAATTATTGTACCATTAATAATTTAGAAAGAAAACGGTACAAAATTACCATAAATGTACAGTTTGAGAATTAACAAAAAAATTATTTTTTCATTTTGGTATTAATTTTTTGAGATTTGCAGAAATTCTTTGTTTTTTGTTCTTTAAACTAGACAAAAGAGTGATAAATATGTGATTAATTATTATTTCGCAAAAAAAATGTTTGACAACCTTTTTGTGTTTAATATCAATTTTCTTTTTCGTTTTTTTAATTAGAGAGAAAGAGAGAAAGAAAAAGAGAGAGAGAGAGTGAGAAAAATCGATATTTATTTTAATTTATACAACGAAAAATTTGTTTCGTTTCAGAAAGAATATGAAAAATATTATTATATTGACAATTTATATATGTGACGTAAAAATCCAGTACTGTGAGTACTTGATAAGTTTTGAAAAAACAAGTCCTGTAAAAGAGTTATAAGCAATATTTTTTTAATTACAAAAGTAATTGAGTTAATGAAGAGTTTGTTTTTTATTTAACACTTTACCGAAATCAAATTCTCTTATTTTTAATAGATTTGAAAGTAGAAGAGTGTTTTGAGGAGGAATAATTTTGAGTACAAAGAAATAGGAACAGATCGGAATATTATGGTTGTAATTTTATTTAATTATAATTATCAATTTCCTTCTGATGAAAGAATTGCCTCGGGATAAACGAGGACTTCTTCTCCCCAGACTTGCATTTCAATCCAGTCTAAAAATGGAAAGACACCGGTGTAAACACCTGGTACAATACTTCCACAAGCTGAACCAAATGAAGTAATACCGATGAGGGATTGAGTATTTTTCTTTCGTACAATGAGTGGCCCTCCACTGTCACCTTGACAAGCGTCCGCTCGTCTTGTCGTATTTGAATCTCTACTGCAAATCATGTTTTGATCAATTCCATTTGGAAGTTTTCTAACTTGTTTGTAGTGTTTATCACATTCGGTTCTATTCACGAAACTGTAATTCATTAATTTGCATTATTTTTTAATTTTAATTCATTAACAGGGTTGTCACAGGTCAGGGAATTCAGGGAAAATTCTGGGATTTTTAGTAAAAGTACTGGAAAAAATTGAATTTTTAAAATTCATAAGAAAAATTCATCCCTATGGAAAAATATTAATGATTAAATATTTATTTAAAATAGAAGTTATTGATGTTTTCGAATAATTTTACAATTAAAGAAATTTGTAAATAAATGTAATAGAAATTTTTTTTGAATTATATCTAATAATTTTTAGAGTTAATCATAGAATATTCTTTAGGGTCAGGGAAAAAGTCAAAACTTTGTCTGGAAATCAGGGGAAAAACAAAATTAAATTTTTGTGACAACCCTGATTAACTAAATTTCATTTAAATTAATTTAATTCTTCCCAAAAACAGGAAATAGAACTTACTCTAGGCCAGGAGTTTTCATCAACTTTGAAGATCTCTCAGTATCAAAACTTGTGGCTCCAAATCCGATTACAATTAATGAACTATTTTGACTATCATCCTTAGTAACTCGTCTCGTTTGAAGACAAATTGGCCGAACCGTTGTCGTCAAACGGACGGGATTTCGTAATTTTATGAGTGCAATGTCATAATAATGAGCATTAAATTTATATTTTGGATGAGGATATGTTTCGTCAATCAAAATTCGTTGGGTACGTTCTGTGGTGACGTCAAGATTGATGGAACCAACTTGCACCTGCAATTTATGGTAATTAATAATTATAATAATTCGTTTATATCATATCAACTGTAATTCACAATATGTATTTTTTCACTTTTTTTATTTATTTATTTCATATTTATCCTATTTATTATAATTTATTTCGTTTTCAATTTTATATAGGTTATGTATTTATTTACTTCTTTTTTATTTATAAAAAATCAAACACGGAAGTTGGCAACAGTTACAGAAAGTATTTACAGTCCTGCCAAATCAAATCGTTAAATATAAAATTTAATCTTAATTTCATTTTCACAGTATTATTTTTTTTCTTTACGAAATAAAATTATTCCATATTTTGCAGAATTTAATAACAATTATTAGAAAGAAAAAGATTTTTTTACTAAAAAGAACTTAAAAAACTGACATTCATTCCAAAATCCCGCGCACAGTTTTCGAATATTGGCAGTACATGCACCTGATATTTCAAATTTGTTGACAACTTCATTCAGTTGATTCAATGGTCGTTTTGTTAAATTGTAACCGAAATTAGTGTCGTTTCTTGAAATTTTAATAATTTATTCGTCTATAAGTGCAAAATTAACGGTAAGTACGAACAATTTTCAATATTTTTCACATCTTTTTTAAAAAAAATATAATTAATATCGAAAAACGGAAGGTAATTTTTCGTAAAAAGTTGTCATCAATTTTTGGGCAGAATCCTAACCTAATAATGTGTGTAACCGTTTTAATAAGTTTGAAAATGTTTTTATCGTTTTAATTGTTTTAATATCTCACCTCTACTGGAACTTGATTATTTATATTTATCATACAATGCGCAGCAGTTAATACATAAAGTGTTGAGATCAAAGAGCCGCCACAATTATAAATAATTGTATTTTTGTTTTCCTTATCGCGATATCCTAATGCTGCCATCGAAGGAAATTCACCTTGATTCGCTTCTTCTCCATTAAAAATGTGAAAACCTAATCCATCATTCACGGGAATTTCATTTTCAAATTGTTGACAAGCTAGGGAAATAAATTTATAATTAAAATTAAATTAAAATTGATTTTTTGGTATTTATTCACGTCGGTGAAGTTCACATCAAAAAATATTTTTCTCACAAAATTTTTTTATTAAAATTACAAGTTTGTAATGTAGGTACACAAATTTTCAAGTGGAAAATTATAAAAATTTGTCTACAAAAATATTTTTACCCAACTAATTTGTTATTGTTGTGAATTTCACCGACGTGTTTATTTATAATTCCAGTGGATTGTTAAATAATTTATTTATTTAATTATAAACGGGTTTGAATAAAAAATAATGAATGGGAAACGAATTTTATTTCAATTATAAAGAATTGTAAAGAAGAAAAATAAATTAAAGAAAAGCAGTAAATAAATATAATAAATGAAAGTAAATATTAAAAGTTTACTTTAAAAGGCGTGAAAAAAATGACTAATTTTTGAGAATTGAGAAAAAGAGATAAATTTAAATTCGCAATAAGTACCTTATCGAAAGCTGAAAAATAGACATTATTTCAGTACATACTATCTTTATTATGAACGTCAATGATATTGAAAAATTTGACGTAATAAAAAAAGCTGTATAACAGGATTCGAAGTAATTTTTTTCTTTGTTTATATATGAATGAGGAAATAAAAAATATTTCTGTTTACTTATTTTTAATCTCGAATGTAAAAATTAATTCGAATTTTCATCGTCATTATTTAAAGAGCAATTAATTAATATTTATATTTAATATTAATTATGATATTTATAATAATAATAATAATAATTGTTTTTTGTTTTAGAATAAAGAAAACATGTCACACTTACCTATGTCAGCAGGTCGAAGACCAATTTTATCATGGAAATTTAAGGGGCAACAAACAATTTCCATAACGCCTATGAAACCACATCGATCGCTTGAATTTATGTCTCTTAATCCTAGGCGAGTTTCCTTTAATTTTTTTGGACATTGTGTTATATTTTTACAAATGCCTTTCTCATCTTTGTCAAGTACACAGGAACTGCCTTCTAGAAAAGTAATTTTTTTTCTCATAAAAAACAGTAAGTAATTTATAATTATTATAATTAAAGTAATTTATTACCAAAAAAATAATTTTTTCTATTTCTGACAAGAATGAATTTTTCAATATTATTTAAATATTTCCAAAGTTTTAAAGCAATTGTATATCTTCATAAAAAAACAAAATTCTTCACAGAAATTCAATTATTTTTACGGAATTTTAATAAAATTCTTTGCAAAATTGAATTATTTTCAAAAGTAATAAAATTCTTGAAAGAAATTCAATTATTTTTAAAATTTGTAACGATTATCTCGTCAATAATTCAATTATCTTTATAAATAGCAACATTTTTCGACAAAAATTAAAATAAAATTCTTTGTAAAATTTTAATTATTTTCAAAAGTTTTTCACAATTCAATGATTTTCAATATTTACTATTTTCATAAAAATAATCAAAAAATTTAATTATTGAAAAGAATATTTTTTATAAAATTCTACAAAAACATTAAATTATTTTCATAAAATAATAAAATTTCATTTAGAAATTCAATTATTTTCATCGCAGAATTTCAAATTTTTTAAATAAAATTTTAAATAAATTCCTCGAAATCTGCAATCATTCTTCAAAATTTTATTAATATTTGACGAAAGAATTAAATTTCAAGAAACATTCAATTATTCAATAAAATAATAAAATTCGTTGCAATAGTTCAATTATTTTAAGCAAAATTTTTTTAAGCAATTCTGCAAAAGAATTCAATTATCTTCATAAAAAAACAAAATTCTTCCCATAAAATCAAATATTTTAAGGAATTTTAATAAAATTCTTTTCCAAAATTCAATTATTTTGATGAATAGCAAAATTCATCACAAAAATTCGATTCTTTTGAAAAGTAATAAAAAAACAAAAATTAAATTATTTTCAAATTTTTTTAAAAATTCTCGTCAAGAATTAAACTATTGTCAAAAATTTTAATAAAATTCTTGTCAAAATTTCTATTATTTAAACAAAACTTAATAAAATTATTCGCATGAATTTTTAATTATTTTCATAAATTATTATTTCAATTCTTCCCATGAATTCAATTATTTTAAAAAATTTTATTAAGTTTCTTGAAAAAGTTTTGAATTATTGTCAAAAATTCTTATAAAGTTCTTTAGTATAATAAATTTCAGTCAAATTGTAATTAAATCTCTTAAAATAAATGAATTAATTTCAAAAGTTGTTAATAAAATTCTTCGTAAAAATTAAATTTTAAGAAATATTCAATTATCGAATAAATTATTTATTTTTGTATTTAAATAATTGAATTCTCGTAGAATTTCCCAACAAAAATTGATTTAAAAATTTTAGAGAATAATAATAAAATAATTAAAATAATTTTAATAATTTATTTTAAAAAGTAATTAAATAATTTATTATAGAAAACAATTCAAATGAATTATTATAAAAATGTTTTAAATTATTGTTTTTAAAAATAATAATTTTACTAATATTGTCAACGAACTTGATGAGGAAACTTTCTGAAATGCAACCCACGCTGATAGTGATTCCCCTCGGTATTATTTCCGAGGAAAATCACAAGCGATTTTTTTTTTTATTATTTTTATTCAAATTAAAAAATTTTTCCAATTTTAGATCGAGTTAGAAAATGTATTTAACATTTAAAATATTCAAACTTTTATTTATTTTTTTTACTTTTTTTTCCTTTTTTTATTATTTATTTCCAATGATTAACAATTTCACTAACAGTAAATAAAGGCCAGTGATTGAACTCATAATTATCAATTAATAACTAAAGTGGGTTATCAAAATTCTGCTATATAAGCGAGATCTGCTCTCGTTTTATTGTCAGATAATTTTATTGTGAAGAATAAGAGAAAAATTTTGGAGGAATTAAAAGGAAAATTGTTAAATAAACATAAAGAAATAAGAGGAAAAAACGGGAGATTCAAAATAAATATTGTATAATATTTAAACTGTGAAATTTTAAATGGTAAAATTAAAATAGCAGTATTAGTATAATTACCATAAACTTCTTCTTGGAATGAAAATTCAGCGATACAAACAATTATCATCAATTGTATGCATTGATAATAGAATAGAAAACGACAACTCATTTCTTTAATTCATATAAAAATTTATGCACTCGTAATCTTCTGAAAATATAAAAATAAATTCTTCTTTTTTACAAGGTTTTCAATTATTTGCTTACACACGTTTCTTCACTTTGTTTATTAATTTGTTTTTATGAGCATTAAAGATATTGACTATAAATATCTAAATATAGGATTTTTTTTTTACATTCTCACTGAAAGATATTTTGTATTTTTTAATTTTATCCTATTTGTGATATTTTTATTTATTTATTTAATAAATTCTTTTTTTCGATTTTCGGAAAATATGGAAAAGAAAAAACACTAGCTTTCACTTTTTTTTTAGAATAGTCGAAAAATGTTTCGATGGTCTGGTTTATTTATTTATTATTTATCAGTCTGTCAGTCCTTTTTTAAATTTTTATTTTCTGTCTTTTTTCTATTTTCCTAAATTAGAATTTTTGTAGTATTTATCAGTTTCGAATATTTTATCACTGAGGCAATTTAAAATTAATTCAAAAATTAGTCAGGAGAATATTAAATTCTATCCTTCGTTCGCAAAATCATCAGTGTAACTAAAACTGAAAAGAATATTCCTTTCATCGCGCGTTTTATCAAGTGCACGTGTGTTCAAAACTCACACATCGTTTAAAACCAGCCATCGTGCAAGTATTTATAATGAAACTATATATTTCATTATATGTATATATATACTAAGTATTAATATACGTAAATTGCATATATAGTTTTTAGTATAACAGGAAACAGTTTTTTTCTTTTTATTTTAAGAAAAAAAGTATTAATTTACGAAAAAAAACTATATTCAGGTTAAAATTAAAATAGAAAACACAAAAGAGCGTGAGAAGATATGCAATTTTTTTTTTACCAAAAAATAAATTATTACTGATTTTTGTGAGAAAAAGATTTTATTAACAATATAAAAATTTATACATTTTAAATCGATGTAGAAAATTGTAAAGAAAAGATATTTAGAAATATTTCTAATTCTCAATTAGAAATATTCGAAAATACTTACAATTTTTTCGTTTATAATTTCCTAATTAATTTTTCATTTTTCGCAGATTTATAATTTATTCTCATCTATGAACTCCGAACCTGAGTCTCTATCCAATCTAAATAGTGATAAATTGAAATGTACACTGTTGGGGCATGACCAGTGCATCCGATACCAAATGCAATGACACCAGCGAGGGAGAAGGTATTTTCCTTTTTTAAAAATAAGGGACCACCACTGTCACCTTGACATACGTCGAATAATCTCTTATCATTCACATCTTTACCACACTTCATACTTTCGTCGAGACCAAACGGAAGATCTGATATTCCTCTAAATAATTGTGAACAACGAGATTTATCAACGAGTCTGCAAAAAGAATTTTATTTTTCACTCTTCATTCTCTAATTCAGGTAAAAATTTTATCTTTTAATTTTACACAATATGGTTCAAATTTAATTTTTAATTGAAAATTTAAAAATATTTTTTGTGCATATAAAATAAAAAATATTTTATTTTGTACAATTCAACAGATTTCGAGTAAATTAAAAAAAATTGGAAATATTTTTCTGTACATATAAAATAGTAAATATTTTATTGTACAATTTAACATTTCAACTTTATTCTTGTAAAGTATTTTTTTTTAAATTTGAAAGTACATAATTGAATTCTTCTCAAGAACTTTATTAACATTTTTTTCAATAATTGAATTCTTTTGAAAAAATATAATTAAAATTGTATTGAAATTAATTTCATTCTTAGCAAGATTTTTATTAAAATTCTTTAAAATAATTGAATTGTTTTTAAAAATTTCTTTCAATATTCTTGAAAATAGTGGAGTTTTTTTAAAATAATTTTTACTGAAAATTTTGAAAGTTATTAAATTTTATTAATAATTCAATTATTTTTAATAATTGTATTAAAATTATTGGCAAAAAGTCAATTTATAAATATAATAAAAATATTCGTAAAAAATTAAATTATTTTTATTATAAATAATAAAATTCTTATCAGAATTTCACTTATTTTCAATACAATTTTAATAATTGAATTCCAGGTAAAATTAAATTTTTTTTTAAAATTCTTCGAAAGAATTCAATAATATAAAAAAAAAGTAAATTATTCATAGGAATTGAATTATTTTAAATACAATTTTAATAAAATTCTTCTAAAAAATTCAGTTATTTTTTAAACTTTTGCAAAAATTCAATTATTTGTAGAAATAATAAATTTTTTCTCAGGAATTCAATTATTTAAAAAAGTTTTAATAAAATTCTATTCATGAATTTAATTATTTTCAGAAATAATTAAATTGAAATTAAATTAAATTGAATTGAATTTTTCAAAAGAATTTTATTATTTACAAAAATAATTGAATTCTTGCCAAGAATTTTACAATTTATAAAAATAATTGAATTTTTATTAAAAATTTTAAAAATAATCGAATTTAAATAATATTTTTAAAAATAATTGTATTCTTTGGAGAAATTTTATTAAAATTGTATTGAAAATAATTAAATTCCTTTGAAGAATTTTATTATTTATGAAAATATTTTAATCTTGCGAAGTATTTTTTTATTTATGAAAATAATTGAATTTTTGCTGAGGATTTTCCAATTCATAAAAATAATTGAATTGTTTTAAAGAATTTTATCTGAATTTTTGAGAATAATTGAATTTTTTGAAGGAATTTTATTAAAAATTTTGAAAATAATGATTTTTTTAAAAGAATTTCATCAAAATTGTTGAAAATAATTGAATTTGTATTAAAATTCTTGAAAATAATCGAATTTAATTAATATTTTTAAAATTAATTGCATTTTTTCGAGAAAATTTATTATAATTGTTTCGAAAATAATAAAATTGCTCTAAATAATTTTATTATTTATGAGAATAATGAAATCTGCGACAAATTTTATTAAAATTTTTGAATAATAAAAAACAAGAATATTTATGTACTTAATGAGTGAATTCTTTAAATTTTAAATCTGTAATTATTCAAAAATTGATGTTTATTCTTCAAAATATAAAATTTTTTAATTTACAAAACTGAAAAAATGAAAATTTAAAAATATTTTTTGTGGAATATAAAATTATTTATTTGAATTCGTACAGATAAAAATGTTTTTTGAAAATTTTGCCAGTTGCTTCCTCATAGAGGAAAAATTGTATTTTTCTTCTAAACGTTGGGAAAAAATTTCGAAAATTATTTTTAAAAGGTACTATTTTTAACTTGTTTATAAATTTTTTTCTTGTAAATTTCATAGTGTTTGGAAAACATTTCAAAAGTCTTTCTGGAATTTTGGTGATTGTGGGGAAAATTAAGTACATAACTGCTTTTCTTCTTGTTAAAGTTACTGAGAAATTACATCGTTCGGAAACTTTATTTGGCGAAATAAAATTCTCCTCAGATTAGATACAGTTATCGGTGGAAAAGATTCTACTAAGCGGGAAATTCTCGAATCAATCGGGAATTTAGTATAAAATTTTTATAAAATTCAATGAACTCAATTTTTTTAAAAAGATAAAATGCAATGAGAAAAATTTCATTTCTTACGTTCTTCAGAGGTTTTTTCAAATTTTTTACTCTTAACTCTCCTGAGCTTCGTTACTTATTTTTCTTTGAATATAATCGGACTTAGAGAATCTTAATTACTTACTTCAAATTAAAGAATCTCAAGATTTTTTCAGGATATTCGAAACCAGCTTTATTTACATTAAATCCGGCTGTAAATAAATTATTCTTTTCTGTAAATTCACTGGCAATTGGTTTGACGTAGAGAAAAATTGGTCGAACAGTTGCTGTTATTTCGGCAGGTTTTCCTAATTTCACTAGACCAATGTCATAATAATGCTCGAATGGATTATAATTTGGATGAGAATAGTATTTCACTATTGGAATTCGTTGTACGCCGTTGGTAGAAATATTTTCGTTCACAAAACCTAGTCTCACCTACAAAAAAAATTCTTGTCAATTTTTATCTCATTAGATTTTTAAATTGTCTATTTTAACGTTGATGAAGTTCACAATATGTTTATAATTAACGATTTGGAAGAAAAAGTATTTTTCTATTCAATTTTTTGTCTCAAAAATTCTTTATACTTCTTGATCATTTCTCTTTTCATTTCTATTTCTATTTTTTGATTTGTTGATCAAGAAAAGAGAAAAAGAACTTATAAGAGACAAAAAATTGTAATAAAAAAAAGTTATTGTCTTCTGATTAAAAAATGGTTTTTTTTTCTCTTAATCGTTAATTATAAATGTTGTGAACTTCAACCACGATCATTTTAACAATTTTAATCGAAATTGATTCTTCTCGAAAAATAATTGCTTCTTCTTTGAATTTTATTCTTTTTTCGATTTTCAAAATTCTTCTTACCTCTATTGGAAGATCGTTGTTTACATTTATCATGCAATGTGCGGCGGTCAGAACAAAAAGTGTGTTAATTAAAGAACCACCGCATTTATAGTCTATTTTATTTGATGTATCATTGTTGATGCGATATCCAAGTGAAGCAATGAAAGGAAATTCACCCTCTCTTGCCACTTCACTGTCCAAATTTTCGATTATTTTTTCTTGGATGATTATTCCACTGTTTTTCGCTAAATAACAAACATTTTTTTTTATTTTAGTAACAAATTAATATAAAACATTTATTTTAATAAATTGATTGAAATTAATTGATCAAAATATTAATTCATTAGAGTATTAGTTGATTTGAAATTAATTAGTTAAAATATTAATTAATTAGAATATTAATTGATTGAAAGTTAATTGAAATTAATATCAGTTGATTGAAATTTAAACGATAAAATTTTAATTGACTGAAAATTAATTGAGAAAAATTTAATTGATTAAAATATTAATTGGTTGAAAATTATACGAGTAAAATATTCGATTGATGATTAATTGAGAAGAGAATTAATTTTTAGAGTAATTAATCCATTGAAATATTAATTGGTTGAAAAAATTGAAGTACTTAAAATACATTTGAAATCCTTAAAATTAATCATCAAGAATAAAATTTGAAGAGTTGTTTAAAAAAACTTTCATTATCTTTTATATCTAATTGACGATGTTGCAAACTATTATCATAATTATCGTATCAAAATCTTTATACAAAAGATTTGTTGAAAATCATTAGAGAATTTTTAAATTGACATATGAAATTGTTAATTAAGTAGATTAAAAATTAGAATTGAAAATTAAAATTGAAAATTAGGTTTCAAAATTCGAATTGAAAATTAAAATTAAAAATTATGATTCAAAATTGGAATTCAAAATAGGAATTTAAAATTGGAATTAAAAATTGGAATTTAAAATTGAAATTAAAGATTGAAATTTAAAATTGTATTTAAAAATTGAAATTCAAAATTATTTTGTTAAAATTAAACGACAGTTAGAAATAAACTTGCGCTTATTTCTGAAAGTACTATATACTTATTATAGGGGAATCCCGATTCACGTTATGAATTTCATTCTCATTGACAGAAAAGTGACCTCTCTGTCTAATAGACGAGGTCTTCATCTGCATAGATCTATTACATATTAGCTTTTTCTAAAATACTTTTCTTTAATACTTGCCTACGTCACTAGGTCGAAGGCCAAATTCAACGTAGGTAGAGACCTGTTGTAATGGGCAACAAACAAGTTCCTTCGAACCATAAAGGCTACAATGATCTTGAAAATTAGAACTTCTCAAACCATTCTCTATTTCATTTAATATTTGCTGGCATTTTAGAAATTCTTTGCATGTTCCATTCTCATTATTTGCATTAAGCAAACATTCACTGCCATCTCGGGAAGAAAAATCATTTTTCTCTCAAAATTATATAATTATTATTAATGTCCCTATATAAAGTTCTGAACGATCCGATAAACGAAATGAATGAAATTTATTTATTTCTCCTTCAAAATAGAACTTATTGCAAAAATATTGCTCCTCGAATTAAAAAACATATATTATTTAAATTATTAATTCTAAATGTTTAATTTTGTCTTTTCTTTTTAATGATTCAGTTTAATTTTTGAACGTATTGACGAAATAGTTTTTATTAATAATATTTTCATAAATTACTAATTTCGATAAAAATTAAAGACTTAAAGTTTAAATTTAGAAACTTTATAAATTAATTTTCTTAAAAGTAAGACGAAAAATAATTGTAATAAAAATTTAATTTCAAGAGGAAATAAATAAATTTCATTCATTTCAACGTTTTGAACTTTTAAAAAATTTTTTACAATAGTCAGTAATTTTCAAAAATGTTAATATTAGCAAAAATAATAATTTGAACGTTCTGAATTCGTGGATAGAATTATTATATATGCTAAAATAATTGAAACTAAAAGTTCAATTTTTTTTTTGCTAAATTCGTAATTTAGTTTTTTTATAATAAATAATTAATATCAAATTAATAATATTTATAATTATTATTATTAGGATATAATAATATATTTACCATAAAGTTGATTTGGAAAAACAAAGTCGGAGGTTAAGGTAAAGCAAGTGTTCAACAAAATTTGAAAAATCTGAAGAAATATGAGATAAAAAATCATTCTGATTTTCTGAAATTATATAAAATCGCATTAAAAAAATATTAAATTTATATTATTACCTTTACTGCAAAAATTAAACTCAAACAAAATTCAAGTTTGAAAAAAATTTCATATATTTGAAAAATAAACATTTCTACTTACGTGAATGGTGTCAAAAATTTATACATAACTTTTTAGCAATTTATGTGCGTGAACTTTTAATCCTCTGATCACAAAATCGAAAGTTTGACTGCCAAACTTGAAGAAATGAATACATAATTCTTTCTCGTAATTTATTATGAAATCCTCGCATAAATTGTCCCTCAAAGGCACCATCATCTAAGTCATTTGGAAATATTCTATTTCGTAGCTTTCCCATTTTTTTTTTTTTTTGCTATATTTGCAAAAAAATAAAATTAAACTAAAATTTCCCTAAAATGGAAATATTAAAAATATGTTTATTTTTCTATTAATGAAAATATAAGGAAAAATTAATTAAGTTTTAAAATTTTTAAACTGGGAGAAATTTATCGTGTAAATAGTCAAATTTAACAACAGTAAAAATATGTAAACAATTTAATTATCATTGTAAGAACTAAAAAAATTTTAGATTAAATTTTACAAGTTTTTCAAATTATACGCAAAATTAAATTTTTTGAAAAATTTTTTCTTCTTTACCATCAGTTTGATTAGAAGTTCTCTGCAATTTAGTTTTCGTTGTGTATACAAAATGTAATTTATGAGAGCACGTGGCTTTTAAAATTTTGTTGTTTTAACATTTTATTATTTAACTTGAATGGTACTAGTTGAGAAATTATGGATTTGTGAATATTGTTTTAATTATGAAAAAACAGTGAAGTGATGAAAAATGCTTAGAAGCTGCCAAGTGATTTTAAGGGACGTAAATAATGTTCCGAAATCAAAGCAGGTTAGTTTTTGAATTTTACAAATTTCTTTGTTTACACAACAACAACAACAATAAGATAGAATTTATACTTGAATGTTATTTTCAAATTTTTTAAATTACAGTTGATAAACGTTTTACTATGTTAATTAGCTACTTGTTCAGTTTTTTTATTTTTGTTATTGCGCAATATTTACGAATACGAGCGCCTTTGTTTTTCAAAGAAGGAAATTCATTAATTTTTCTTTCAAGTGGAAAAAAATTTGAAAATAAAAATTCTGTCTTCTTTTTGTTCATTAATTATCATTATTCGTTTTTGTAAGTAAATTATTATTCCATTTTATTAATGATTTATTATTCGATTTTAGAAATTAATCATATTGTTTTATTAAAAAGGAATGTCTAATGTTGGCTTTTATTTTTTAGCTCCAAAATGATGAAGAGAACTTATTATTCGATTTTAGAAATTAATTATTAGATTTTACAAATATATTATTTCAATTTTATTTATGAATTATTATTCGATTTTAAAAATAAATTATTTTTCGATTTTAGAATTTAATTATATTGTTTTATTAAAAAAAGCAATTTCTAATGTTTGTTTTTGTTTTTTAGCTCCAAAATTATGAAGAGGAATGTTTGGAGTTTTCCGGAGTGAATAGTGAAAAACTGCCGGACAGAGTTTTGGAAGAAAGTTTCAAAGTTCCCGTAGTGATCATTGAAAAATTACCAAAAGGATTTGAAGGGGAAAATTTAAAATCTTCCCGTTTGAACAAAATTTACGAAAATTCTTTTAAATTTCCGATAGTTTGTCTCGAAAAATTGCGAGAAGTACATAAAGTAAATAATGCGATCCAAGTGGAAAATTGGAACGAGAAATTCGAATTTTTAAAAATTCCTACGGTAGAAATTGAAAAACTCTATTGGTGTAAGCAATGTCGAAGAAATTTTAAATCCAATCGAGAATTACAAGATCACATAGACACAGAAGATAGAGAACATTATTTTGACAAAAATGAAGAAGAAGAGGAAGAACAAGAAGAAGAAGAAGAAGATGAAAATGATGAAATTGACGTCTTAGAAAGTTCTTCAAATTTTGACAGCGATGAAGAATTTTTCGAATCTACGCAATTTCAACGAAATGCGTCTCATGATGAAGAGGAAAAAGAAAATGAAAAAACAAACAAAGAAGAAGAAGAAGGAGAAGAAGAAGAAGAAGAAGGAGAAAAAGAGGAAGAAGATGTAGAAATAGATATTGAAGGAAGTTCAGATGAAGATTTTTCCGAATCCTCTCAAATTCAAAACAAAAGATATGATTCAACTGATTCCGTATCTCCCAGTAAAACTGAAGTTCTAAGAGAACAAAACGAAATTCAAACTAGTCAAGAAGAGGAAATTGTCCCCGAATCTTTGCAATATTGGAGAAATATTTGGAATGATCCTTTATTATACGAAAACGGCGATATTGAGGAAATAGAAATCATTCAGAATTCAAGTGAGGAAAGTTTTCCGACGTCGCCGCAAAATCAAATAAGTATTTTGTACAATCATTTACAATCACAGAAGGAAAATGATAAAGTCGAAAATACAAACAATTCCCCCAATTCATCACAAAATTGGAGAAACAATTCTGCAGATCCTTTACAATCGTTAATTGAAAATGAGAGTAATGAAAAAATAGAAATTAGAAAACAGCAACGGGAGAAAAATATTTCCAACTCTCCACGAAGTCGAAAAAATATCATAGATCCTCTAGAATCGTTGATGGAAAAAGAGGATAATGAAGAAAAAAAGAGGAAAAGTCCAGGAGAGATAACTATTTCAAATTCGCCACAAAGTCTACTTAGAGATCCGTTTCCCTCTCTTAGTGAAAATGATAATGATGCTGATGAAGAAGAAAAGGAAGAAACGTTTACAAAGGCGAATTTTTCCAATTCCCCACGAAATCGACGAAATATTTTTAAAGATCCTCTGCAATCTCTGATCGAAAATGAAAATAATGAGGAAACGGAAATTAGAAAACAGCGCGAAGACAAATATTCCAATTCACCACAAAGTCGATGGAATAATTTTAAAGATCCTCTAGAATCTCTTATTGAAAATGAAGAGAACGACGAAATAGAAACTAGAAAACAGGGTGAAAAAGAATTTGCCACTTCACCAGAAAGTCGAAGAATTAAATTTAAAGACCCTTTACAATCCCTGATTGAAAATGAAGTGAATGAAATAAAATTCAAAAAAAGTTCACGAGTTAAAAATATTCTAAACTCGCTACGAAGTCGTTTAAAAAATTCCCCACTCTCTTTTAGTGAAAACGAAGAAGCAGAAAATGAAGAAGACGAAGAAGAAGAAGAAACATTTACGAACACTTCTCAATCACGAAATTGGCGAAATATTTTTAAGGATCCTTTACAAGATCTAATTGAAAACGAAGACAACGAATTAGAGGAAATTAGAAAACTAAATTCCATTCCATACTCGTTGCGAGATCGAAAGAGTCGACCAAAATATTCCCAACTATCTACTAGTGAAAATGAAGAAGAAGAAGAAGGAAAGGAAAAAGGAGAAAGAGAAGAACCAAAAATTAGAAAAAAGTCCCGAAGAAATCCAAATTTAATTTCGCAAGAAAATCGAGGACGTCTCGAAAATTCCCGCAACTCTCTCAGTGATAATGAAGTTACTGACGAAATGAAAAATTCCCTCTACACTTGTGACATGTGTTTAATGGAATTTAACGAAAAACAATCACTAGAAACTCACGTTCTAAAGCATTTAGACGAGAAAATGTACAATTGTGACAAGTGCGGAAAAAAATTTGTCGAACCTTCAATTTTGAAAATTCACATGGCTTTCCATGCGAATGACAACTATTTTCGTGATAGCAATCTTAGAATGAAAATTGATGACACCCGCTATAAGTGTTATATTTGTGATGTAAATGTGAGTACAGAAAAAATTTTAAACTCCCATTTGCTCGGACATTTGGGCGTTAAACCTTTCGAGTGTCACATTTGCCTTCAGAGACTAACAACAAAGTCCTCTCTTCTCTCACATTTGACAATTCATAACAACGAAAAACCCTTCTCTTGTGACATTTGCTCGAAATCATTTCGTAGATTGGACTACGTCAAGTTTCACAAAAGAATACACATGGTAAAAAGACCGTACGAATGTCAATTTTGCGACAGAACTTTCAGTTGTAGTTATGATTTGAAAAATCATATGTTCTACCATACGGGAATAAAACTTTATCAATGCTTCCATTGTAATAAAGGTTTTTCAAGAAAGAAAAATCTCTCCGAACATTTAATTTTTGCTCACCAAAATGAAATGCTGGAAAATTGTAGACAATCGATTGCTAATTATTCAAATTATTCGTTTCAGAAAAGTGGTGTCGATGAGAATTTGGAGGAGACGAATTTCAATTTTTCAACTTCAATGACATTGGATAAAAATATTGATTCGGGAGTTCAAGAAGAATATTCTTCGATGCCGAGGAAAAAATTGAGAATTAGTTGGAATTCCGAATTTAATTTGAAACGAGGATTGAATTTTATTTCGGAAAATGAATCAAATATTCAAAAGAGGCAGCAAAAGAACTTAGGAACGTCAAATTGGAATTTTGAAGGGGATTTACGTGAAACGATGAACAACAATTTTGAAAATGGTGCAAATAAAAGTGTTACTTCAAATATTTTAGAGACGCCGAAGGAGAAAATGGAAACAAAAATGAATTTTGATTTTTTCAAAGTGAATTATTATTCTGAAAGGGAATCGAATGAGAATGTTGATTCGAATATTCAGGAGACGCAAAAGAAGACAATGGAAACATCGATAATAAATGTTAATTCAATTTCCGAAGTCGAGTTTTCCAAAGGGAATTTTTATCCTCGAGTGGAATCAAAAGAAAATGTTGATTCGAACATTCAAGAAGAGCCAAAGGAAACAATGGAAGCAGCAATAATAAATGTTAATTCAATTTCCGAAATGGAGTTTTCCAAAGGGAATTTTTCTTCTGAAATAAAATCAATTGAAAATGATTCGAATATTCAAGAAGGACTTCGAGTACCAAGAAAGGAACAAATGGAAACATCGATTATAAATGTTAATTCAATTTCCGAGCTGGAGTTTTCCAAAGGAAATTTTTATCCTCAAATGGAATCAAATGAAAATATTGATTCGAATATTCAAGAAGAGCCGAAGGAGAAAATGGAAACAACAAAAATAAGTGCAGATTATGAGGACGAAATGGAGTTTTCCGAAGAAAAATTTTCTTCTCAAATGGAACCGAAAGAAAATGTTGATTCGAATATTCAAGAAGAGTCAAAGGAAAAAATGGAAGTGGATTTTTCCAAAGGGAATTTTTCTTCCGAAATAAAATCAATTGAAAATGATTCGAATATTCAAGAAGGACTTCAAGAACCAAGAAAGGAACAAATGGAAACATCGATTATAAATGTTAATTCAATTTCCGAAGTTGATTTTTCCAAAGGGAATTTTTATCCTCAAGTAGAATCAAACGAAAATATTGATTTGAACATCCAAGAAGAGCCAAGTGGAGAAATGGAAGTATTAACAATTAATTCCGCCATCGAAGTGGAATTTCCCAAAGTAAAATTATCTTCTCAACTGGACAGAAACAAAAATATTGCATCGAATATTCAAGAAAATTTTCAAGATCCAAGAAAGCAGGAAATGGAGACATCGATTGTAAATGTGAATTCAATTTCCCAACTGGAGTTTTCCAAAATAAATTTCCATTCCCAAATGGAATCGACTGCAAATACTGATTCGAATATTCAAGAAGCGCTGAAGGAAAAATCGAAAATTAATTCGACACCCGAATTTGATTTAAACCAAGAAACCAATTTTCATTCTGAATCCGATTCGAAGAAAATTCCTGCTTCGATTAATCAGGAAACAGTGAATGAAAAATCGTCAATTATTGTCTCAAATTCCAAATTTGATTTACAAGAAAAATTTCATTTTCTTTCTCAAAAGGAAACAATTGATTCGAATCGGATTTTAAATAATAATTTAAATAATCAAAAGAAATCGAAAGAATTGAAAATTAGAATAATAGAAAAGAAGACGAAAAAAATTTACTTCAAATGCTACTTTTGTGATTTGGTATTTAAAGAACGAATTTTACAGTATAAACACGAGGTGAATTGTCATAAAATTCAAAAAGAAGGGGAAAAATTATTAATAAATAATCAAATAGTAAATAAAGAAAATGGTGATTTAGAATTCGAGGCAAAAGATATTGGAATAGAATTTTCCTAAGGAATTTCTTTTTCTTAAGAAAGTAATTTTTGTGATAACAATGTAATTTGAAAAAAAATCTTTTCGAAAGAAAGAAAATTGGTATTTTTAGTTTTTTTTATACATATTTTTACAATACAGATTTTATAAACATTCTCAACGTTATTGAAAATATATGAAAGAATGTGTATTTTTCGAAATAAAAAAAAAGTTTATAACTTTAAAAAATTACTTGTACTTTTTTATTTATAATTTATAAAATTTGTTTTTTTTAATTGAAATCAATTTATTTCAGTTTTTTCAAAATTTCCACTCTTTCCCGCCAAGCGCAGTTCTCATTTCTCAAAACTTGCGAAATGCGAGTTTCCCTTCTATAAATTTGTATTTCAAAGGCCGAAAATCGTGAGCCAAAATTTTCTGAATTTTAACAGCAAAAAACATAAAATAGTAACAGTTTTTAAAGAAAATTAATTTATTTTTTATAATTCTAAGCTTAATTAACGACTATTTATCAGTATTTACAATAAAACAATTGTATTTGTCAAATTGTATAGAGTATTTACTGTTAAATATGTAAAATGTGACATTTTCTGAAATTTGGTAGAAAACAAAATTTTTTTTAGGAAAAATTTAGTTTACGCTTATAAATAACATTCTGTAGGATTTTAATTGTGTATTTTACTTGTTTTTTTAAAATCTATATTAAAAAAAACGGTTCATTAAATATTTACAATTTACAATGACCGAAACAAATGGATGTGCTAATTCAAATACAAAAAATGGTAATTTCATTTGCGGTGTCGTTGAAGGTGAGTTAAAAAATCCCAGTTCTCTGGGAATAAAAACATCTGGTTAAATTGCAATTTGCATTTTTTTAATGCGCAAATTGTGGAAATTTTCCAGGCAAAAAATTTGTTTTAAAGGCATTCAGAATGTAGGAATTATTTTTAATTATTTGTTTTGTTTATATTTGTTTAATTTGTATTTGATAAAAAAAATAAGAATGATTAAAAGTTAATTCTTATATTTTGTAAATATAATAATTGTGATAATTAATTTCTTTGGTTATTTACTGAAAGTTATCGTTATTGTTTCAGGATTTTATGGTCGTCCATGGACAACAGAACAGAGAAAGGATCTTTTTCGAAAGTGAGTAAAAAATTTCTTTGGTTTTGGAAAAAAGGGTAAAAACAAAATTATGGAGAAAGTAGAGAATAAAAGTTATTTTTTTTCAGATTAAAAAAATGGGGTATGGATTCGTATCTTTATGCTCCGAAAGACGATTACAAGCATCGTGCATTCTGGCGAGATTTGTACACCGTCGAGGAAGCTGAGCATTTAACTGGTTTAATTACTGCCGCACGGGAATCTGGAATAACATTTTATTATGCATTATCACCTGGTTTAGATATAACTTACTCTAGTGCTAAAGAAGTGACGGCGTTGAAGAGAAAATTAGAACAAGTTAGTCAATTTGGATGTACTGCTTTCGCTCTATTATTCGATGATATCGAGCCGGAGATGAGTGAAGCGGATAAGGAAGTGTTCCAGTCATTTGCACACGCTCAAGTATGTAATTTTGTTTTTCTTTTGCAAAAACATTTGAAATTCTTATTAATGCAAGTCTCGAATAGATTTTTTCGACTTTTTCTTACAGTTTTCAAAAAAGACGAATTTTTTTCACGTCTCGAAAGTTTAAATATTTTTGGAAATTACTTTTCTAAAATGAAAAATAATGCGATTTAAATATTTAGTTATAACAATTTTTTTAATATAAAATTATTATTATTATAAATAATAGATGTTTAATATTAAAATGCAAATTAAAAGTAGGAAAAGTATCGTTTATTTGAACGTTCGAAACTTGGAAACTTTTTCTTTTAAATATTACAACAAAATGCCACTTTTTCTGGTATAAAATGCAATTTTTTTAGATTTTTATAGTGTAAATAACAAATCTATAGTCAATTTTTTCAATAATTACATATGTTGAAATATTGAAAGTGACTTTTTTTTAGTTTTAAAGTCCTCCCGAGGGCTGTTAATGTAAAAATGTAAATTTTTATTAAATGCATATTTAAGTCAAAAGTAAATTGTTATTAATGTAAAAATTGTAAATTATTAATATTATTAATATGAATCTTTAAAAAATTACAGGTTTCAGTGACAAATGATATATTTCAACATCTAGGACAGCCGCGTTTTCTTTTGTGTCCAACGCAATATTGTGCGACACGTGCAGTGCCCAATGTATCGACATCTGAATATCTCAATACTCTTGGCAGTAAATTGGCTCAAGAGATAGACATAATGTGGACAGGTCCAAAAGTAATATCACGATTATTGTCCGTTGAATCCATAGAGGAAATAACGGAAGTCTTGAGAAGACCGCCGGTAATTTGGGACAATTTACACGCAAATGATTACGATCAAAAACGAGTATTCCTTGGACCATATTCTGGACGATCGCCTGATCTTATTCCAAAACTTCGAGGCGTTCTCACGAATCCGAATTGTGAATATGGAGCGAATTTTATTGCAATTCATACCTTAGCACAATGGAGTAGATGTAACGTCGACGGGAAGCGAGATTTGAGTCTAAGTAAGTTTAATATTTGATTAATAGTATTCATTAAAATTAAAATTCTGACACGGCCTAAACCACCAGGTCTAAGATAGTATTCCATTTTTTCGACATTTTGACTCACATTTAAAAATTTTATCCAAAGTAATGGGGGAATATTAAATATCTAAAAATGCAACTAAATTTCTGATTTTTGGTGTCATTTGAAAATTCTGAAAACTTTTTATAAAAGTCACGAAGCTTTACATTAGCAAATGTAGAAAATAATTCAATTTTAGTATTTAATTTAATTGAATTCTCAGACAACTTTTTGAAAATTATAAAAAATAATTAATTAATAGAAGAATTTTGGTTAAAAATTGTAAATAATAATTGAATATTGAAATAGTTGTAGTAATTTTTTTTTAAATATTTGAAACTTTTGAATGATTGAAATTTCATAATATAAAATTAAAAACAATTGAATTTTTGATGAGTTTTAAGCAAACATTCAATTTTTAAAATTATAAAATTAAATTTTAGAAAAATATTCTGAAAATTATCAAAAATAATAGATTTTAGTTAAAAATTCTAAAAAAAAGTTGAATTTTAGATTAATTAAATATTTAAATAGGTACTTGAAAATTTTTCCGAAGATCATAAAAAATAATTGATAATTGATTTAAAGGAAAATATTAGTTAAAACTTCTATAGAAAATAATAGAATTTTAGAGATGAAACAACAATTTTTAGAAATACTTCAAGTTCAAAAGGTTTCAAATTAAAATTTTTTTAAAATTTAAATTGCTAGTGTTTAATAATAATATTTAAAAACTTTTTAAAAAATGATTGACTTTTTGAATAAATTTAGTTAAAAATTCTTGAATGTAATTAAATTTTAGAAGAATATTTTTTTAAAAAGTAATTCTTAGAATTTTTTTTCATCGTAGATTTTTTAAAATACAATTTATTATTTTCCATATTTTCTATTACATCTTTTCAAAAATTGAAATATCTACTGAGAAATAAATTATATTTTTAAATATTATTTTAAATATTATTAAATTTATAGAGAAATCAATCATTTTCAAAATTTTTAATTAAAATTCTGAAAAGAGAATGATAAATTAAATTTTTCTAAAAAAAAAAGTAAATTAATATTTTTTAAAATCTACTTTTTTGGAATTATCATTTAGTTTTTGGAGAAATCGTGTATTTTCACATTTATGATTAAAATTCATCAAAATTGATGATTATGATAATAATCGAATTCTTTAATTTAGGATTTTAATTAAAATTATATTTAAAATAATTGAATTTTTACGAAGGATTTTAGAAAATTTTTTAAATATAATTGAATTCTTTCGACAAATTTTATTAAAATTGTAATTATTGAAAATAATTGAACTCTTGGGAAGATTTTAATAATATTTATGAAAATAATTGAATTCTTGAGAAAAAATTTTATTAACATTTTTGGAAATCATTAAATTCTTTAATTTAGGAATTTAATTAAAATTATATTTAAAATAATTAAATTCCTGTGAAGAATTTTATTATTTATGAAAATAATTGAATTCTTGAGAAAAAAATTTATTAACATTTTTGGAAATTATTAAATTCTTTAATTTAGGAATTTAATTAAAATTGTATTTAAAATAATTGAAATCCTGGGAAGAATTTTATTATATATGGAAATAATTGAATTCTTTTGACAAATTTGATTAAAATTGCACCTATTGAAAATAACTGAATTCCCGTGAAGAATTTTTAAAATAATTTTAATAAAATTTTTTTTAAAATAAATCAATTTTTTCCAAGAATTTAATTTAAATTCTATTAAAACTAATTGAATTCCTTTGAGGAAGTTAATTAAACTTGAATATTGAAAATAATTAAATTCTTTCGAATAATTTTATTTAAATTTTTAAAAACAATTATATTTTCTTCAAGAATGTTATTAAAATTGAATATTGAAAATACATAAATGAATTCTTACTGACAATTTTATTAAAATTATTAAAAATAATTGAATTATTTCGTTCAATTTTGATAAAAATGAATTGAAAATAACTGAATTCTTTATAGGAATTCAATTTAAAATGTTGAAAATAATTGAATAAGTAATAATAAGTAATTAATAATTACTTAATAAATAATTGAATATTATTGAATAATTAATAATTGAATAAGTAAGTAATAATTGAATAATAATAATTAATTAAATAATTGAAATAAAGGAATGTATCAAAATTTTTATAATTGAATTCCTTCGAAGAATTTTATTATTGACGAAAATAATAAAATTGAGCATAATCGATCAAATAGTTTTTTTTCTAGCGCAAGAAATGTAATAATTTTGCCAAAAAGCGAAGGCAATGGGGTTCCGTACACGAAGTGTACGGAACACTATTAGCCTCGCTTTTTAATTTCATTCACTACCTTAAAAAAGAAATAAGTGCATTTCTTTAAAAAAGGAAATAATAGTTTCTAATTCGATAAAATTTATGATTTCAGACGACACAGTCTCGGCGGATATAAAATTAGAAACAGAGACAGAGGACGGTGTTGTGGGTGAGGATGTGCCTTCGACATTATCGCCGAATATGTATCATCCGCGGCACGCGCTCAAGAATGCAATAAACGAATGGTTGCCGGAATTCGAAAAAAAACGGGCAGCATGGGGTGTTATTGCAAAACCACAACCTTGCGTTGCGCCAACAATACCAATACCAATTATTCCCTCGGTGAATACGTGCATGAGTTTAACGACGACAACAAATACAACGGTGGCAGCCGCTCCAGTGGTGATCAACAATTCAAATCACCTTCAAGCTTTAGCAGAAGTTTGCACCAGTGTCTCAGTGAATGATACTTTCATTCCGCCAGTTGGTCCTGTCATGAATTCCCTGATATCAGAGACAAAAGTTGTCAGTGAACTTGCCCTACCTCAGTCGGGAATAATTGCTGCAACGTCAACGGCAACAATTCTACCATCCACCGAGCCAATGGATTGTAATACAACGCCTGGCAATTCTCCTGCACATATCGCTAAAACTCCCATTGAGGATGATGTAATGGTGGAAAATTCTTCGGTAAGAGTATTTTTATTATTTAATCAATCTTTAATTTTCGAGTTAATTATTTTGAAAGTTTTGAAACATTATGAAAGGAATACATTCGGACAAGAGGTTTTAAATGAAAATATGCTTCAACGTTTCGAAATCTAATTGATTTCCTCATCAGAGAGTGTATTAAATAATTACATAAACAGCAAGAATTAACAATGTCAGAGTTGCCATAGGTCAGGAGATTTCAGCGAATCTTATCATAAGTACTGCAAAAATATCAAATTTCTATAATTAGATACTACAAAAATTCTAGTTTTTTGTGCCCGAAAGCATTTTTGAAAAACTTTGAAACTTAGAATAGTCCTTGAATTTTTATTCTTTTTAATTAAAAACTTTTGAATCATAATGAATCTAGAAATAATTTTATTCTTCTTTTTTAAAATCATCATTAAATTCTTGGAGAAATAGTGTATTTTCACATTTGCGATTAAAATTCATCAACAACTTTAGAGGAATTGCATTAAAATTAAATTGAAAGTAATTGAACTCCTGGGAAGAATTTTTTTAAAATTTTCAAAAATAATTAAATTCTTTCGAGAGAATTAAAAATAATTAAATTCTGTCGAGAAATTGGTTTTAAAATTCAATTCCAGTGAAGAGATTAATAATAATTAAATATATTTATTTAAATGTTAATTTTATATAAAATTCATGAAAAAGTGAAATTTCTGAGAAATTTGAATTCCATTTTTAAAGATACTTAAATTTAAAGAAAATAACTTTAAAGAATTATCAATTTAATCAAAATTGTGTGAAACTAAATTGAAAATAATTAAATTTATGAAAGAAATTTATTAAAGATTTCTTTTCTTTAGTTTATTTTGAAAAAGATTTAGATTTATAATTTTTTTTAAAGAATTTTAGTTTCGAAAAATATGATTGAAAATTCTAAAAATTAGATTTTTAAAATATTTCAATTCAATTTTTTTTTTTAAAGATTATTGAATTTTTATAAATAAAAAGTTGAAATTAAAAATTGAATATATTTTAAATAACTAAAATTTTCAAGAATTCAAACACTCTTGAAGTGTTAAATTAAATTTTTGTTTCCAAAAATTATATTTTTTAATATTTTTTATAATTGAACTTCTCATAAATTTTTTTAGCACTCAGGAAGAAAATTAAAATTCTATCTGCAAATCAGGGTTATGAGAAATAATTTGCGTGTTTGTTAATTATTATTTATGTCTTTGGACGTTTTCTATTTTAATTGATTTTTGTTATTTATTGTAAATTCGATATTTTTATGTTCAAATTCTTTCTAATTTGTCAACTTCATATTCTTTTGTAACCTTTGTTAATTCTTGTTTATTTTATTATTTAATAGACTCTCTGATGAAGAAATCATTTAGTTTTTGAAAAATAAGCAGCAAGTGTTTTATTAAAAACAAATTTTTAGAAATAATTATATTTTAAAAAAGGTTTCAAATTAAAATATTTTGAAAATTTGTGCTTTGAAAAATTTTAATTAAGAATTTTGAAGAACTTAGTTTTTTAGAAAATATTGTTTCAAACTTTTTTGGAATTAGTTAAATTTTGAATTTTGTTTATTTGAATTGAAAACAATTGAATTTTAGATGAATTTTAAGTGGACTTCATTTTTTTTAATAATAAAATTTTTAAAGAACCTTATACAAATAATTGAAAATAATTGATTTTTAGAAAAGAATTTTAATTTAAAGTTATAGGAAAAATTTAATTTGGGAAGAATTGTAGTTGTAATATTTAGATATAATTAAATTTTAGAAAAATTGAATTTTCAATGAACTTTCTCAAAATAATTGATTAAGCAAAGATTTTTATTTAAAAATTCTAAAAAGTAATTGAATTTTGAAAATAAATAAATAAATTTTTCCAAAGAAGTTTCTCAAAATAATTGTAAGAAATTCATTCAGAAAAGAATTTAAATTAAAAATTGTAGAAAGTAATTGAATATTGTAAGAGTTATTATAGCAGAAATCTATAAATAATTTAATTTCCAAAGGTTTCAAATTTAAATTTAATGAAATTTCAATTCCTTTGGAAAGATAAATTACAATACCTAAGAATTGAACTATTTATTAAAAAAATTGTTTAAAATTTTTGAATAATTTATTTAAAAAATTCAGAAGAAATTAAGTTTTTGAAAAATCTTCATTAAACTTTTTTTAAGATAGTTAGATTTCTGAAAATAATTAAACGAAAAATTTTCAAACAATATTTTAAAGAATTTTATTAAAATTTTCAAAACCTATTTTTGTAAAATTTAATTAAAAATAATTAATTTTTTCAAGTATTTTGTTATAATTTTTTAAAATCAACTTTTGAAGAATTTTAATTAAAAATTTTCAAAATGATTGTATTATAAAAAAATTTTCATGAAAAATCCTTAAACGTAAATTTAAAAATGAAAATTAATGAAAATTAGTCTCAATACAAAAACTCTTTGAAGAAATTCAATTGTTTTGGAAAAATTACATTAAAATATTTTTAAAATAATTGAATCCAGGAAGGATTATAAAATTATATTTTTTTTATATTTATAAAATAATAAATTTCATAAATTTTACTCATTTTCAGTAAACTTTCATATTTTCCTGTAAATAAATTTTATCAGGGAAAATAATTTTAATGTCAGTAAATTGTCAGGGAAATTGATAAACTGAAACTTGTGACCACCCTGAATAATTCTAATATTTAGAAATAATTAGATTTTAGAAGATTTTAAATTGAAATTTTAAAAAATTTGATTTCCTTTGGAAAAATAATTGACAATATGTATTTAAATATTTATTGAAAAAAATTTTTGAACTTTTGAATAACTTAATTTAAAATTTCTGAAAAAATTGGTTTTTGACTAATTTTAATCTAAATAGGTAATAATTGATTGAAAAATATTATTAATTTGACTTTTAAACTTTGAATCCACGAAAGTGACTTTTTTTTTGCTTCTTCAAGTCGAACCAAGGCCTGAATAATATAAAAAAATATTAATTAAAATTTTCAGTGGGTAAATTTTTAAATATGGATTTTGTTTTTAGACCTGTAGTGGAGCTTCGGGAAGCATGCAAGTGGAGGTGGACAGCACATCACCAAGTATTAACGGCAACCAAATGGTCGTTGAAAATGACAACGAAAATCATGAAAATATTGTGAACAATGATAACGGGAGTCCATGCCAAGAGAGTCTTAATATTAAAGAGGCGAATAAATTGACCCATGAAGATTTATCCCTACTTTGTGATCTTTTCTATCTGCCATTCGAACACGGTGGTCAGGGTATTCAATTACTTCAGGAATTCAATTGGTTGAAAAGTAATGCTCAAATTGCAATTAAAAAATCTGAGGACGAAGAGCCAACTTCAAAAGCCGATGTGAGTAATTTATGAGACTTTTGCTTTTCTATCTGGTTCTAAAATTTTTATCATTATAATAAATATAATTATTTATCTAGGTTGATGAGTGGCACTCGCGAACTGCCAAACTGAACGAAATGTGTAATTCAGTGAATAGACTTTTTCAACGATTAACGTATTGCAACAATCGTGAATTATTGTACGATTTATATTCGTACGTGTGGGATATGAGGGGCGTCGTATCGCTACTCAATAGTTACATCAAATGGCTCGGTAAGTGTTTAAAAATTATTTTTCTACTCTAAACATTAAAAGCACGTTGTTGATACTAGAAATATGAAATATTCATGATTGCTTAAGTAAATAATTACTGAATGAAATTTATCTTAAAACTAAAATCAATCTCATTTCGCTAGTTTTTTGTCACTTCACGTTCAATCGAAATTTGAAAGAGAAACTTTAATTATAAAAAAAAAAAATTAGAAAAAAAATGTAATTAATAAAATTGTAAAGAAATTATATGAAATTAAAAATTTTCAATTCAAATCTAAAAACAAAATCAACTGTGAATATTTTTTTTTTTTTTAAATAACAATGTTAAAGAAAGTCATTTCATTATGTACTAGTCTGCTGGTCAATGTCAATTCTTTCATTTGTGTGTATCAGTAAAATAGAAAATTTTATTCATAGAAATTTATTCTTCTTTGCTAATTTCTTTTTTTATTTGTATAATTGCTATTGATTTATTATTCATGATTAATTTGCACGAACATTTTTTTCTTACACTTTTATTGACATTTTTTATTTTACTTCCAAGTCTATTTTTAGAAATTTTCTTACTTGCAGGTAAGTTTAATAATAATTTTTTTTACTTCCCATCACTTGAATTTTAAAAAAAAGAATCGTTTGGCAAGGAAAACTTTTTTTGTCACAAGAATATTTTTGTAGACAAATTTATGGATTAAAAACTAAGAATAAAGTATTAATAGGATTAAGAGGAAAAAAATAAATACTTTTTGATTTTTCATTTTCAAAATTGAAGAGTTGCAAAAGACTCAAATTTTTCTCTAATTTATTATGAAGGCGACTTTAAAAATTGCTTTGCAAAACGAGTGATTCTTTCACGTGCTTGCGCTTCATTACTTTGAAATAATTTACAAATTAATTAAAAATAATGGACCTTCAATAAAGATAACATTGGCATAATGTGTATTATAAAAAATATAATTCTGACCAATAGTGCTCGATTGGTTTTCTAATTTTGCTTTTGTAAATTAATAAGGCGCGTTTACATGTACTTCTGCGCTTTAGAGGTAAATGTAAAACGAGCGGTGTCCATTTGAAAAAAAATTATTGTATCATAAAAATTGAATTGGAAAAAAAATTAATTAATTAACTGAAACAAATTAATTTTTCTCAATGTATACAATTAAATGCAATTCGCAAATTATTTTCGATTCTTGTAAATAACACTAATTTCATTGTTGACAACTTGTTTTACAAAATATTCCCCTTTTTTATTAATAATATTTTTGTAAAATATTTTAATTTCATAAATTAGAATTAATTTGAGCTCATAATTATTTTTCATTTGAATTTTTTTAATTTACATCAAGTAAGTCTACTTTAATAGTTTAATTTACTTCAAGTTCTGATTAATAAGATTAATTTGAATACTATTTATTACTTGAGACTTTTAATTTTGAGAAATTAATTGAAAAAAAAATCAATAGCATTGTTTAATGTATTTGACATCAGCAACTGTATAATATATATAAATTGACTTTCTTTTACAGTTTAATAATAAAAAAAAAGAAACATTTTGCGAGGAACGTATTCGTTTGATAATGTGGCGATTTTATAGCGGATCCAATGAAGCTGCTGGTAGAAAGAAAAATAAGCGGAAGACGAATACTTTCCTCCAGAATCATTAATTCGATGTGGAACAATTATTATTTCTCAACAGCATTCACTAATTATGCTTTTTTATGTTTTTTTGTCTTGTTTATAGCACTTGGCAGATTTCCATCGTCGATGACAACATTCACCCAAGGAAGCTATACATGTACGAGATACTTTGGACTTTTTTTTGAGTAACAAAGCATGGCGCGTAATTATTCAAAGTCTTTGACATTTTCAAAGTTATACAATTATTACAAAAAATGATATTAATTAATCTCCAAATTAATTAAAATCAAATTTTAAATTAAATCAATTGAAAGCAAAAATTAATTAATGAAATTAAATAGATTAAATTAAATCTTTAATTTATAATTTTTATAATTTTGTTGATTATTATATAAATTATAAATTATTAATAATTACATTTATTTTATTCGATAAATAATTAAATTTAACTGTATTTAAAGATTTTGAGAAAGTTAAAAGCTTGGCATTAAATAATATTAAAGATTCTGTTTAGAGCAAGAATCTTTTAGCGCGTAGAGTCTTTAGGTCAAATACATTTCTTTGAGAGTGAAAATAAATATCCAAAATATTTAAATTTGGAGATGAAAAAATAAGTTATTAACTATTTATTTTATATTTAAAAAACTAAACTAATGAAATTAGCCAAATTAGCTAATTAGCCAAAAATAATTCGCTTTTTTAGTGACAATAATCGTGAATTAATTAATTTTCTCAAGGAAATGTTTTTCTCGAAATTAACAGTTGGTAATTTGAGAAAATTTTGGAAAAGAAAAATTATATTCATAATCTCTTGATATTTTCCTGAGAAATATTCATAATTTATAAATAATTTTAATCGACCAAGGTAATTTAAATTTAATCTTTCGATTTCTTCAAGCACTTAAATACGAATAATGAAGGTAACAATCGGTACAAAATTTTCATTCTAAATTTTACAATAATATTTCACTGAATAAAAATACAATCGAAATCGAAAATTTCGATTTTTGTTGAAAAAAGTGATAATAAACATTCTTGATCGATTAATAATATTTAACACTTCTTTCTGCCAACTTGCCCGCACTAATTTGTTTTTTCCTTAATTTCAGACTCATATTTTTTTCAGGAATAATACAAGTTTCATTTCAGGCGCATTTTGGCAATATAAAAACCCTCCACTGTTTTGTTCCAAAAAAAAATTTCCTTTCCTGATTTAATCAAGAGTTTATGATGCGCGACTGAAAATTTAACACTTCTTTTTGAATCGAAAAAAAATTAATTTATTTTGTAATTCTAAAAAAGATCTTCTTTATATTTGACATATAGTGAAATTTTCAAAAATTATTAATGAAAGGTAATGAAAATAATTATGAAGATAAAATAATTATTACGTTATCTTCATTAATAGGAGATTCGGTTTATTTTTAAGTTTACGATCCAATAAAATTGGTGAATAAAACTAAAATTAAAATCGAAATAGTGAAGTTTTCATTGAATTTCAATTAAATTATTGTTTTGTTTTATAAATTAAAGTAAAGGAAAGAAAGAAGTGATAAATTTAAGGTAAAACAGACGGAATTTTGCAATAAGAAAAAAGAATTATCATTAATTTTTGAGGGGAAAAAAGTGCATGTTAAATAAATTGGCTTTAAAGCAACGGATCTTAATCGTTACAAATAGAAAAATTTATTTATTAGCGTAAATAAAATTTTAATTTTCGGGATAGGGTTTTCAAATGGGTGGAAGGAAACTTTCATGAGTGGAGATCAAGAACCTTGGGTATTTCGCGGTGGTCTCACAGCTGATTTACAGGTATAGTTTCAAAAAAAAATTACTCTAATTATGTATTTCGACTTTATTATTATTAGCCGATAAGTAATTAAGTTTATTAGTATATTATTAATTTCTCGTTCAAAGCCGAAAGGTATGAATAACGTATAATAAATAATAGTAAAATAGTTGTAAAATATGTAATAATAATAATGATAAGAAAAATAATAAATAAAATATTAAAAATTAATAATTAATTTTAGAGTAAAAAATTGATTTTGAAATCGTTAATATTATTCACATATTAAAAACAGTGAATATTAATCCGCTCTTCGTTTTATTTTCTAAACAGAGATTAATACCAGTGGACAGTGGAAACGATTTATTTGTCTACAAAGCACCGGAAGTGCCTACAAGTGAAATTTACACAATTCGACCATATTTATCGAGTGACGAAGATGCGGTTTACGCTGTTTGCAATCGAATTACTGGCTGTACAATGTCGTCTGCCGTTGCCGATAGGTAAGATTAAGCTTTTTTTTGTAAAGAAAAATTAATTTTAATGTTCTTTATTTTAATTATCATTTCACACTTTTCTCTTATTTTAATGTAATACAATAATCGATTTTTAAAATTCATTTATCAGACTCGTCGGAGGATTCTTAACATTGAGTCCTGAGCTTTGTATGGTCGTCGAAGATGAAGAAGGTATTGTTGGCTATGCGCTGGCGGCAATAAACATTACAAATTTTAATAAAAAATTGTCACTTTCGTGGATTCCGGAAATGTGTTCAAAATATCCATTAAATGAGAGTGTCAATGAGATGCCGCAAAATATTCAGGTATTTTATTGTTCTTTTTTTTAATAATTTTGCATTTCTTTTTGTGAATTTATGTTATATTTTTTTATTCGCTACAGTCGACTCTTGATAAATTGAATTTCAAGGGACATAGAAAAAATTCAAATTATGTTTTGAGTAACAATATTTTTTTAAGGGACCAGAAAAAAAATTCAAGTTTCTTTTTTGAGAATTTAATTTAATTATCCAGAGTTGACTGTATTTAATTTTTATATTTATTATTTTATTTATTGTTTTGTTTCAATGTTTACTATTTCACGTATTATTTTGATTCTACATTTAATATTTATTTTTTTATTTAATATTTTAATTTATTTTTATTTTATCTTTTTTATTTTCTATATAGTTACTAATTTATTATTTGGTTTTTATATTTATTTTATTGCTTCGTTTCTATTCCTATTTTTTTTATTTACTGTTTGTTTTCAGGGTTGTTTTTATTGACGGTTTTTTCAGATCAGAAAAATCTGGGAAAAGTCAGGGTTTTTTATGAAAAAAAACTGGAAAATTTTTTAATTTCTAGAATTTATAAGCAAAATCTAGATTTTGTTGTCCAGCATCTTAGAGAAATTTAATTCTTCTTGAATTTTTTGTTTGTTTGTCTTATAGACTTTAAATCACCTGGAATTTTAATACAAAACTTCAAAATTTTTCTACTTCTGACAATAATTAAAATTGAATTTACTTTAAATAATTTAATTCTTGAAGAAACTATCAGAAAATTATTTTTAAATTATTTAGTAAATAATTGTACTTAAAAATTTCAAAAATAATTGAATTTTATAAGAGTTGCGTTTACAATGTTAATAAAGAATTGAATTTCAGAAGGTTTTAAATTGAAGTTTCAGAAAATTTGAATTTTGAATAATTGTAATTAAAAATTAAATTTTCAAGAAAATAATTCAATTGAAATTTTGAAAATAATTTTGGAAAAGTTGCAGTAGCATTTCTTTTTAATTATTTCATTTGAAAAGGTTTAAAATTTAAAATTTTTTATAATTTTAATTCTCATGGAAAAATAATAATAACAAGTTGTATATTTTTTTTATAATTTTGGTGCTCATTTCATGAACACTTTACTTCCTCATAGAGATAAAAAAATAATAGAAATATATGAATAACTTTTTATAAATATGGTAAAAGTGATTGAACTTTGGGTCAATCAATTTATTTTTAAATACCCTACAAGATAGTTACAATAATTTAATAGTTAAACAAAAATTTTCAAACAATCAAAAGATGCGTCTAAAAAAACTCTACAAAATTATGGAAAAACATTTATAGGTGTCCTAACATTTTTTTAAAGTTATGGTCGAAAAACGTTTTTTTGCAAAATTAAAAATCAAAAAAAAATTTAGTTAAACTTTATTAATATATCAGAAAGTACTCTCACTTTATGTCCGCAGGTGAGATCTACAATTTAAAAAAAAATTCAACCCAAAAGCTCTTCATGATTTCGAGATATTTATGAAAATGTGATGTTTACACACACACACACACACAGACGGAATGACATTTTTTAAAAATGTCATTTTTGAACTCCTGAGGTCAAATAACATAAAGATATGTCAAAAAATCGAACTCGAAAAATTTCGGTATTACAATACTTTCTCTATGAGGAAGTAAAAATTGAATTTTTATCTAAAATGAAACTATTGATGTTTCGAATAATTTTACAATTTTAAAAATATTCAAAAGTAAATTATTATTTCTTTTCCTGTTTTGTTTCTATACAATGTATTATTTTACTTATACTTTTTATTTCTAAAATAAGTATTTCTTTTACATTTTAATTTATTTCAATTTCTTTTTTTATCTTACATATTTAAATTAAATATAAATTCAGTTTAATTTAAATTAAATCTTTTAATGTTATTAGTTTGTTTTGTTCTGCTATTTATAATGTCAATTAGAGTAGAATTACAAATTGCTGTGTAATTTTTAATTCTGAAGTTTCATCATAAATTTTTTTTAGGAGGCGATTCAGTATTTTCATTCGTTTGTTCCTGAAGTGCCAGAACAGTTGGAGAGACAGCATCCATCCTATATTATTTGTTCAGTATTATCAACAGTTACTGATCAATCAGTTGCAAAAAGACTAATTACTTGCACTCTCGCCGCTTTGAGAGCCAATGGTGAGGTTTCTTGTTAAAAAATATTAATTTTTTAAATATTAATTCAAAAATTCTATTTCTCATTAAATTGGATTTTTACTTTAAATAATTGATTAAATTTTCGCTTAGATGAAATTTAAATTTAAATGCGTTTCTAAAAAAAACTTTTAGAGTAAAATTAATGAATGTAAAAATATAGAAAAAGAATAAATTGAAAGAAGTGAAATTAAATAAAATTAAAATAAATTAAATGCAAAATGAAATTTATTTGAACTTGAAAACAGAAATATAAAATAAATATTGAATTTAAATTTCAGGATCCTTCGGTATTCACACAACAACATCAAGTAGCGATAAGGAAATGCATGAATTCTACGCCAAACTTGGATTTGTGGATTTTTCACCAACGAAGAATGATAATTCGCCAATTGTGATGTGTAGAAGTTTCTAACGAAAGGTAATAACTACATCATTATTTTCCAATAATCTACTTCTATCAAGTTCAGAGAAGTAGAGAATTTTTAGAATTTCAAATTTTTCTTTTTCTCATGACAAAAAAGAAATTGGAGACTGACTAAAAAGAAAACAAAAATTCACTCTTTACTCTTTTTGCGAGTGAAATAAAAATTTTTTCTTTTGTTAGAAAATTTTCCACAATGGTGTATATTATGTTATTAAAGTAATTCGCAAAAAAGAAAATTTTTTGCCTATTAGAGTAGGAAAATTACGTGAAAAAGAAAAGAAAGAAATATTATACACACAACTTTTTCTAAAATCAAAACAAAAAATTCTCAAATTCGCCCTCGCATTACAAAAAAAGAAAGAGCCAAATTATAAATAAGATTTTGATGAATTTGCAATTAACAATTGAAAAATAAATTTGAAAAAACAATGAGCTCTGAGTAGTGCGAGAAAATTGATATAGGAGAGAAAGAAAAAGTACACGTTACAAAAGTACTTTAATAAGCGCTATTAATAAATTTCCACAATATTTGAATTTTTCTAATTTTTTTTTTTAAATATAAAATAATAAAACTCAGCCTTCGAATTTATAAGTGTAGTTAAAAGAAAAAATAATCCGTGATTGTGTGACATGTAATGCCACATTCTTCTTTTTATTAGGATACAAAAATTTAGAGCAATATTATTAATTAAAGAAACAATTTTTAAACTGTAAAAGGCAGAGATTAGAGAACATTTTTTATCGTTTCAATTGATTCTCGATGTACACATATGTTACATATTAATGCTAATTAATGCCTTTTATAAACTACAAGTAATTAATCGATCGCAATTTAAAAATAGACTCTATAGTATTCTATATCATTTAAAGAAAAATCATTTATTATAGAGAAAAAAGAACGCACACTATAGTAAAATTATTATATCAAATGCTTGAAAGATTGAATTTTTTAAGTCTATTTATTAGTCGAAAGTATTGAGACATTTTTTTCATAATAGAATCATTTCTCCAATTAGTAGAGAATATTTGCCTTTGCTTAGATTAAAAATGTTGATTTTATGAAAAAAGTATTTGAAAAAAAATGTTTTTTAAAAATTTAGCATTGCAATTTTATTAAATTATGAAGGAAGTGAATTTTTTAATTGTTTTTTTATTCTTAATATTTAATTATTATTATTATTATATTATTTAAAGATTATTAAAATCAATTTACTGATATTATGCATTTAATTTTTATTGTTTTTAAGTAGTGCAAATAAATTAGGCAAGTTTAAAGAATTCTTTTTTATTTTAGATTTTTACTGTGTTATTTAATTAAATTCATAGATTTTTTTTTGCCTCGAAGAGAAATGGTATATTGTCGTTAATGTTTTATGTGTACAAAAAAAGCATGAAAAAGTTTTCTCTATTATATGTAGGGAAAAAAGAATTAATAAGGAAAAGTAAATTAATTTTTCGTCTAGTTAACAAAATTTTTAAATGAAAGTTTAAAGAAATAATTAGATTATCAGCATCGTAATAAAAAATAAAGTAGCTTTCTTACTACATTGCACAAGTGACATAAAATCTTTGAAATGAAAAATTTCTTCGTTGTAAAAGAGAGAAAGAGAGAAAATAAGAGCAGAATGGTCAGGAGAAGAATGTTTTTTACGTGTAGAATTTTTTCACAAGTATAAAAAAAAATATCTACGTTTATACTTCGTCATAACGTTTCTGTAACGAATGAAAAAGAATTAATTTACAATTGTTATTGTGTCAAATTAGTTAATTTTTAACTTCTTTTTTTTAAAGCCATAAATTAATTTTATTTAAGAGAAGAAAAATTATGTGATTTTGGAGGAAAATATACTTTCACTTTTTTATGTAAATGAAAAATTATTGTGTGTGATGATCGACGATCCATGATTCATGATCCATGATCCATGATCCATTCACATTATTATCATTTTTAGTTTAAAATTATTATTTTATTATATTGAAATCATTCTTTTTTTTGGATAATTTTAAAGGAAACATTCTTTGAATTCACTCATTTATTTTATTATTTTAAAATTATTCTTTTTTCATAGAGAAAAATTCTTTGAATTAATTCATTTTCTTTATTATTTTAAAATCATTTTTTTAATCATTCTTTTTTTTCTTAGAGAAAATTATAAAAGAAAAATTCCATGCGTTTACTCATTTATTTAATTTGTTAATATTTTGTAACTCTTTGCGGTCAATATTTAAATTCAGACGAATTTTAAAGGTTGGAAATTTTTTTAGTTTCTTTAGATTATTATCGAAGGTGGAGCTTTATAGGGTTTTCGATTATGTTCCTCGATGATGTCGTTGTACATTTTAAGATGTTTGATCGAGTTTTGCAATTCTTGAATCTGCAAAATTACAAATTAATTAATATTTTTTAATATACAATTGACTTTTGGGGAATCGAAAATTTCCCTTTGTTTTTATTTCGCATTTTGTAAATTTGTTTTTTTAACTATTTTTTTCTCTCGAATTTTTATTCAGTAAGGTTCCACTCTAAATAATTAAATTATGATTCAATGTTCAGGATTTTATACAAATAATTCGTTCCTTAAAATTATTATTTAACATTTTATTTCTATAAAATCGCTGACTTTGAAAATTCTTTAGAAAACTATTTTATTATTTTAATTATTATTTCGATCGACTTTAAGAATTTTTGCTATTTATTTTTAATATTATTAATTAAAATTTTTACTAGCTTTTATTATTAATATTATTTTTAATTTTACAGCATTTTTATTACTTTTTTATTTATTATTATTATTTGCTATTATTATTATTATTATTTGTTATTATTTATGTACTAATTACTTATTTTTTTCTAGGATAAAATTTATTAAAATACCTTTTGCATTTCAGCTTCCAATAATTTTTTATCTAGTTTTGTATTTGAACTCTCGGATATTTCGGACAATTTGAGTTTGTTTAGTGACTCGAAAATCTGATCGATATTTTTATTTATATCTCTGCAACAAAAATTGGTTTCTCTTTAATTTCTTCTTTTCTAAATTTTCAAATTTATTTCTGTGGTAAATAATTTACTCACGTGATTGGTTCATCGAAAAATCTATTCCTCGTTGTAGACGTTTTCTAAATTGTAAAAAAAATAATAATTAGAATTTTTATTATCGAAGAGTATTTTATTTTCATTACTAAAAAAAAATATTTCTCTTTATTTATTTTAGTAATTATCGTACCTTTTTTTCGATTGGTTTTATTGAAACGGGAATGAGATTCGAATCTACTGCAAAGGGAATGTCATCTGTAAAATTAAAATGACGTTACAAAAAAATTGCTCTCCTTTATCAAAAGTATTTTTTATTTTGGAATTTAAAGTACTTTTGATTTTGCTAGTTTTCTTTTGGTAAATTTACCTTCTCTTCTATTGGCAGCTTTTTTCATACTTTTCTCGTTGCTACTACTATCGTATCTCCATTTTTTCAAAGTGGACTTATTTCTAAAAAAAAATAGAAGAAATAAATTTTGTAGGGAAAATAAATTCTCTAAAGAAATAAATTTTGTGGAAAAAACAAATTAATTTCCTCATATTTATTATTTTGATAAAACTTTGCCAAAACTCACATCAATCTTTGAAGTTCCAAAGCTCTTCTGTCCAGAAGCTCCTTCGCTTTTTCCATTCTTAAAAGGCGAATTTCTAAATAATCATTTGGCTGGTAATTCTCACATCTAAATAAAAATTTTTTAAATTGTTTATATTTATTTTTATTTCTTTATATTATTTTTTTACATTTTCATTGTCGAGAACATTTATTTAACAGTAAATATTTTAACATTTTTCAAAAATTATATTTAAATAGGGTCAGTCCATTGACTTTCGTCTGAGAGTCGTTGCGACCATATTTTAAAAAATTATAATTTTCATATATGTGAAACTCGATGATTTTCTGATTTCATTAATCATAATATTATGTTACAAATTTTATTTCGTTTAATAATATTAATTATCAAAAATAGGTTGTTCACGATGTGATTTCGTAACCTTAAATTTTGCAACTTTTTAAAAGACGTTATTATTCAAAAACTATTAAATATTAGGGGTTGGTACTTACCACAAATATAAATCTTTCCATTCTGCACGTTCTAATGACCAAAATGAACTAAAAATTCTATTATTTGTGGACGAAAATTGATTTTAAAAATTTTTTTATCCAAAAAAATTACACTTTTTGTTTCACTTACAACTTTTTTGTCGGACCTCAAAAAAATTTGGGGTTTTGCAAATATTTCTTTAAGAACATAATTTATCTTCTATTGAAATTTGACGAAGGTGTTTTTCTTCGTTCTCAAAATAATAATTATAAAAAATTTTGTTCAAAAAGGTTAATTATAATGCTTGAAATAAACAACAAGCATTGTTATTTTAGTGTCAATATCAACTTCAAGTCTTAGAATTAACCTTTTTGCATACAAAATTTTTTATAATTATTATTTCGAAAACGAAGAAAAACACCTTCGCCAAATTTCAATAGAAGATAAATTATGTTCTTAAAGAAATATTTGCAAAACCCCAAATTTTTTTGAGGTCCGACAAAAAAGTTGTAAGTGATACAAAAAGTGTAATTTTTTTGGATAAAAAAATTTTTAAAATCAATTTTCGTCCACAAATAATAGAATTTTTAGTTCATCTTGGTCGTTAGAACGTGCAGAATGGAAAGATTTATATTTGTGGTAAGTACCAACCCCTAATATTTAATAGTTTTTGAATAATAACGTCTTTTAAAACGTTGAAAAATTTAAGGTTACGAAATCACATCGTGAACCACCTACTTTTGATAATTAATATTATTAAACGAAATAAAATTTATAACATAATATTATGATTAATGAACTCAGAAAATCATCGAGTTTCACATATATGAAAATTAGATTTTTTAAAAATATGGTCGCAACGACTCTCAGACGAAAGTCAGTGGACTTACCCAATATTTAACTCAAATAAAAAATTTATAAATGTGATTTATAACGCAATTTATATAATTTTTAATTAATATTTTTTTTTCTGAAACTTCAAAATTCAGAAGAGAGAAAAATTTATTTTTTTACATTCAAATAATTTTTCAATAAATTGAACATTAATTTAGAATCTTTTAATTGAAGGGAATTTAATTTTTTATTGTTATTTTTTATAATGTCAAATTTTCGTTTTTCTCTTTTATTTCGATTGAGAAATTTAAATCGATCTTTTTGATAATTTGCAGTAGTTGTGAAATCAAATTTCATTGTATTTAATTGACAGAGTTTTATTGTATTTTCCCTGTGGGTAATGAGATTGGAAACATTATTTCTCACATAATGGGAACGTTGTATTGGTCCTAGTTTTGTAGAATTTTTTTTGGAAATTGAAGAAATTGGGGATTTTTTATTTTTATTTTCGACATTCACATAATTCGTTGAATTTTTTTTATTCAATGTCATTTTTTTAGAAGAATTTGAATTTTTTTGGTGATTATTATTCAAATATAAATTGGCACAATTTTCACATAGAACAATAAGTTCTTCGGTTGTTTCTGAATTCGATAGGAAGGAAATATTATACCTGTTACTTGGTTTATAGTTTAATCTTCGCATTCTCGTTGATTTTTCCTCTTCTTTTGCTTGATATTTTTTCATTGGCATTTTTAATGATTTTTTGCTATTTTTCTTTGATTGATGACTTAATAATGTCCAAGGATTTAGCATAATTTCGTCTGAAATTGTATTTTAATGATTGAGTGCATTAATTAATTGTCGAATACTCAAATTTATTATTGGATTTACTATCAAATTATTAAATTATCAAATTAATTTTCCAGTTATTTAATTTGTTCATTATTTAATTGTCGAATTAATTACAAAATTCATGATCAAATTATTTTTTAAGTTATTTAATTGACAAATTAGTTACTGAATTAATTATCAAATTAATTATTTAATTATAGTAATTTGAAGTTAATTAATAATTCACTTTGTTGATTTTTTATTTTTAATTCTTCTTTTAATTAAAAAATTAGAAAACCTTTTTTAAATTCAATAGTTTCGTTGGGATAAATTTTATTCCACTCTTCACGTAGAAATTTTAAAACTTCATTAGAGCCGAGATTTAAAATCTCTTTAGGTGGATATAAGAGAGGATTATGTGTTGCTTGAAGGTTTTTCAAATTTAATAGTGTGCCTGAAAATATGTAGAAAATGAATTTTACTAAATTTAGAATTTCAGGAATTTCATTTTAATACGAAAATATATTTTTCAAATAAGAAAATAAATTTTTAATTAAGAAAATAATTTTTCAAATATGAAAATAAGTTTTTAATTATAAAAATAAGTTTTTAATAGAAAATAAGTTTTTAATTATGAAAATAAGATTTTAATTATGAAAATAATTTTTTAATATGAAGATAAGTTTTTAATTACGAAAATAATTTTCTAAATATGAAAATAAGTTTTTAATTACAAAAATAATATTTTAAATGAATGAAAATATATATTTTTTTTAAATATGAAAAAGTGTAAATTTTTGTTACCAAGTTCGATTGGTAATCTTTCCAATTTATTTCCCTGAATTAAAATAGTTTCAAGATTCAAATGCCCCTTGATAGACAATGGTAAAAATTTTATTTGATTATTTCGCACATCTAACCATTGAAGAAATTTTAAATTCACAAATAGTTCTTCTGGAATTTCGTCTAATTTATTTCCTTCCAAATAAAGCAACTAAAAAATATTTTAATTTATTTCATTAACATTTTTTTTATTATTCATTTAATTCTTTTAAATTAACTCTCTAAAATAATTAATTAAAATTAAATTTTAAATAATTGATTGAAATTAATAAAATATGTAATTCATTCAAATTAATTATTTTAAATAATTAATAAATTATTAATAAAATTGAATTCACTGAATTCAATTAATTAAAATACTTAATTAAAAATTAATTATAAAAATGAAATTCATAATTAAATAAATTCTGACCTTAAGAATTGGAAATTGAACGAAGATATTTTTTGGCAAAGATAATAATTCAGAGCCACTTAAATTTAAAAATGTTCCATCGCAAGATTCTTGTATCATTGAAATTTTTCTACATAAACTCATTGTTGCATTGCAATTTTGATTTTCGTTTATTTCTTCAGAAGAAATTTTGTCATTTTCTAAATTTTCATCTTCATTGTCTTCTAGTTTTAATTTTTTGAAATTATTTTCCAATGAAATTGTATCGGTGGTAGAACTTTTTTCCTCCCAAAGTTTTTCAACAATATCAACGTATTCCATTGAAAAATCGTCATCGTCAATTATTTCTTCATCGCAAATTGATGATTTTTCATCTAAAGTTGATGATCCTTCTTCACATTGCTCATTAGTGTCTTCCTGTAATTATTAATTTTGTTTTGAATAATTATTTATAAACATTTATTTTAATATTTTTATTTCAATATTTATTTAAATATTTATTCAAAAATTTTTTTAAATATTTTAAATAATTATTATTAAACATTTATTTTTTATAAAAATGTTATTTAAATATTTATTTAAATACCTTTATTTAAATATTTTTATTGAAATACTTTTTTAATATTTTTATTCAATTATTTATTTAAATATTTCTATTCAAATAATGGATTTAAATATTTTTAATTGAATATTTGTATTCAAATATTTATTTAAATATAATTAATTAAATATTTCTATTCGAATTTTTATTAAATATTTTTATTCAAATTTTTATTTAAAAAAATTTTTTTGTTTTTTAAAATACATAATTTTTACCTTGGAATCTTCTATTGTTAGAGGTTCTTCATTTTCGAAGGATTCATCAACAAGGGAAATATTTATTTCGTCGTCCATTATTTTGACACATTCGTGAGTTGACAATGTTTTTCCAATTTCGGTTTTTTTTCCGAATCCATAATAAGTTGATAGTAAATTTTGTGTTAGATTAAACATTTTTTTTTCTTCAAAATAGTCTCCAGTCTCTATTTTATAGAGTCAATTTTAGTGACAATTTTTAATTTTTAGTCTTCTATTGTTTCTTTGATGGCCTTTTATTTTATTCATCGATTAAACACTCCGTTGCTATTCAGGTAAGTTTCAGTAGTTTAAAAATTGAATTATTCGCAAATTATTTATTTTCCAAATATATAAATATTTTTCTGTTCTATTTTTAACTATTTTGTTTACTATTCTACTTTTACTATTTTAATTTCTTAATTATTGTATTTAATATTTTTATTTCAAACAATTTAGTGCTTAATTACTAATAGTAAATTTAAATTTGAATGCTTTTCGCGCTTTACAGTGTAGCCAATAGAAAATATTTCCAGTCTGTGAAGAAAGTATTTGGAACAGTTTGACATTCGGCTATTTAGTATTGGTAGCACTGTCAGAATGAAGTTCCGCCATCAACCGCAAGAGTGTGCCAATTTTTGCACTAGAAAGAGAAAGAATGTTCAATGTTCACTTTAGATTAGTTTTTAGACGCGACAACAACGAAGAGAGCTGCCGAATTTGATTATTTCCCATATAATTATAACAAGTTTTTAATAACTTACGGTAGTGGAAAATTGTGCAATAATTAACCAAAGATATTTAACTATTCTTTATTAATTAAATCAAGAGAAATCAAATTGTGCCACAAATTTTATCAACGACTTGCATCTCTCAGGATTCATTGGATGTGCGTGTATCGATATTTTTTCAAAATAATACCGACGAGAAATTTGGAAAACATCAATAAAAGGGGTAAGTGATTTTGTTTATTTATACATTAAACAATGAAAAACAATAGAATAATATTCACATCAAGTTTTTAATTGATCTCAATGAACTTTGTCAACGGTTTTTATCGAAAACATTAGAATTCTGAGAATCCCGCCGTTTCCTGTTAGATTCCTGGAATTCAACTTCGTTCCGAATGGAAATGAACTAATTTTATTTGTTTCTAGTAAAAAGTAATAAATTTTTAATTTATTGTTTTTTAAAATTATTGATTTTTATTTAGAAAAGGTATATTAATTATTTAATGAAAAAAAATTCAGGAATTAAACTATTTTTGTCTGTTTTTAACCAAATAATTCTCTGTGATTCTGAGAAACAAAAGACAACATTTAAATTCCTGGAATTTGTATAGGCAGCTTTCTTTTCTTTATATTGTAGGTATTCTCTTTTCTCTAATTTTTTACTGAATATTTTCTAAATCGAATTAAAATATTTAAATAATTAGTTGAATAATTATTAACTAATTACATTAAATATAATTGGATGGAAATTTTCCAAATTTTTCTCTTCGATTTGAGAAAACAGAAAAGTATCTCAACAAAATTTTTCTTTTTTTAAAAATAGTTTTTTGCAATAAATTCTTCTAAATTTATGTAAATTTTTTTTGCTTAAAAATTTTTAATTTAATTTTTTTACTTTGAATATTTTTATTATTTTTTTCAAATTCAATTTTTTAGACATACATATTTTAAATTATAACAAATTTTAAAATGCTGAAACTATTGTCAGAAAAATGTAAATTAATTTTAATTGTTAAATAATCTAAAAAAAGAATTATTTTCTTTATTAGCTAATATACAAATTCCGGGAATTCCCCTCAATGATTAAATATTTTTTAGAGAGAAAAAAGTCACAGGTTATTCAAATATTAATTTTTCCTTTTCAACATCTGTTGGTCATTAGTATTAATAGATAATGTAATAGTATTTAAAATAATACTAAAAATAATAATTTAATTAATTATAAAAAATATATTTAATTCTTAATTTTTTCAATTTTTAATCAATGTTTTTATTTTTATTTTTTTCATTAATTTAATTCTATTATTGATTAAAATTATTTTTTTCTCTGATTCAAAATTATTTGACAATATAAAAATTTCTAAAGTGGGATAATTTTTAATTTTTATTTTTAATTTTTATGTTTTATAATTTTTATTACATTTTGAATTAATTTTTGACAATTACCTTTGTTCAAAGTAACTTTTTAAGATTAAAAACGAAAAAAAGAGATTTCATTTTTATTTATATTAAAATTTTTAATTAACGTTTTCATTTATTACATTTATTTATTTATTAATTAAAAAAATTCAGAAACGAGATTTTTTGAAAAAAAGTTAAAATTTACAGATTAATAATTAATATTTAATTATCAAAAATATTTCATTTTTATTTATATATTAAAATTTTTAATTAACGTTTTAATTTTAATTTTATTCTTTTCTTATTAGTTTGTTCTTATTATTGATTAATATTGATATTTTATTAATGTTTCTCTTAATCGAAATTAATATTTAATTAATATTGTCATGAAAATAAATATTTTTTGAAAATACTTTTTGTAATTAAAATATTGATAATAGTTAATTATATTTGACTGAAATTCATTTCTTTTTTTACTCACATGTAAGCGGACTTTCAAAGAAAAAAATAGTATAAAACAATTATTATAAAAAAAATATTTATTTCCTATTCTAATTATTAATGGAAATGGTTTTCGAATAATATTTTAATATTGACCAACTACATTAAGTACAAATCGATTGAAATTTTTTCTTCGATTTGAGGATACACAAAATAATTTCGACAGTATTATTTTATTTTATTTTTTTGTTAATTATTTTTAAGAAATTAAATTAAATTAATTAATTCAAACTAACAATTAACTATTAACGAGTAATTTTGTTTTGGAATTCGAAAATTAAAAAAAAATTAGCGAATTGGATTATTTATGAATTTTGTTTTCCACAGGTTGAAATAAATTTTATTAAAAGAAATTCTAGAAATCTCTACGGATTGCAGAGGATGTGAAATTACAATTTAACTACGAGTACATTTGGAAAATACAGACGACTCGGAATTTGAATTTATCGATGGATTAGAATTTTGACTTCAATTTGACTCAAGGTAATAAAAGAATAATTTTTTTTTTCGAAAAATGTTTAGTTTTTATCGAATTTGATTTAAAATTTATTTATTTCTTCTTCAAATTAAGTTTTTATTACAATAATTTTCCGTTACTATAAAAAAAATAAAATATAAAGTTTCTAAGGGTAAAATTTAAGTTTTTAATATTATTCCACTTAGTAATTTGTGAAAATATTTTTAAAAAATATTTCAATATTTTAAAACTTGTGAATCATAGGTATCAAAGTTTGTAATACCTATAAAAAATTAATGCTCACAGATATTTTTTGAATAATAAAACTCGTTGCAGAATTTCAATTATTTTTAATACAATTTTAACCGAATTCCTCGAAAAATGTAATTATTCTTCAAAATTTAATTAAAATTCGTCTAAAAAAAATTCAATTATTTAAAAATTCGTTGATAAAATTATGTACAAGAATTAAATTTTAAGAAACATTCAATTATTCAATAAATTGTTTATTTTTGTTATTTAAATAATATTGAGTTCTCGTACAATTTTTTAATAAAAATTGGTTTAAAAATGAATTTCAGTTAAAATTTTAGATAATAATTGAATATTAAAAGCATTACAGCATGCATTTTTAGAAATTGAATTTTGGAAATATTTCAAATTGAAATCTTTGAAAATCTGAATTTTTTATAATTTTTACTAACGATTCTGTAGAATTAATTTTTTTAAAAATTTATTTCAAGTTTATATATTTTAAATATTTTATTAAAGGATTTCCGAGTAATCGAAATTTCGCAAGGAATTTTTGCAATAGTTATTAAATATAATTGATAATTTTTAATTATCAATTATGAATTCGAAAAATTTTAATAAAAATTAAAAAAAAATTACACTTTTCAAAGAATTTACTTAAAATTGTATTAAAAATAATTAAAATCCTGTGAAGAATTTGATTCTTTAAGAAAATAATTGAATTCTTGCAACGAATTTTATTAAATTTTTTCTAAATAGGTAATTGAAATCCTGTGAAGAATTTGATTATTTATGAAAATATTTGAATACTTGCATCGAATTTTATTACATTTTTAAATTTTTTAAAATAATTGAATTCTTTTCAGGAATTTTATTAAAATTGTAGATTTTGAAAATATTTTGAATTTCAGCGAATAATTTCATTATTTGTAAAATGTAATTGAATTCTTGTAAAAAATGTTTGAAAATAATTACATTTTTCGAAGAATTTATTTAATATTGTATTAAAAATAGTCGAATTTTTGAGAAGGATTTTATTAAAATTTTTGCAAATAATTTAATTTTTTTTTTAAATTTTATGGAATTTTAAATTATTATAAGTTGTTGAATTTCAAAAAAGTTTGAATTTGAAAAGAATTTATTGATGTTGATTGAATAATTTTACAATTAAAAAAATTCGTAAATAAATGTAATAGAACATTTTTTTTGAGTATCTAATAATTTTTGGAGTGAATCAGAATATTCTTTAGGGTCAGGGAAAAAATCAAATTTTTTCTGGAAGTAAGGGAAAAGTCAGGAAAAAACAAAATTAATTTTTTGTGACAACCCTGTGAAAATTAGTTGAATTTTTTACTAATTTGAATTAGTGGACGACTTTTTAGTAAGGAGTAAAATAGAGTAGTTTTTATTTATTCGAGAGTAAAATAATTTTTTCTATTTTCTACAACGATTAAATAAGTTATTCAAAAAAAAAAAGAAAGGACTAAAAATAGAAAATGGAATAACGTTTATATAGAAGAAGCTATTAAAGTTTGCCTATAGGAAATAATGCTCTCATAGTTATTATGTTTGTCAATGCTCATCGTTGACAATCTGATGTAGTTTTTGAACTTCGCCTAGATAATCTCAAGTGAAACTTGGATACAGTAATGTACATAAATTGCATAGTCATAGGGGCTTAATCAGTAAAGTTGCCAGACTCTTGTGTGTATGTTGTTGCGGAAAATGAGGCCGCGGCCGTGCTCAGCCCGTCAGTTGTGCTTTTGCACGATATTGTCAATAGGTCATTTCCACCTCATCTAAAAAAAAGCCCACACTCAAAACCATTTGACTTTTTTTTTTAGATCGTGGATATTTCTTTTCGCTTTTTCTCTTCTCATCATCGGCATACAATAAACGTGTATATCCTGAGTCAGGAATATACGTTTTCTGGATTTTCTGTATTTAATGAGTAGTTGAGAATCAATCGCGAAGAGCGCGAGATTGGTTTTTGATTGTGATGCGGGTGATGCGGCTCCAAAAGTGTCATATGTGTGTTGTGTATAAAACGCAATGACCCTACTGGGTAGAATGCGCAGTATGTGCGGGTGTGCGTGACAAGTATGAAAGAAGAAGAAGTGGGAGGACAGGCGCGCAGGGCGCACGAGTAGTTCGCGAGAGAGTAAAACGGAACGTTAAATGGCAGGCGGTGGAAGCAGGTGGAAGTGATTCCCTAACAAATGGCTCTTTCCGAGGTGCAAAATTTGGCCGCAATTATCGGAAACAATGCTCTCACAATTGGCAAGGTATTTTCTTTTTCTTCTTGATATAAAAAACTTGATTTGCCACCGGTTTTTTTGCAATTTTCTATTGGGATTTCCAAGAGTATTGCGGTGTTCAATTTTTTTTTCTCTCCTTTTTGACTTCGATTCCACGTAGCTCGCACTTGTTGTATATCTATATATTGTGATCCAATGTTGTCCAGCTTTGCAACTGCGACACACGACCGAGATTTCTAATCAGCTGTCAAATAATTTCTATCAGACATTACTTTCTTTAGATGATAATTGCTTTGACCCTGTTTTTTTTAATGTTTTTTTTCACGTCCTTGCGAAGTTTAAATCTCTCCTCGTCATTCCTCCCACCATTATTTGTGTGAGTGAAATAATTGAAAATAAGTCGAATCGGTTTTTGATTTTTTCTTTTTTTGATTTTAAGATTGAACACGGTGTCAGTATGTACGGAGCACCAGGCAGCAACTGTACGACGAGTACTCGCCGCTCGGACTACAATCCCTGGAGTTGCGATCTATTCGTCGGCAATTCCAGTATTAAAGTAAGTCACTCCTTTTTTCTTTTTATTTATTTTCCTTTTTGGATTCAAAAAAAATTTTAATTTTCAGGGAAATGTTGACGATGAGGAGAGTCAGGACTTTAACAATTCGATGGTGAACGATTTGGTGGCGAAAATTCTTGACGATGATTCAACAGTGGGCGATGACGTCTTCATGGGTCGTTACGTTAATCCATCGTTGCGGTATTATTCAGACGCTCAAATGTCCCATTTTTCACAAGCAACATCACAGCAAATGAATAAAATCCGACCCAGCAATGATCCGAGACAATATCAGTATCAATCCAAGAGGATGACGACCGATATTCCCGGTATTATCGAAAGTGAACGTAATATCGGCAATATTTGCGGTGGACTGAATACCCTAAGTCTGAATGTCTGTACCGGACTTGATAAAGGAAATGTTTTTACCAACGGCTTTGGAAATAATCATTCGGAAATACAGCAACAGCAGCAGCAGCAGCAACAACAGCAACATCATCATTTAATTTCTAGCGAGCAGCCTAACAGAAATTATCCCACTCCGTCCAATGGACTGTTGACAACGACCAATGGAATGGATTATGGTTCAAGATCATCAAATTGGACCGAATGTCCCAAGGATTTATTTGAAAGTTATCAACAGCAGCAAGTGCAGTCCTGTCCAAATACAGATTACAATTTTAACGTCGCTCGCAATTTAACTCTGGATTCACCGAAAAATTGCACAACATTAAATGATATGCAATTACATTGTAACGTGGGACAAAATTTACGTACTGGAAATCTAATGCACAATGTTCATGAGACATATAATTTGACTAATGGCCAATCCTATAGACCAAGTTCAGCAATGACTGATCTAAGCGCAGATTCTGGATTTTTGTCAAATTCACCGTTACAACATTTTTCACCTGCCGATTCAGCACTACAGAGCTGTTTTACAAATAATTTTCCCCGCACTAATTACGAGGATTATAAAGAAATTCACGATGTGAGTAATAATGTTAATAATGAGCAGCAAATATTTTTCAATCATCAAAGCGGTGGCTATAAACAGGAGAGATTACCGGAGCAAAATTACAAACGTTTCTTGAATCGCTATCCAATTGGTGGAACGATTGGTAACGATTATTCAATGATGTCAACAACCACCAATGATTATGAAGCAATTGCCGTGAATCAAGAGCAGCAGAGGATTGATAATAATCTCTTAAAAATGCTAAGTCCAAAGGGAAAATCAAGAGAAAAAGTTGTTTACTCGCCAATTAATTTACCGCGTAATATCACTGCTCGCAATACTCTGGAACAACAGGCGGGAAAATATAATTATCAACCAGCAAATAATTATCAACGATTCATCACCAATAGTAGTAATACATTGAAGACACAAAGTCCAAATCCAATGAACTATCCAAATGGTTTGAAGCGTGCCGGCACACCATCGGGAGCTACGTATAAAATGAAAGGATTTGACATCACTAATGGAATTTCATTTTCAGCTAATCATTTGTCGCAACAATTGCAAGGTGCCAGTGTGGATAGTAATGTATTGAATCGTATTGCGAAACAACGTCAACAACGCGCCGCCAAGGGAATGTCAACGGTTCCATCGGCTGATGTTCTATTCAAGGGTCTAATGCAAGGAGCAACTGGAACGCCAATATTTCCTTCCGTGATGCCAATGCCACTTCCAATACCAGTTCCACCACATCATCCAATGTCTGTTTTGTTTGAGGGTTTAAATATGCGCAATGGAAATGGTTCAGTGAAACGTACGGGACCATCCAAGACATTACATTTAAGATTGGAACAAACTTATGAGCAATTCAAACAATTGGAGAAGGAACGAAAGAAATGTGAGGCTGGACTAGCTGCACATTTTCCTGGGAAGAAAGTGACGAGTGCTAATAATATACCGACACCACGTCTTCAGGGAAGTCCATCGAGAGTTGATCGATTGATTGTTGATCATATGCGAGAGCATGCGCGTGTTATTACACTTATTGCCAAAGTAAGTTCATTTTTTTTAAAATAATTTACTTTCGAGATCAAATTTGAATTCAAAATTATAATTTTTTGCAAAAAGTATAATTATAATTATATAATTATATTATAATTATAATTTTTTGCAATTAAAAGTATAATTTATTGAACAAATAATTCTAAATTGAAATTATAATTAGAAAATAGAAATTATAAAAAAAGAACTTAAACAAATTTTTAAATAATGAATTAAAAACAAATAGGGTAAATGCACTAGTAGTCGGACACTTAAGGATACAATCTTAAATTATGCTTTTTTTCTTGAAATAGCAAATATCTACTGTGTTTATAAGCACATTATTAATTAAAGGAGTTCTTCAGGATTAAAAATCATATAAATTTGTTACAAATAGTTGAGTATTTAATAAAATATAAACATTTTAATAAAAAATTACGAATGCTTTAGTAGTCGGACACTTTTTCCCCTTGTTTCTATAGTCGGACATCTGTCAGATATTTTGAATTTATAAAAAGAAAAAGATAATTTTTTAATTGCTATCTGCTGGAAAATGGAATTAAAGCATATTAGAAGTTATTAATATAATATTTAAACCCTATAAGTTTTAATGTTTATGATTAATTATCAACAAAACTTTGTGCCACTCATCGCGCTACTCGAAAATGGTTGTATCTATAGTCGGACACCATGATTTTTAAAACATTAAATAAAATATTTCTTGTTTAATTATTTTCGAAAATAACACTATTTTAATAAAATATAAACTTCACACATTCGTCTAGTATATTTTTTTAAGTAAATATCACAATGCATTATTATTTATTTGACAAAAAACACGAAAGTGTCCGACTACTAGTACTGTCCGACTATACCCGCACTTACCCTATAATAAAAATAAATATTGAATTTAAAATTATAATTAATTCAATTCCAATTTTAATTAATTCTATTAAAATTGCAATTAATTCAATTGAAATTATAATTGATTCATTAAAAATTATAATAATTTCAATTCAAATTGCAACTAATTACATTAATTTTATAATTAATTCAATTATTATAATTTGAAGTTTAATTTAATTTTAATTGAAATTATAATTTTTACAATCGTTGGGAATCATTGGATCTTGCGATTTATTTTATACAAAAAATTTTTATTTCAATCTTTTTGAAATCTTGATTGTTTTAGAAGCAAAATTCCAAACGATTAAAGTACTTGACAATTTGACGAATAATAATAATAATATTATTGTTCATAGTATTTTTATTTCTTTATTTCTCAAATAATTCATTTTATTTAATTTATTTACATGAATTAAAATACTAAATTAATTAATTAATTAATTAATTTATTTATTTAATTTTAAAAGGCCAGAAAAATAATGCAATAAATATTTCAATTTTAATTCAATTTTTTACAAGTTAGATTAAAAACTAAAGTAAATGAAGGAAAAATATTAGTTTTAATTCGATTTTCTTAAATTTAAAATCAAATTAAAGAATCAAAAATAAATAAATAAATGCAATAAACATTTTAATTCAATTTTTTTAAATTTCAAATCAAGTTAAATGCACTAAAAATTTCAATTTTAATTTATTTTTTTTTAAGTCAAATTAAAAACTAAAGAAGATGAAGGAAAATGTTAGTTTTAATTCGATTTTTTAAAATTTCAAATCAAATTAAAGAACCAAAAAATAAATAAATGAATGCAATAAATATTTTTAATTTCAATTCAATTTTTTCCGAATCATACTAAAAACCAAAGAAAATGCAGTCAAAATTTTAGCTTTAAAATTTTTAGCTTTAATTCAATTTTTTCAATTTCAAATAAAATAAAAAAAAAACAAAAATAAAATAAATGCAATAAAAAATTTTATTATTTTAAATTCAATTTTTTTGCTATTTCAATTCAAATTAAAATCCAAAGAAAGTGCAAGAAAAATGTTAATTTCAATTCGAAAATAAAAAATGATTGTCAACGATTTTGAATAATTAAAAGTGAATAAACTAATAATTGTATAACTACAAATATTGATCTAAATTAATAAAAGAGAATTAAATTATACAAAATTTTGTTATGTCGATTGAGAGAAATAATGAATTTTTCTAAAAATTTCAGTTAAGAAATAAAAAATTATTAAACGTTTTCAAATTAACATTTAAATTTCTATCTTTAAAATTTTTGTAACAGATAATTATTTTTTATATTGAAGTTTATGTGAAAACAATTTCTGTTTTCTTGATTTTCAAATATTCCAGTTTTTGAAAACCATTACACTGGTGCGTCGTCTGCTGAAGGTAATTTATTTACAATATTTGAAAAAGTTATTGTCAATTTAACACAAAATTTCGTTATTGAAATATTGACAAAAAGTTCGTGTATATTATATTAATTAGATTAATAATTGCTTCAATATGTATAATTATTCGTAATGTCAACTTTATACTATTTAAATATTAATTCAAAGGCCATGTGATACATTCTAATGGAATTGTGTTCGAGTTTATAACTTTTCACGGTCTCTTAACTAATGAAAATATTGTTGTATTTAAATCAGAAATATTGAAATTAGAAAAAACTTTTCAAGTAGCAATTATAACAATATTAAATATTCATTGTTTGCAAAAATGCATTTTTTATAAAAAATTATTTCTGTTTTACTTTTTCTATTTATTTTAACACTTTGTTATTTTGCTACTTTATATTTTTTTTTTTTTTTGCTTTTTTGAAGTGAAAATAATTAATAATTAAGAAAAGATCAATAAAAAAATATTTTTTCTTTTTTGGAAAACGCATTTTTTGCCAGTATATGAAAAAAATTTTTTGTAAAATTATCACTAACAGTTGCAATATATTTTTAGAGATATGTATTTTTTGTTGGTAAGTTCATAAAAATTACAAAATGGCTCTGAACAAATGTAGTATAATTTTTTTAGGTTCATTTTTATGTCTCAAATGTATGTCACATGTCCTTCATTGAAATATAAACGTGAAAATATTAAAACGTCAATTATGAATGTTATTAAATGGCAGTTTTTTTAAAAAATATTTTCTATTAAAATTTGTTTCTTTACTTCTTTAATAATTAATATTTAAAAAAATTAGAATTTCTATTTATTTAATATTATTTTATTTATTTATGGACGGGAAAAACAATCAATGCTATAATAATTGTCATGCAGAGGGTTTTTAAAAAATTATCCTGTATTGCGAAAAAAAATAATGACCCTTTTTGACAGATGGAACGCTTGCGAGGAGCCTCAATGCATCAGAGAATTCACAAAGCAATGGAACAGTGGTTGGAGACAATCAAAGTAGTGCAAGAATGTCGAAGACAAGAAATCACCAATGCTGCAAAACGCCAAAAGGACATGCCGTGCATGGCGCTACACGACGACAGAGGTGAGTAAAACATTCCAAAAAAAACAAAAAAAAGAAATTTCTATTTGAAGCGTTAGATTTAGTTTTTTATTTAACAATTTTACGAATTTTATCAATTAAACAATTCTATCAACTATTATTATCTTTTGCAATATCAATTATTTTTTATTTGATATTATTTCAAAAAAACTATCAAATTTTATTATCAATTTAAATTTTGTTTGCAATATGATAGTAAATTTAAAAATCCTGAAATAAAATTTTATCGATACTCTAATAATAAACATATTAAAGATTTTTAATTGTTTTGAATTCTATTTTTGAATGTGAAAAAAGATTTTGTTTTCAATACTTCAATTACCAATAATTTTAATATTAATTTATTAATTTAAAAAATTGTTTTTTCGGCAGAAATTTTACAAGTGCTTATTTATTATTTTCAGAAATTTTGGCCCTGGCACAAAGTATTCGCAATTTAACAAAGGCATCACGCCTCGCTAGAACCGGTATGTATAATGCAATGCAAGCAACACTTCTTTGTGATATGGAGATTGAGAAAAAAATTGTTGACACATCAAAAGACGCGATTGTCACACTAAAGTCATGTGAGCAAACAACATCAATTGATGTCAACACAGAATCAACAGATCGCATTTAGCAAATTCGCGAAATTTTTCTAAATCAAGAACACTATAATTCTTGATTTTCTCGATAAATTTTATTTTTTATTTATCGAGAACAATAATGACGATTTAATTTTCAATTTTTTTTTCCCATTGAAATCACCTCTCGATCAGCAATCAACTTTTTGACACCTATATAAATGCAATTTATCGCTTTTTCAAACTCTTAAAAAAATAAATAAATAACAATTTCTTAATGTGCACAAAAAAAATCGATGAGAGCGTTTGAAAATAGTAAAAAAAGGATTTTTTCGTGATAAGCGATTATATAATTAAATCGCGATCTGCATTTTTTTTTTTTAAATAGAAAATTATTTGATTTTCTATGAAATGTCCGAGACTTCCAGGATGGAACTGAATAACTAGAGACTTTCTTCCACATCTTTAAACGCCTTTTAAAGACCAGCCGAGTGGAAGGGGCATAATAATATTAATAATAATAATTTTTATCAAAGTTAATATACGATAATCACCGAAAATCATCGTCCTCGCTCACTCGATCCCGTCGCATACCCGTTTCTTCAGCAACTCCGACTATTTGCTTAGATAGAGATTACGGGTCGAGAGATCTAGACTAAAAATTTTACGAGTGTGTTAGTTGAGAATGCTAGATAACAATTTTCTTAGAATAGTTCAATGTGGCCTTCCTTAAGTGTGTGACCCAAATGTGTGTCAAGTAGCCCAAAAGAAGATACAATTTCTTGTTTTAAAAAAAAGAATCGAACTTGAACAAAAACAAACTTGTAAAAAAAGACTTGAAAAAATTTTTTAAAGAGAAACTTGAAAAAGAAACAAACTTTCAAACACGAAACGAATTTGAGAAAAATTCAAGTTTACAAAAAAGAACTTGAAACAAATCGACAAGTTTGATTCTTCTCTCCCTGCGCAAATTGGACGTAAAAAAAATTAATATCGATGTTACGAAGCAACTCAAATACTGTCCATTGTACTTTACTATATAAATAGTTGTATTCACACAAAAATATCCGCGCGCAATTTTTCTTTATATAAAGAAAAGAATAAAAGATCGAAAACCTACAAGAAGCTATTTAAGAGAAAAGGCTACAAATACACTCGCATAACAAGTAATAATAATAATAATAGTTTCAGGATAAATAGGAGCGTGAAAGTTTTACTATAATACTATATATCTCGACTATATATATTACCTGCAAAGGTAAATAAAAAAAAACTTTTAAGTCCTAAACTTAATTGCAGTAATACTATTTGTAACTGCTATTACTAATTAACTGAGAAAAAAAACCATGAAAACAGAAAAAAATTAAAAACTAGTTCCGTATGGCTGAATTGTTTAGCATTTTTTCCTAGTCGTCACTAGCACGGCGTGTTTGATATGAAGAGATTTTCGCTTAGAGAAACTTTTGTACCAGGATTTTCCGATCCGAGCCGAGTGTGAACCTTCTTAACTTGTATTATAAAAAAACAAAATAATAGTTCTTTGATACATTTCGTCCGTGAACGTTATTTAAAAAGAAAAAAAAAAGAAACTGAAGATAATAGGTATTGTAATAATGAAAAAACCTGCCGGCTTAAAAGAAAAAAAAAATACGAGTTTTCAATTGGGACCCCGTTTTTGCGATAATCTCTTGTCGCTAATTAGGTTAAATAAAATAATAACATAATCGATAAATAATTGCTTTGTCAACTCGTTTCTAAATTCATTAGGGGAGAAGGAATAAAAAAAAAAAAATGTTTAGACGGCGGACGAACTCGCTTTTTAAGGCTGCACATTGCTCACGCACTACGCGCATACACTTTGTTCTAAAAAGAAATAAAATAATAATATCGGTTGTTCGGTGAGGGAAAATTTCCAAAGTATTTTTTGTTCTGCGATTTTGTTTTCAAAGAGTCTTTAGTGAAATAATAATAATTTCTTTAAATGTAAAAAAAATTATTATTTTGCAAGGAATTTTTATATTGAAGACTTTCTGCTTAAATTTTATATTTGCAGAGCGAAGATATTTTCTCGATAAAATTTATATTTGCAAAGACTTTTTTCAATTAACAATTTTTTACTGGGAAAAATTTTCATCGAAGATTTTTTATCAGCAAACATTTATATTTGCAAGGATGTTTGACTGTAAAAATAATTGCTAAAGTCTTTTAATTGGGAAAATTTTTTTTGTATTCTAAATTATTTTCTAGGTTCAGATACTGTTATTGACAATATTTTTTCATTAGTAATAATTTTTTATTCTCAAATAATTTTCATGGGTAAAGATTTGTTAACGATTTTTTTATTGTCAAATAGTTTTTATTGGTGAAGATAACTTTTTACTGATAAATGCTCTTTATATTTACAAAATTTTTGTTTTTAGTAAACGAAGATTAATTGGCAAAAATTATTAATTAACAAGAATTTCTGAATATCAAAATTTTTTCCTTTCTAACATTTTTTGCATAAAAAATTGGTAAATATTTTTTATTTCAAACATTTTTTACAGTCAACAATTTTTTATTATCAAAGATTTTTTTGGTAAAAAAGACATTTTATTGTCAGAAATTTTTGATTAACAAAAGTTTTTGAATATTAAACATTTTTTCTCTGTCGAAAATTTTTTCCTGGTAAAAAAATTTTGATTTCCAAAAAATCAAAAAAATGTTGACCTTTTCTTTACAGTCAACAATTTTTCATTGGCAAGAAATTTTAATTATCTAAGATTTTTTACTGGTAAAACATTTTTATTGGTAAAGATTCTTTTCGTAACAAAGATATTTTATTGTCAGAAATTTTTTATTAATAAGAATTTTTGAATATATAAAAAATTTCTTCGTGGTTAAAAATTTTTATTTTAGTAACAATTTCTTTAGTGAGAAAGATTTTTTTGATTTTTAGAATTTTCGTTTAATAAGAATTTTTTAATATCAAACATTTCTTCCTGGTAAAAAATTTTAATTTTCTAACAAACATTTTTTGATTTTCCAAATTTTTGATTAATATAAGATTTTTTTAATATAAAAAATTTCTTCCTTGTAAAAAATTTTCATTTTGGTAAATATTTATTTAGTAAACAAAGCTTTCTTGATTTTCAGAATTTGTTGATTAAGAAAGATTTTTAAAAATGAAAACATTTCTCCTGTCAAAAATTTTTCACTGGTTAATATTTTTGATTTTCATAAGTTTTTTTATTATAAAAAATTTTATTACCATCAAGAAACTTTTTATTAACAAGAATTGTTGAATGTCATAGATTTTCTCCGGTCGAAAATTTTTCACTTGGTAAATATTTTTTATCTACAAACATTTTTTTTACTGTCAAAAATTTCTTTTCAAGGAAATCTGAAATTTTTTGCTAGTAAAAAATTGTTATTGATAAAGATTTTTACTGGTAGATTTTTTATTATCGAATGGTTTTTATTATTGATAATAATATATTATTTTTATTATTTGAAATAAATTGTGACTATTTTTTCTCTCTTTTAATTATTTTTTTTCTAATAAGGTCAATTATTTTGCAAAAGTGATAAAAATTTTTTTATTTTCCAAATTTTTTTTATTTTTATCTCAAAAATTGGAATAAAATCAATAAATTTTTATTATAAAATTCTAGAAATTTGGAAATTATTAAAATTTAACGAACACAAAATTAGAAATTAATAAAAAAATATTTCTAACCTTTTTAATTTTAAGTGTTATTCAAAATTCTTTGAATGTTTTATAAACAATATTTGATCGATTTTAAGAAAATATTTTTACTAAATGAAAAATCAAGTGTGTCTACTTATATTCTTATCAAGAGAAATCTTTGCTTTTATACAAGTAGACAGCTTTTTGGTGTTTTTAATTTAATAATTCCTCTATTTTCCAAAATAAAGTTTCTATTTTAATTAATAAATTTTTCTTTTTTAAAAATTCATTTTACCAAAAAAAAAAGGGGAAAAAATATAAAAAGAGAAAATTTAGTTATTCGAGAACTGAATTTTAAATAAAATGGAAATTTTTCTGAACTGCCGATAAAAAAAGGCCTTCCGTCGTTAAAAATGACGGACATGTCGGGACCCCGTGTGATCGTTTCGCGAGACACGATACAATCGTTTCACGTTGCGGCGATAATAAAAAATAAAAAAATAAAAAAAAAGTAGACGGATTTGCTTGAAGCTGTACAGTTGGATATTGCTCACGCACTGTAAGCACACACACATTTATAACGCAACGCGTTCAAATCGCAGGCTGTAATGTACCAAGAACTAGTGTAAGAATCATTTTTCCATTCGTTCATATCTCAAATGCAAAAAAAAAACGAAAATTGAAATTCCGAATAAAAAATGATTCTTATAAAATCGAAGGTGATACTGGAATGCTCCTAATAGAGGAAAATGTCTCTTTCTCATTCTTTCTTTTTCCAATATTCTTTCTAATACAAAAGAAAATCTAGCGGGCATTTCACTTTTCATCTTTGATATATAATATTATTTTTAAGACATTTTTTTAGGCCAGCGTTTTTGCGGTAGTTGTGCGCACATGTGAGTTTTTAACTTTTTTACAATAATTAAATACTTGATAGCGTTGAAAACAAAAAAAAAAAAAAAAAAAGAGGATCGCGATCCAGCCAGAGGAAGAGAAATAATCGTATTTTGAGCAACTTTTAGGTGGCTAGAAAACAAATAATAACACAAACATGTCCAGAATCGAAAGTTTAGTTTTTAGGCAAATTCAAATTTCGCTGGGAAAGGATTTTTAGAAAAATACATAATAATAATTAAAGAATAAAAAAACAAATGACAAACGGGATTTTGTCAAAGTCCTGTGCGGTGAGATAGTTGAAAATTAAAAATAGGGGAATATCGCTGGGTGTAGGTATTTTGTTTTTTTGGGGGAGGGAAAAATTTTTGTTGTTGTCCAGCTAAAGCGTGCAGTGCTTTTTGAGTGCTTTGAAAGAAACTTTCCTTCGGCATTTTGCAGATACTGAATACTGTATATTGTAACTGTGATAACTTTCATGCCAACACTTTTAACTATATTTAAAGTCTATTTAACAAAAAGAGTAAAAAAAAACGAAAAAAAAAATGAAGAATCTACCTTTTAACCATTTTAATCTAAATGTTGAATCTTTTTTTTTCTCGGTACGCGCTCCGCTTATACAGGAAGCTGTTCGTGCTCTATGTTTAGATGTACTTAAAAATCGGGCATGGTCAGGATTTTCGATCTTCGGAGACGTACCTTTTTCAATATATATATAAATAATAATAATAATGATAAATGTCGTTTCATTTAATTATTTTTTTTTCTTTTGTAACACACGCGCACATGGAAAAAAGTACGGTATTTTTTTTCTCTTTTTAATATTACGCACACTCCATATTTCCTCCCTGCACGCGCAAAAAAAAACAACTTTTTAATAACTTATCCTGCGATCATGCCCGCACTCGAGGAAAAACAAATAGTAACATTAATACATCGTAAATTCAAGGCCTATAGATACGTTAAATATTTAGCGAGATGTTATTAAAAGAAAATAATAAGAATAATAAAGTAGGTACGAGTAGTCAAGACAAATGTAGATGTTGAAGATTTGTTAGCTGTCTGTTAGTCAAAACGTGTGTTTGTTTTATGTCGTCGCGATTATAATACATTGGTTCGGTAGAATTTTTCTTTTTTGTTTCTGATTCGAAAATTTTTTTATGGGGTTTTCTCGACTTGGCGAAATTGCAAGAAAAAATACTTTTAAGAAAATTTGATGGTAAAGGAGATTTTTGAATTTTAATTCATTTAATTGATCAATTAACGAAATTTTTATTTATAGTCAAAAAATGATTTCGACTACAATTAGTATGTTAGGAGAATTTTTTTGGCTTTATTTTGAAATTCGATTGGAATTTTCACTTCAAAATTTTTTATTCCAACAAAAAAATGAATGACAATTTCATTTTAGACAAAATTTTTTGACATTTTTTTCATTTCGATTAAAAATTACTCTGAATTTTTTTTTCTTTTTTTTTAAACAATAAAATAAATTAATCCCAATTTTGTTGTCAGAGAAAATTTTTGGCTCTATTTTTATTTCGATTGAAAGTTACTTTGAAAATTTGTTTCTTTAATTAAACAAAAAAAAGTAATTAAAATTTACTTCTCTGCGAAACTTTTTGGATTGAAAATTACATTAAAAATTTTTTTATTTAAACAAAAAAATTAATGGAAATTTCGTTTTTAGAGAAATTCTTTGTCATTTCTTAATTCTATGGAAAATTACTTCATAATTTCTTTTATTTAAACACACAAATTAATCAAAATTTCGTTTAGAGAAATTTTTTGTCATTTCCTTTTTTTTCCATTAAAAATTACTTAAAAAATTTTTTATTTAAATACAATTAATTAAAAAAAACAAAGAAATTAATTAAGGAAAATTTTATTTTCAGAGAGTTTTTGTCATTTTTTCTAATTTTAATTGAAAATTAGTTAAAGAAATTTTTTTTTATTTAGACAAAAATATTAGTCAAAATTTCGATTTCAGAGAGTTTTGCCTCTTTTTTTCTTCTTCCATTCAAAAATTAGAAAGTTAAAGTCAATTTTTTCTATTTACAGATTTAAACGAAAAAATTTAATTAAAATTTAGTTCTTAGAGAAATTTTTTGGCAGTTTTTTTTATTTCAATTGAAAATTA